CTGTAGTCACAGCAGGTTGTGATGGTAGCGCCATTACCCTGGATTTGTGATCGTGGACGAGAGCCACAGGAGACACTGCTTCGAAAGTCCGAGGAGAGCGATGGTGACTTTCGGGAAATGCAGGCAGGCAGTGTCGCTGAGCGTAGAAGGGTCTTGCAGAGAACACAAAAGGTGTGAAGAGGACCAGCTCTCAACCTTCACCAAGTAGATTGCCAACTGCGGGGGGAGGGTACAATAGGCACTTGTGACAGCACAGCTACACAAGCATTAAGCCTATAATCCCATTTGTTAACCTCCAAGCAGAACACAAGAAAGAGCCAATGCAGAGTGCGTAGGATCATGTCCTCACAAACTGAAGACTGAAGGTCGAAAAGGCACATACCTAATCCGGGACGAGAATGATGCAAGCGTGCAAGCCCTGACTGTGAGGGACTGTCAGTTGGACATCATTCACCCTGGGAGACATATGGTAAGAGATCAACGTGGAAGAAAACGAACCGAAGGCCTACTGCTTGGCTTTTGATCTCACTTGAGATCACTTCTTGGGTCCTGCACAGGTTGAACCAAGGGGCGAGCCACAGCGCAAGGCTGAAGTGATACGTTTAGAGTCAGAGAAGAAAAATAAGATGAAGGAGCCGCGAAGGCAAGACGATCGCTGGGCAGCATGACCGCTTTGAATATCAATGATGGGCCCTGGCCTCGCCATCCGTCGCCAGGCGGGGGAGCGCACATCGCGAGCTGGCTTGTATGGTTTGTATGTGAAGGGGAAAATAAGCGCCCGGCAACATGCAGCACATCAAGGGGAAGCCGGTGATTGGGTGGTCGAGAGATGGTCTTGGTGTGAGTTGAGGACGACAGGGGTGAGGAGCACGATGACTGGATATCTAGCAACACCACTAGAGCAGTTGGACTGGCTTATCACAGTGGGGAAAGTCGCGATACGCCGGGGCAAAGGCCATCGAGGTTCCCGTGCTGTCACTCCAGATGCACGGTCTGTCACCTGTGGAGCGAATGAGGAGAGTCAATCAGCCGGTCTGGCTTCTCCTTCCCGGCGCCAACTGTTGATCGTCTCGGGGCCCAGCCAACCACAGCCGTTGCAGAACCGCCGGCCATCAACGCCCGCGAGGGTCAACAACAGGATTCCTGCTGCAGGTTCCGGGTAGCTTGAAAAGAAGGAAAATGCCATGAGGGGTTTATCTACTGGGAATGAATCAGTTGATTGGGGGGGTGTGCTTCGGAAAAAGATGGGGACAGGATGAACACTCACCCTCGCCTGGTCCATACTTAGTCGCTGAGGGTGAAATCGGTGGAAGGATTGAAAGGACGAAGTTGAATTGATTTCCCCCTCTTTGTCCCCTCACGTGTCGAGCTAAGTCCGCGACCAGCTGCACCGGTCATCACATCCCCATTCTCGTCACGGCGCTTAAGCGCCATCTTCTCTGGACTCTCTGGCTGCCTTTCTCCTAACTCTTCCTTGTCGACATGACAACACAGGCCATGATCCCTTCGTCCAGGAGATGGAACCTTGCATTGGATGGAGGGAGGGAAACACTCTGCGATACTCCCCAATCCAGGACCAGATCAGGTACAGGGATATCATCTGTATGAGCACCGAAAGGACTTAGGTCGTCTGTGATATCTCAGAAACAGTTTAGGTTGAATTCTAGCAGTCGACCTCTCCGACCATCCTAGACCAATGAGCTAGTGTGAATCCAAGCATTCGTGCTCTTTAGCAATGAAGTTGGTAATCCAGCAACAGGGGCTGCATGTGTTGGAACAACATGAAGTTGTAGGAAAGTTGGGAGCGGCAATAGTCGTACATATTGCCTTCCATGAGCGCTAGCTCAAAATGAAGGCTCTTTCTCCCCCTCTCCTGAGGGCTGAGAAATGCGGATGCACTATCCAGTGGCTCAAAGCTAGATCAGCGCAGCTTTCAGCCCTGTGAATTCCTGCTGCTTGGTTGCACTAGGTACTTCTATTGAAGCTCAGAGTCAGGCTTGCCCGAGAAAATGAGATGTCAACATCATATCGGGACTCTTCAGTCACCCCTTTAAGCGATGGCATGTCCTGCACTCATGCATATAGTTTCTTGGTAGCTTTCTACACACACACACACACACACACACACACACACACACACACAGAGCTTAGCTCTTTTTTTAAACCCGAACCATAGGTGAATACGATAGGCAAGATCTGATCCAGCATTGCGAATACACTATAAGCATAATCACGGACGAAAAGATAGTAGATGTTGCAGATTCGCCACATCACAAACGGTGTCTGGCGTCCCTCTCTACCTCACTAAAAGGGGCAGGCACTTTGCAAAAGAGTTCTATGCATTACACCAGCATGAAACATAGTTAACTTTCAATTGCGGGTATGCAAATGTCAACCAAGCAATCCTCTATCATGGCAGGCATGGGCGAGCAAGCTAAGCCCTCGAGAAAATGAAAGATCACGGGAACCCATTTTTATAAAGGATAACCCCTCTATTGAGAAGATCAAAGATCTGTGACGGGAGTATTAGCTTAGAAGTCGATGGATGTCCTTAGAAAAAGATCCAGTCTCGTTCTCCAGGAAGACGGGAAACGGTTCGAAACAATGATCATTTGTCGGAGTGAGTGAAAGCCATAGAAACGCTATTATCTAGACAAAAGGAAAGCTGTTTACTCAGAAACTGAGCATCAACTGGTATGAGTTGCCCCTAGATGATCAGCATGTAGCTGTATTGCTTACAATCCGAGGACATCCATGACATGATAGATAAATAAGCAGATCTTTATCTATTCACTGAGTATAATATTTTGTTCCTAGTAGCGTATAACGTTTGAAGACCAAGACCAAGACCACTCGGGTATCGGCCGTGTAACATCCCATATCACCACAAGCCGGTAGTCCCTGGATCAGTGACGGGGGAAGACAGACATGGGCAAGTAGTAGGCATTCAATAAGCAGGGTTTTACGCCCAACGTTGGAAACCCACTTATAGTAGTTCATTGCAGTACTAAAACTTTGTCTATTGCATGTAGTATAAACCATATTCTTCATCGTGGTTGCCTCGACTAGCGCATGACATATTTGATGTTGCCTAGGAACCTCCTGACGAATGCTTTGGACCACCAATTGATAAATTACTCAACGCCAAGAGAGCCTTCAACGATGCAGAGGGCTACGGAAAGTTTTTTCTGACGGGAATAGGACGAGTGACTCACTATGGCAGGCAGCTTCAAATAATGAATATCCCACGGCGTAAGTCAAGGGGTCCAGTGGACTATGCTGTTGTGGACAATTTCTGAAAGACCTGTGTATCATGAATTCGGGGATATAAGCCCTTGGTACCAAAGGGATTCGGAGTACTCCGTGACGATAGAACAATGTTATAAAGGCAAGGGGGACAATGAGGGAGCTTGCGGACGAAGATCGCAGCCTCGATAGTAGTAGCAGGGAGGATCAGATATTAGGCGTACGGCTCTTGTTCAAATAAATTTGAAGATGACCCTAAATGTCTCGATATTGAGGCAAAGGCCAAAAGAAAGCACTAAGTAGTGATATATGGATGCTGAGATTCTGGACGTCTTCGCTTACCATGGGATCTAAAGTATGGCGTGCAGAGAGACCATGGAGTAGTAGTGGGTAATAGTGAGTATGGGAGGGCCTATGTAGTACCAACCTGGGTCACAAGGGTGGAGAGCAACATTGCTAGTATGACACAAAGTACTACTACTCCTTTACTCTGTACTTATTAGGAGGAATAAAAAATGAGAGGGGGGAGACACACACATGGCAGCTGCGGTGGGTGGTGAACAAATGAGAGAGGCCCAAACCGCATGTCGGGCAGGCGGTGGGCCTGTACAGCCACCGTGTGACCCCCCCACTCGGTTCTAGAAAACGGGCTCCAACTGGTCAGGCGCGCAGAGCCACCAGCTTTCTCCGCAGCTGGGCTGCCAGCCACAATGAAGTTTCAGCCTAGCCACACAGCCTCATTTTCCGTCCAGCACTCCTGAATGTAGTATAGCCCTCCCAACGCAGTGGCCCAATGTAGAGAATTTTTCTTCCTTTTCGGTAGTTCCACTGTCCTGCATACGGAGAACACCGCACTCTATTGGCACTTTCAGCTTTCCTCTTCCTTCTTTTCTCTTTTCGTCCCACTTCTGCGTGCATGGATGGAATGGGGGTCGGCAGACAACTTACTGTCTGTGTCCCCCCGTTCAGCCACCGCCGCCGTATGGCTGTGTCTTGTGCTTTACGCTCATTTCTTCATGCTCTGGAATGTCCCATAAGTGTGGCAAGGCGTCGGTTGTCAGCTAATGAAATCAAGTTTTCAGCTGTAGGGTCTGTCGAAGTTAACCAATAGACGCAAACGTACTATGTAACCTGCAGTAGTATGGCCTGTAGTAACAGTAGTCGATTCTCCACAGTTGGACATTACTTACGTACAGTGGCAGCAACCCCTTTTATTCCGTGAATGTTTGATAGAGACAAGTTGTTGAACCTACCCGACATCCCCATGAATGAAGCAATCATTTATACACAAATACAATCAGGGTAAATCAAACTATCATGGATGTGGATCATAAGAATGGAATACTTTCTTGCCTCTCCATGGTTGCCAAGACGCACTCTCTATATTAAGCTGCTTTTCAGTTATCGAGACTAATAACTTTAGTGTATCTGGTAAGGCAGGCACTCTGTACACCGTGCTCTGCAGTAAATTACTAGTGAGTAGTTCACTAGTAAGTAGATCTTGTATACTCAGCCCCAAAGGCCCATGCTGAGGGGAAAGGTTCCGCAGTTGTCTCCCCCAATATGGAGGAGAGCATCCATCACCTTAAGCTATTCAGTAATGATGTAGTAGTAGTAGTAGTAGTAGTAGTAGTAGTAGTAGTAGTAGTAGTAGTAGTAGTAGTAGAAGTAGTCTTCAAGATGATGCCCAAAATGGGCGAATCTACTTTTATTTATACTCCATACAGGAGCATCTATTTATCTGCAAGCTTTCAGTTTGCTCAGCCCATGCGGCGGTGATTAATACGCAACGCCTCGAATGGGACGGGAAAGTTGGAAAGTTTCCGGTTTTCTGACCAGCGTCCACCCGGCAGAGCCGCCCGTAACCTTGGTCATCGATGGTACGGGCCACTTCTCCAGCCACTCTGCCTTCCTCGTGTTCGTCCTCCGGCTCGTCTCTCCTTCTCTCTCCCTCTCTCTCTCTGTCTCTCTTCCTCTCTGTGTGTATGTTGAATGTTATCAGACTTACCTTGGTTTCACGGTGAATATCTCCTCGTTAGTTTTTTTTTTTTCTGCTGTGATTGTATCATTACGTCTTCTTTGGACTTGTCTTTTGATAGAACACTTTTTTTTCCTTCCACCTGGAAGTCTGTTTCGCTTTGACCGCCTGACCCAATCAGGAACGATCCCCGCGGCTGCTCCCTAGGCGACCCGAAACCAACATTACAACCTTTCACAGTACTTTCCTTAGTATTACTGCTAACTAACTAACTAGTTATTCACCTCCTGCTTACTACGAACCAAGTTAACTACACTACCTACAATATTATTCTCTGCCTGCCTGCCTGCCTGAACTTCCCTCCTGTATCCATTCTGCCACTGTCTGTCTGCATCAGGTTTTATGCTTCTCTCTCCACCTACTTCTTCTTCCTCTTTTTCTTCACCTCCTTTGGCGTCTCTCTTTATTCACTCCACTCCGTAATAAACCCGGTCCCACCTCTTCCATTTCCCTTTTTAACGCTTCATCATCGCCCAATAGTCCTGGCTCTTTGGGGATTCTCGTTCATTGCTACATCCTTCCGCCAACAGTCCCTCTTCCCGTGTCCCGAAAGCTCTCCATCTTTCCTCCCCATCCTTTTCCTCCTCCCCCTTGCCTTCTTCTCTTTTCTACTTTCGAGAACTTCATGCTTTGCTGGAGATTCATGTCACTTGTACATTGACCAGCTTTCGAACGACCTAGCTCTGCATAATTCTCCTGACGTCGTTGCTTTGACAATCGCGGGTTCCAGCTTCCTTCCTGCAGCCTAACCCAAGCATTGTCATTCCGCCGTACAACCCCGGTCTCATACGGCTTTCCACCAGATGGACTAAAGTCCCCTCCACAACCCCCCCTCCTCCCACCAGATCCGGATTCAGATCGTGCGGGCGCTAGACTCAACCTTCTTCATCTGATTGCAAGGCTGACCGCTATTTTTACTTCCTGCGAGGCCCGTATCTGTCTCTGTGGGACCTCATTGTCTGACAAGACATCGCGCGAAGGCTGAACCTCCCGTCAGCTTGCGCCACACTCGGTTTTAGGTGAGCGCCCCACGCAACAGTGCCTCTGATCATTGTTACTCGTTCTTCTGTCCTGCCTCATTGCTTTCTATATGTTCGGTCCCTTCCTGTCTTTTCCTTGGCCGCCCTGGATCCTCCATGCCTCCCCACTCATCACCGGAAGAGAAAGACGACCCCTACTGACATGGCCTCTGTTGACTTAGCTTTCCCACACCTTCGCCAACCCTTTCAGGCTGGCGCGAAACATCCATTATCCATGGCTGCGTTGATGCAATCGAACAACGAACCCGTTACTATCTCAAAACCATTGTCTGGGACATCGAACCCCGTAATATCTGCTCCATCGGAACCCCTCGCTTTCCTAAAACAGTCGAAACCTGATTCAAGCCTGTCCTCTATCGCCAGCGCTGGACTGAACGTCTCGCGCTCCGGAGATTCGCTGCCACCAATGACGACGACCGCGCCGCCGGCCACGGCTGGCCAGACAGACCGCCCGCTGGAGCATGAGAAGGAGTCGGAACAGCACAGCTCACAAGTCGCGAGAGAGGCCCTCGGTGCCAGCGAGAAGCAGACAAATCCCGTGAACGAAGGCATGCAAACTTCTTCAGACCAAATGCAAGTTGATTCACATTCGGGCCCGGGCAATGCGTCTGATACGTTTGGGGCAGCCGATAACAACAACACACTTATCGATGCCTCAACCGTAGCTAGTCCAGGTCCTATCGAGGATTCTGGCTCTGCAGATGGCGATCACCCTCGCCACCGTGATGAAGGAGAAATGCCGCAAGAAACAGGCAACAAAGCCTTCTCGTATCCGATGCCCACGGCCAGTTTTAATGACCCCCGTCGTGGTCTCAGCTTACCTGGCTCTGGTTTTCACAAGGGCCAGCGATCACCGTCGGCCAAAAAGCATCGTTGCCCATACTGTGCCACGGAGTTTACAAGGCATCATAATCTGAAGAGCCATCTGCTTACGCATAGTCAGGAAAAGCCATACGTTTGCCAAACATGTCAATCGCGCTTCCGTCGGTTGCATGATCTAAAGAGACATACAAAGCTTCATACTGGCGAAAGGCCCCATATTTGCCCTAAGTGCGGGCGCAGGTTCGCCCGTGGCGACGCTCTAGCTCGCCACAACAAGGGCCAAGGCGGATGCGCGGGGCGCAGAGCAAGCATGGGAAGCTACGTTCCCGAGGATGAATATGGCGAGGCTCCGGCTCCTGGAGCCGCGGATGATACGATGGATGGACTTGTGTACACAGCTGAGCCAGAGCGCATGGATGAGGAAGAAGAGCGGCGACTCATGCCCAGCATCAAGAAGCATGATATGTCGACGGACTCCATTTCACGTTCGAACACTACGAGCTATCAACCGCGCCAGCCCAGCACATATCCTCCGATCGCTTCAGGCAGACCTTCCCCCGGGGGTCTCTTCCCTCCTCCAAGCCATGGTGGCTCTAGTGCATCAACGTCTCCCGTATCGCAATCCGGAAACATGACATTCCCACCGCCTGGTCAACCGTCAGGTGCATCCGTTTTCCCTACAAATATCACGGGGAGCCCGAAGCCATTATCGCCAAATGCACTGTCATCGCATCAGCTTGGCCATGGCCCGGAGAATAATATCCATCATCGTGCTCATTCGCCTGGTATGGCTCAGTCGTTCCAGCAGCAGACATTCGGCAGGACAGGATCTTCCTCAAGTTCCGTAACGAATCATGCTGCTTCAGGCTTGGGTCTGCCTCCACCGCAACCGGGTGCTCCCCAGCTCCCGCCGCCCCCGGGGATGAACTCGGCTGAATCTCGGTTTAGCCTTCACTCTCAAGGATCAGTGCCACCGGCGCCTTCGACGGCGACCAAACACATGACCCCTCACAATCACACAAATAACCACGGTGGTCCACTACCGTCGAAACCTGGATCGGAAGGGGCCTCGAATAATGGCACCCAGATCACTGGTCCTCATGAGTCCAATCTCATCGAGCAGTTCCGTGAGCGGGAAGACAAGCTGTGGGCTTATGTCCGCTCGGTGCACGAAGAATTAAATGGACTTCGGACGGAAGTTGCCGCTCTAAGGGCCCAACTTGCATCAGCTAACGTCAACGCGCTAGCAATGTCAAGCCAAAGTGCACCTCAGTCTCAACCCGAGACAAACGCTGCTGGTACATCCCAACGGTGAACCAGTTCTACCCTCACGGAGGATCCGTGTCAAGTGCACAAACATCTCCTGTTCCTTTTGTTCATTATTAGATATCACTTCCCCCATCCCTTCTGTGATGGATTTCAATCGCGCTGATGCGAATCACCATAATACCCTTTCTACTGCCAAGTGAATAATTTTCCCACCTGCGACGACTGTCTCAACTTCCATTTCCTTTTTCTTTCCCTTTCCCCGGTTCGGTCCTTCAATCCCATCTCCTGCTTGCGCGTTGCATTATCCCACTTTGACTCTATACATTTATGTTACTGATGATGGGTCTCGGACTCGGCCCGCCCTGTTCCATCTTTCTTATATCGAATCGCACCTTTCGACGTGGAATATCCACGATTGTGTCTTTTTGAGGTCAGAAATTCTTTATTCGTTTGTGGTAACGTTCCGTCCGCCTGCCAGTCTTTGAGTACTGGCAGAACATGGGTGGAGGTTCCCGATTCATAGGGTCATTGGCATATCTTTCTACTTTAGCTGGATGACAGCAACCCTTGTCTTTTTATATCACGTTGTCTTCTTCGGCGTCATCATAACCGCATGCCTTGTATGTATCAGCATCCCATTGCCGTGAAAGAGGAGCCGGGAGTCTGGAGGCCAAAATTTCGAATCATTAGCTCAGGAGATCACTACACGTGAGCGACGGGCTTGATTAATTCAATTGTCTATTCAATAACGGGAAGTAATGGAATTGTAATCTACAATCTCGGACCAGTACCATTTCTAGACCGTGAAACGTGAAATGGTGTGGGAGTGCAACCTATCTGTAGTGCTTCTTGTTCTGCACCATTCTTGTGATCGACCTTGGTGCCCAGTACTCAACCCCCAGACTGTCATGGGTCTTCTTTAAGACCTCCGGCGGGCCGTCCAGGCCAGAAACAAGCCCACGTCGGCGACAACAGCTTTAGGGACTCCGCCCATGGTCCAGCTCCGCTGGATCCACCGAGGAATCGCCCCGCCAGCATCTGAAGTAGTCGCCATGGTCCATTGCAGCCCGCTCTCCGTCGCAACGACCTCTTCCACGCTCGCGTAGGACGCGAAGATCGTATTCCGGGGCACTGCCGCCATGATCTCCTTCCGGACAGCTTCGGGACTCGACTCAACAGCAAGTGGAATCTGGATCGTCACAAACCCTTGTTGCTCCCTGGCTGCTGCTGCTGCTGCTCGGTCCGCCGAAATCACCAAGACAAGGAACGAGCGAGGCGCAATCAGAATTGTGGGGTGGAAGGTATGCGTGATGAGGTTCACTGCATAGATATACGTAGTTAGTATACTAATACTTATACACACACACACATACACACACACACAATTATATAATAAAAGGAAATAAAAGATATTGGTTAAAGACAAACGAGAGGAGGGAGGGGGAAAAAATATAAGCATGCGACGGAGTAGTACTAACCATGAACATCGACCTTCCCCCAGCCACCTTCTACATCGACTTCAGACGGCCACTCCACCAATTTCACCACGGACGTCACACTGGGCGTAAATCCATTTCATTCTCGGAATGGTTTTCTCGTAACCCGGAACGGAATTCTTCCCATGAGGCCGACCCCGTCACTGCTGCATCTTGGTGCGTGCTCTGTCGGCATACCCAGTAGTCTCCTTCTTGATTGTCGTTGCGCGTGTAGAGGTGGATGGCGGCGGTGGATGGCGGCGCGCGGCGGGGTTTGTGGTCGCGGCGAAAGGTGGTGGGGATGGAGGACAGGAGGGTTTGGGATTCGGTGAGGCAGGCGTGGAGGAAGGAGCGGAGTTGGGGATGGGCTGGGGTTGATGAGGAAATGGTGTTTGTTTCGTCGAGGGCGGGATGAGAGGGGAGGATGGAGAAGGGGTGTGGGTTGAGATGGAGGTACATTGTGGGATGGATATACTATGTTGGTGGTGATGAGATTTGAAAAGATGAGGCTTGAAGTTTGATGGCAGTAGTTAATGCTTTGGGTAAAGTGGAAGGAGGTTGTTTGATTAGATGCTTTCTATCGGGTAGAACGTGCTATTAATATTCAGTTCCTCCCTTTCTTCCTCATTGCTTGCTTCCATTTTTCATCTCATTCCTCTTCCCTCAGCTGCAAAATACCAATCCAGCCCGTTGACACTAAGTTCATTAGACTTCATCATGGGGCGTATGATATGTCAGTGGGACTCGACTCACACAATGGCATCAATGTTAATTGAAATAAGAGTAATTACATGTCTGGTTTATAAATATGATGTGCATGCGACGTGTCCTAGCTGGTCGCTTTGACTGGCACGATTGAGGCGCAATATAATGCAGCGTTGAGGCATACAGGAGACTTGCAGCACATCATGACAGGTTCACCAACAAAATCATCAGAGGCCAACGGATTCACCGTGATGAAATTGAATGGCTCGCTCTGTCGAAATCACATCACTTGCTCTTCCCTGCCAGGTTATTATCTGATGGTTCGCATCGACACTACGCATTATATAGTATGAATTGGTCTGGGTATATGCTAGGCTATGTACATGATCTATTTGGTTTATATATTCGTGAGCTCACATGCTCCGGAGAGCAATGTGGAACATTGACAATCATTTGGTCGTGAGAAGCCGACTGATTCGTTCGACTACGGGCCTGTCGGCGTCGCGTCCGTGGCAGACAAACTTTGGCAAGCACGCATCGAAACGCAGCCAAGCTTATATGGCAGCATTCTTCACTTCATGCCTCGGGTCATTTGGTCTAGAACCATCCTTGATCGGACAATCCACTCGATCACAGGCAACGCACCCCGGGACCAACGCTGCCAGTGTCAAAGACTTCGACCAATCCCGCCCCGAGCGCCTCCTCCAGAACCCAGCGAAAGTTCATTCCGAAGAGCTCCTTGTACTTTTTCGTCCGGCCCGGCAAGATGCCGGAAAACTCCCCCCGGGCTCTCTTCGCTACACTGAAGCTCTTTTCACTCTCGACCGCCCCGTCCCAGCGGTCACGCAGGAGGTAAACGGGGACCTCGCTTGAACTAGACTTCTTCAGAAGCGAGAGGAGGTGTGAGCGGCCAGCGCTCAGTAGACGAAGGTAGGGGCCCGTATTGGGAAGCGATAGGAAAAGTGTCGCAGTAGTTGATGATGAACGAGGGTTTGCTCCAACCTCGCTTAGAGGGTAAGCGCCACTTCGGCTTGCTGAGGCTGGACTGGGCGAGGTCGCAGGAAAGACGGGGAGAGAAGCTAAGCTAGACGAGCCTTTCGCTAGGGACGAAGAAGAGACGAGAAATCCAGCCCGGACCAGGGCCATACACTCCGGCGGAGTGAGGGCTGCCCCAGGAATTGCACACGTGTTTCCGATCCGACCAAGCAGCGCGAGGAATTTCTCTGACACGGATCAGTTTGCTGTATGAATGACTGAATGGTAGCGAGATTCTCACCTTTCAGAGGTGCTTCCAAAGCAGGGCTATCTAGTACCAATCCGTCCCATTCCTCGCTCAATACCAAGCAATCGCCCAAGCCAGCGGCATCGTTGCCTCTTCCGGGGACGATCAAGCGGCGGACCCGACCGGCGCGAACGAGCTCCATAATTTCCTTTTCGACCTTGGTGGGTGCTTCCAGCAGCGTATGAACGTGTGCGACGGAGGCAAGGGGAGGCAGGGAGCGACGGAAGTTAAGAACCTCGGCGATGCGCGTGCTATTCATGCCCGCTCGGCGGGGAAGATCGTCAAACATGCTGTTGCGAATGTACTGGAGCGCCTCAACCACATCCGTTACGGAGGCAGTTTCGGAGATGTATCGCGACGGCCCGAGATCTGGAAGGGGGCCCTGCTCGCACTCGTCCTGCTCGCTGGAGATCTTGGAAGTGCCGGATGATGACGGCGCCGAAGGTTTGCGACGGGCATGGGCGGCGAAGGGAGAGGCCCGCGGCCTCGAAATAGCGGGTTTTCGGTTCTTCTTGATACCAGAAACAGGAGCCGAGGTAACGCGCAAGGGCATGGCAGGGTGAGTATACGGCGAAATCAGGAATGAGGGAGTAGGGGAGGAAACAAAGAAGAAGAAGAAGAGGAAGAAAGAGAGAAGCGGAGAATCGATGCGCCGGAAATGGAAGGAAAGGAGTGGCGCCTGAGGCAGCCGTAACTGATCGGCAGAGATAAGGGCACGTGACCGACTAACATGGTTTGGGCCAATGGCGGGACCGAGTGGAGACCCGTGAAGAACATCAGCAGAAAGACTTGTTCAAAGTCCCCAAAGCAGGGGTGAATATTTAGGCAGGAAAAAAAACAGGGAAGTAATGCTGAAGATATCCAAGTACTAGACAAGGGAATCGTCTGATGGAAATGAAGGGAATTACCTAAGAATGGTGTCAACCTGGAACCAGACAAACCCGACAGATTCAAACAAAAAACCCGCTGGTCGCTTTGCTTTTCCTTTCACCAGCACATGACGTAGCCATGAGAACCTGCACTTTTTGTTCTTCCATTCATCTTCTTCCATCTTCTCTCTCTCCCCGTTTTTCTCCCTGTGTTTCCTCCCTGTTCATCCCTTCCTCCTTTTCCCATTGTCCCGTCGCGCTCTCTCTTTGGGCGGTAGGTTAATTGTCAGTCTTCTGTACATCTTTCGTCTCCTACTCCCTCTTCTCTTTCGGTTACTGGGTTTGACTCGTTTCGGGGTCCCAGCTACCCCGCTGTCGCCATGACCATCTACATCGCTTCACTGTAAGTGCCTAGCAATGTACACAACTACTGGTGTTTTCTTCTGACTGTCGCGGGGTTCAGTTTTCTGCCCTACACGGTTAATTTCCATCAGAATGAACCCGAGATTCGTCCGGCGGAGGGGACGAGCCCTCAACCAACCAATCCCGCCGAGAATTCCACCCCTAACCCAAACGCGACTCTGAGCTTGTTCGAGAGGAACAATGGAGCGCCCCAAGTTGGCCTCACACCAGGTGCCACTACTGAGCATGAATGCATTTTCTCCACAGACATTTCTAAGGCGGAACAAGAGCACACCGGGTTTCCTTTCCCCAAGACTGACGGCGAAGTGACTCTGTTGACGGAGAGCGAAGCTCACTCCCCAGCCTGGGGCTCCACCTTAGCCCTGAACCAACCTCGCCCACGAGCAGCATTCCCGGCCTCGCCCTCGATCCTCAAGCATCAAGAAATCGGCCCTTCAGGGACAGAGGCGCCCAAAGAAAAGCCACGATCGGTCCCGAAGACACCAACCTCGCATATCCGGGACAGCTGGGCGGACCACAGTCGCAAAAGCTCATTCTCCTACGCCGACTGGACGATCGAGACGGCCGAGCAGGGCAACGGAGGCTTGCGCAATGCTGTGCGATCGGCCACGGACGCCGGACAGCTGGAAGACAAGGTCTGGGTGGGTACGTTGGGGATGCCCACTGATGCGCTACCGGAGCACACCAAGGAGGCCATCGCCGAAAAGCTCGAAGATGAGTACGGCTCCGTGACCGTTTACGTCAGTGACGGTGACTTTGATGGCCATTACACGCACTTCTGCAAGACTATCCTCTGGCCCGTGTTCCATTACCAGATTCCGGACAACCCCAAGAGCAAGGCTTACGAGGACCACTCCTGGGTCTACTACGTCAAAACGAACCAAGCCTTTGCTGAGCGCATCGCAAAGAACTGGAAGCGTGGTGATTCCATCTGGGTGCAGGATTACCACCTGCTGCTGGTCCCGGCCATGCTGCGGAAACTGCTTCCCGATGCCCAGATTGGCTTTTTCCTCCACATTGCCTTCCCCTCATCGGAGGTGTTCCGGTGCTTGGCGCCTCGCAAGGAGCTTCTCGAGGGAATACTGGGTGCTAACCTGGTCGGGTTTCAGACGGATGAGTATTGTCGACACTTCCTCCAGACGTGCAGCCGCATCCTCTGTGTGGAGGCCACCAATGATGGGCTGCAGCTGGAGGATCGCTTTGTCAACGTTGGCAAATTCTCTATTGGTATTGATCCGACTTCATGGGACCAACGCCGGCGGGCCGCAGACGTGGAACGATGGATCAAGACCATTTCGGAGCGTTACGAGGGGAAGCGACTCATCGTGTCGCGGGACAAGATCGACCAGGTGCGCGGAATCCGACAGAAACTGCTGAGCTACGAACTCTTCCTCAATACAGATCCCGAATGGCGAGACCAGGTGGTGTTGATCCAGGTGGCGACCAGCACCACCGAGCAGCCGGAGCTGGAAGCAACCATTTCCGATATCGCGATGCGGATCAACTCCACTCACTCCACGCTTGCGCATCAGCCATTGGTCTTCTTAAAGCAGGATCTGGCTTTCCCCCAATATCTCGCCTTGATTTCCGTGGCAGACGCTCTAATTATCACCAGCTTACGTGAAGGCATGAACTTGACCAGCCATGAGTTTGTCTACTGCCAGGACGGCAAATGGGGCAACAAAAAGTACGGATCCCTGATCCTGAGCGAGTTCACTGGCAGCGCGTCGGTGTTTGGCGACCATGCCCTTCTGGTCAACCCCTGGGACTACCGTCAATGTGCGGAAGCTATCCATACCGCCTTGTCGAGGGATGAGCAGGAGCGCCAGGAAGTGTGGACGAAGCTACACCAGGCAGTACTGCAGAACTCTACCCACAACTGGGTCAAGTCATTCAGTGAGACGTTGAGCCGGGTCTGGAACGAGCAGTCGTCCCGGGAGATCATGGCCGTGCCCCGGCTTCAGATAAACAAGTTGGAGGAAATGTATCATCGATCGTCGCGCCGGCTGATCATCGTGGACTATGAAGGCACTCTCGCCTCCTGGGGCTCACCAAAGAGTATTATTGTGACGACTCCGCAGCGTGCGATCACAACACTGGCAGAACTAACCGAGGATCCGCGGAACGTGGTGTATGTGATGAGCGCCCGCATGCCTGAGGAGATGGAGCGGCTGTTCCGGCTGGTCACCGGCTTGGGTCTGATTGCCGAAAACGGGTGCTTCGTGCGCGAGCCCAACTCGGAGACCTGGCTGAAGTTGACGGACAAGGTCCAAACGGACGCGTGGAAGGCGGCAGTGTCGCACATCCTGGAATACTACCAGGAACGCGCGGAAGGTAGCTGGGTCGAACAGCGGCACTGCTCGCTCATGTTTCACTACGAGTCGGCGGAGGACCAGGTGGCGGCGTCGCGGCTGGCGTCAGAGTGTGCTGGCCACATCAATGATGCTTGTTTGAGCCAAGGGGTGCATGCGGTTCCCGTGGAGCGTGCGCTGGTGGTGGAACCGGCGGGCATCAACAAGGCATCGGCAGCGGAAGTGGCATGGCGGTCATGTCTCAAGCAGAGCCAACGGGACGAGAGTGTGCCGCGGCCGGAGTTCCTGCTGGCGATTGGAGATGGTCGCGATGATGAATCAGTGTTCCGATGGGCCAACAAGCTCGACAGCGCGCGAGCAGTCAACTACGCCATGACGGTGACGCTCGGATCCCGTAGCACGGAAGCGAAGGCGACTCTGACACAGGGAGTGACCGGTAAGCTGCTCTCAATAAATTCACGATAAGGAGTGAAAGGATGCTAACTGCAGGGTGACGAATAGGAGTCTTATCGTGTCTGGAGAAGCTGGCGGCAACCCGAACTGGGCCGTGAGAAGACAAACGATGCGGAATGAGAATATCTACGAGTACATGACTTGAAGCGAGCGTACATGATGGGCAAAATTAACTCTTCACTTGCGTTGCATGAAACGGGCACATATTTCGGGCATATCAGTACATTTTTATTTGAACATCTTCAACTACAAAAGCAAGAACAAGCAAATAGGCGTGCGGACTGGTTTTCAATGTATCGTTGGGGGTAAACAAGGAATATAGAATGAGAGAGGAAGAGAGAGAGAGGGCAGCTGTGGGAGTTCAAGGGGGTCACATAGACGAGGCCATAATACACGCAAAATCTCCAATCCAGTGATCTACATAGTAACAATTATTAAAAAACTTACTGTGTAAGTTGATTAGGACTGAACCTTGTGACGGGTTAGTAATTCCGATAAGTGGAACATTCAACCGAGGCATTTTCCTCCCTCGGTATCCATTTTGGTTTTAGATAGAACAGATAGAGACAAAACTGATAACTTGCTTTTCTTCTCTCAACTGCTGGTCTCTCCTTTTCTTCCATGGATAGAATATACTGACCAAAGACTTTCTCTATCGTTTCCACTTAAATACACCACACCATCCTCCTTCAAACATCGAGAACTGACCTACTACCTCACTGACCGACAATGTCTCCCCCTCATCCACCACCACCTCCAGCGCACGGCTCGGCCTTCGAGTCCGCCATCAAAGTGACCCCCCTCAGCTCGCACCGCTACTCTGCCCATCTCCGCGACGAATGGTGCATCGGAGCAGGTAGGATACTTATATACCTTTCCCCACTACATATTGCATACTCACTGTTTATTACAGTCCCCCATGGTGGCTACACCACCTCCATCCTCTACCGCCTCGCCCTCGTGCACTTCGCGCACACCCACCCAGCTCTTTACAAGAACAGCCCCGCGACCCCGATCGCCATGCAACTGTCCTTCCTCCGCCGCACAGCGACAGGTCCCGCCGTGCTGAAAGTCCAGGATACGAAGCTGGGACGGCGGACGAGTACGCTGCATGTTATGTTGTTACAGAAGCCGGATAGCGGCAAAAGGAAGCAATCACAGTCGTCTACTACTACTACGACTACCGGCACCGAAGCAGAAGATGAGGACTTGGAAGTCAAAGTAGCAGGATACATTACCGTCAGTCCTGCGGACGCCGAAGAGGGACTGAGTGCTACGACAGGGTGGAAGATCAGCAGTCCTGCGCCGGCGGCCGGGTCAAATGGAGATGGATCGGTGAACTTGGGGGCGTTAGGGAGGACAGGGCGTGATGGGGCGTGGGGGAAGTTCGAACCGGAGCATTCGAAGTTCCGAAAGGCGACGGGGCAGACAGAATTCTATGTACCTGTTGAGCTTAGTGAGAAGGAGAGGAAGGAGAGGAAGATGAATGCGGAGCAATGGGCGAGGTTCCGTCCTGGAGGGGATGTGAATGCCCGGTGGACCAACGAGGCGCTGGTGTATTTGACGGATATGTTTCCTACGGCGTTGGCTGGGTTTGATAATGCGGCGGAGGAGGCGGCGGTGGGGGGTGGGAAGGGGTTGTTTTGGTTTCCCACGGTCACGTTGAATATTGATCTGAAGACGAGGTTGCCGGAGGAAGGGGTGGAGTGGTTGTATAGTCGGGTGTATACGAAGAAGGTGCGGGATGGACGGACGGATTTGGATGTGACGGTTGTGGATGATAAGGGGGACGTGGTGGCGCTGAGTACGCAGGTGGGTTTGGTGTTGAGTGCCAGTCGCAATATCGGGTCTCGTGCGAAGTTGTAGATACCTCTCTTTCTTTGTTTCTTTCTTTCTTTCTTCCTCCCTTTTCTTTCTGTCTCATAATCGTCCTCGACCCTGTTCCTTTTCTCTTCTTGTCTCTTTCTCCGAACGACTGGCTCTATCTACCGGTCGATGCAATATGTACATAGACTATATACACGGGTAATAGAATCTAGATCTATAGAACACACAGAAGAAAAAGAAAAAAAAGGAAATTAGAGCGATGGTCCCGTCTGCATCCAAAACGCCATCGCATCCGTGGTAAGACGCATTGGTTCTCCTTCCGCCTGGGGGGAGGTAACGGCACCTTCTGTATCCTGCGGCTGAAAGGCCTGCGCGCGCACCCAGAACTTGCGACCCACACGAGCGAGGACCTTAGTCCGAACAACTAGATACCCCGGCGCAGCAACCGGACTCTTGTAGCGGATGTCTAGTTGGGCAGTGTAGAGCATTCCGCGCGGCGTAGGCGGGACATGCGGGCCATCCGGTTGCTCATCCTCTACCAGCTTCGGGCCCGTCTCCGGCGCATACAGTGCCACGGCATAGGACATGGCTTCATCCAGGGACGTAGCCAGGACTCCGCCATGAGCAGTGGACGGATGTCCCGAGACACCGGGGGCAGCAATGTCGAGGATGAGGATCAAGTCGGGGTCTTCAATTGGAGTCGGAGAGCCGGTGGGAGCGGGCCAGGTGGGCGGGGAGTTGGGGAGGAGGGAGAGGAGGTGCGGACGTCGACGGAGCGTCAGGACGTGGGGGATGGTGCGGGAGGTGGCTAGGGTGTTTGCGAAGTAGCCATCCTCGCCGGTGGAGGGTTTAGGGATGCGCGAGTATGTGCGGATGGGGAGGTAGTCTGGGTGGTGGAGGAGAGATCGGAGGGATGAGGAGGAGGCGTTGAGGAAAGGGGATAAGGAGGTGGGATCGGGGGTATCGAGGATTGAAGAGGACATATTTACAAAGTCGGTAGTGTGTTGTATGATTGTTGTGAGATTTGGGGATAGGAGGTGGTATGGTTGTGTGAGGTGTCGAATTGAGATGGATGATATGATGTTTCAGAGTAAGTAAGTATGGGGGGTGAGAAGAAGAGAGGGATGATGAGGGGAAGGAAAGCAATAGTCTGGAGGAGATCAGCCGAGGGATAACTCGGTGAAATCACATTTGTTGCAGCAGCTTTTCAATACCGTCAATTTACCCAGTTTGGTATGGGTTCCTGGTAAACAACGTCTGTCTCGGACGGTACTGAACCGGTTACCACTAGGATACCGGAAACACCTTGCCGGATTGGGGCATGACTGTTTTGATATCATGTGCCCAGCCTTGGATCCGGCAAAGCAAAGCGGAGTAAATCCCATTCATGATCGCTCGCTTCTTTTCTATACAGTAACCACTACTCAAGTAACTATCGCTTCTTCTTCATATTTGGCTAAACATATCTCCGTCGCCACGCCCAATTATTTGCTAGTAGTTGTCTGATGATAACTATTAATATCATCCCATCAACCATTCCCCTGACACACCGGACAAAACTGACTAGACTGCTTGCTTCCCTTTTGCCGAACTGACTGGCTGGATAAACATTTGGAAACCACCTGAATCCCGGGCTACGTATGCCATGGACGCCCGTCGCGACTAACGCTCGACTAGTTTTTAGGCTCCAGTTCTGCAGCCAGTCATCTGCTGCGCCGGTCACTTTAGCTCACGGCGCTACCGGGGATGAATCGATAACAAAGAGGAGAAATCAGTCCTGCGAGGGCCCAAGAGGGACTCACTCACACCGAATATCCCGGATCAACCAGCCGCCAGCATTCTCTCATGCCATTCCAGAGGGAGAAAAAAGAGGGGAAAAAAACTGAAAAAAGTTGAACACAAGAAAAAAAAAATATGGAGAATTGTTGCACATTCCAGGCAGCGACAAATCGGTAGAAAATTCTTCAATTCTCCAGTTTTTTTCCCTTTTCCTTCTCTTTCCTACTGGTGTCTGTTGTCTCTATGGTGAGTAGTATGTCTTGGAGAGGAGTTTGTCTCTCTTGCAGGCGGACCAATCGAAACCAGACAGGACATCTGCAAGTCTGCGACCTTCTCCTCGAGGGTTAATTAGCATCCCTCGCGTAGGGCAACAAACAAATCGCCGGCCAAATCATGAGTCCGTCGCTGCACCAAAACAAGGAACGGGAAATTGGAGCCAGAAATGAGGGGGAAAGTCAGAGAAACAGACAGAGATAATTATCGACTCTTTTTGCTTTCGAATTGAAACACACGACGTATGGATGTTATTAGCCTTGAGTATTATTATAGTATTGTTACTTATTATTATCTTATGATTTTGATGATGATCAGGACTCCTGCATCTTCACTCTTTCTGCAGACCTGGTCAGTAAGTACTTAATCCAGCTAGCAGTATCTATCTAGTTTCTTTAGTTATACTACTTGCTAGTTTAAACGCACCCAATCGCTCTCCTCCACTGGTTCATTCACGCTCCGGAAGAAAGAATCTTCTGCTCAAAGAGAATAAAATAAAATAAAATAAATAAACAGCCGGAATTCCTGTCTTGTTTTTGCTGCCCCTTCCCGTTTTGTCCTCTTATCGCCGGCTTTCTTCCTTCTTCCCTCCGTCGCTTCCTCTTCCTCTTCCTCTTCTCCTTCGCTTCTCTTTTCCTCTTCATTCTTCTGCTACTTCTTCTTTCTTCTTTCTCCTCCTCGCCTCCCTTCCTCCCTTCTCCTCTTCCATTCCATTCATCCATTGATCGTCTGCCTCTTCTATCTCATTGCCAGACTATCCAATCCCAGATTACATCTCATACCTCACCCAACAATCTATCTTACTTCCTGCATTTTCAGCTCAGCTCTACTAGCAGTAGCTCTTTCGCCATGCTTCCTCTCGTCTTGATGTCTCTGGCTGTCGCGGCCACCGCGTCCAGCAACTACACTCTTCCCAGTGACTTCAACATCACCGCCATCAGCTTGTCGGAGAGAAGTAAGGCCCTTCCAGTGGATGGATGGTCTTGACTCAGTTACTGACTACTGCCCCTCAGACTCCTGGTGTACTGCTGAGCGCAACTCTTGCCCTGAAATCTGCGGTGGTGTTGCTACTAGCAACTCGTGTGATCCGGTGGGTAGCACCAACACTCTCGGCGCTTCTGTACCCTTGCACCCGCTAACCAGTTTGGCAGAGCACCCTGGACTTCTCTTGCGTCTGCTCCAACGGCTCCACTGCCGACGTCGCAGAGTACACTCAGACAATTCCCTTCTTTGTCTGCGAGGCCACCTACGCTCAGTGCATTCAGGACTCGCCCAGTCTCGATGAGCAGGAACAGTGCCAGGAGACGCGCGAGAAGGACTGTGGCACTTTGAATGCGTCGGCCTCAAGCACTACCTCTTCGACCACCACCACGGCCGCCTCTCTGACCACGTCCACCAGCTCGTCCAGCAGCACCGGTTCTGGCAGCAGTGGATCGTCCGCTTCTAGCACCAGCAGCAGCAGCTCGTCTTCGACCACTGCCAACGCAGCGGTGCGTCTGGCCCAGGAGCATGCCACGGGTCTGTTGGCGACCGTGCTGTTTGTGGGTCTGCGCCTGGTTCTGTAAGTGATCAGTATTGGGTGAGAAAAAAAAGAAGAAGAGATGGGAGTGCTGTTATTGCTGGGTGTAATAATCACGTTGGGGTCGCAATTGGCTGTGTTGTAATGAGAGGAAGGAAGCTGTTGTAATGATGGGGCGGGGGAAAGAAGGAGGTTTCCAGTTGCAGTTGCATGTTCTACGACTTGATGGTTCTTTTTATTTTATTCTCGTACGATTCCCCCAAGCGCGCCTGGGAGTTATTCTTGTAATAATTGCAGATTGAGTACTGAGTTGATTAGTATGAATTGATATCAGAAAAGAAAAAACGGAGTGATTGTTTGTCAAGATATCTGGAGTAAAATGCGAAGAGTAATAAGCAGGTAGTAAGTAAATGTCGAGACGATCTCCCGATGCAGCGGCGCCAAGAGTTTTTCCCACACTGAATTTTCTCCACCGCCCAAATCCCTTCCACAGAGTCAGTCTCGCAACACCAAGTCGACTCGATCAATCTCCAAAGCCTCTTCTCGCTTCTTTCTCCTCTTTCCCTTCCCTCTTCCTTTGATTTCTTTCCCTCCTTTTTCCCTCCCCCCCCGCCTCCATCCTTTCTCACTACCCCATCCCATCATGCCCGCCCCCTCCACCACCCTCCTCATCGAGGGTTCTTTCACCGAGCTCGCCGACGAGTTCGCCCAGTACATCGACGCCCTGCGCAAGTCCGAGGCCTCCAACAGCCTTCAGTCCGAGATTTCCCCGCTTCTGCAGCCCCTTCGTGAGCAGGAACAGTCCGATGCAGAGCCCGACCGCAAGCAGCGCGATGAGGTCCTCAAGAAGCTGGTCTCCGCGGCCGTTGTCCTGAACGGCGCCCCCGAGAAGGGTACGTATTATCGATAGACACCCCCTCCATACCACGAGACGTTGATCCTACAGAGACTGACGTACGGACGAATGAATTATACAGAGATCATCTCCGCCTACAACCTTCTCGTCCACCTTGTCCACCAGGCCTCCGACCCGGATATGTTCCTGTCGCGCATCTGCACCTACCTCGCCAAACCCATCTCCTCCTCCCCTCAGTTCGGCCCCTCCTTGGCCATCTCCATCCTGTCCACCATCTTCAACACGCTTGCTCCCTCCGACTCCAGCCGCTACCACGTTCTCCTGGCTACCGTCGCCGTCATCCGCCAGTCCAGCTCGTCCATTGCCTTTGACGCCCTGAAGTCCCAGCTGGCCACCCAGCTGCCCGGCTGGCTCGCCGCCTGGGAGCTGGACGCCGACGAGGCCCAGCGCCTGCACCTCGCCATTGCCGATGCCGCCCAGGCGTCCGGTGACCCCGAGTTGGCTCAAACCCACGTCGTCCAGGCCCTGCAGACCATCCCTGCCGCCAATGCCAGCGCCCCCGAGGCCCGCGATCTGGCCGTCCGCGCCCTGACCTCCGCTCTCACCCACCCGGCTGTCTTCGACTTCACCCCGCTGACTGCCTCCGACGCCGTCCAGGCCCTCCGGTCCAGCGACAGCACCCTCTTTGAGCTGCTCGAGATCTTCACCGCCGATACCCTCGACGCCTACGAGGCCTTTGTCTCCGCTACCCCTCTGGCCAGCATCTCCGGCGGCGTGCTGGCTGAGGCCGGCGAGGCCCTGCAGAACAAGATGCGCCTGCTCACTCTGGCCTCCCTGGCCGCTTCTACCCCATCCCGCTCCCTTCCCTACGCCACCATTGCCACGGCCCTCCGCGTGGAGCCCACCGACGTCGAGAAGTGGGTTATTGACACCATCCGCGCCGGCCTCGTCGAGGGTAAGCTGTCGCAGCTGCGCTCCGAGTTCCTGGTCCACCGGGCCACCTACCGTGTCTTTGGTGAGAAGCAGTGGGCCGAGGTGCAGGGTCGCCTGATGGTCTGGCGCCGCAGCCTGGAGAACGTGCTGGGTGTTGTTCGCAGCGAGCGGGAGCGCTTTGTTCGCGAGGGGCTGCAGGCGGCCCAGGCTGCCGAGGAGGCTGCCCAGGGCAAGGGTAACGACAAGAAGGGTGGTGACCGTCGCCGTCACAATAACAACAACCAGAACCAGAACCAGCAGCAGCAGCAGCAACAGCAGCAGCAAGCACCTTCGGCGCCCGCCGCTGCCCCGGAGGCTGTTGCCGTGGAGTAAAGGACTGATTACTGTTCGGTTGAATGATTGATTGATACACAGAGAAGCATACACATTGGGATGAATGAATAAAAAAGTTATCTGTGTGTTGTTGTGAGTTGTGGGCTTGGAAGGTGTTCTTTCTATGTTAATGTTCTGCTGTGTCTACATTTTTTATCCCCCTTTCCCTTTATTTCCATCTCATGGGTTCCAATTTCCTTTTCCTTTTTCTTTTATTTATCATGGTAGCTATTGGATTCTAGACAGGTTTATATCCACATTTCATCATGAGAAGGTGGGGGGAAAAACCTGACTGACAATGATACGAGTTATGCCGAGTGTGTAACTGAGTTTTTTATGTATATGCATCAAGTACTACACTATACATAGACCATTGGGGATACTGCAGCGAGGGTTGTTTACTCATATGATATGAGCATATACGCCACTAGTATCACGATGTAAATGTATTCATCAATATGGCTCTCACGTATCTACCATCTATCCATCTATGTACCACCCAACAAACACATGATATAATATTTTCAAAACCAGAACCAACCTTACAAAGGATTAATGCCCTTACTCTTGAATCCCTCGCGAATGCGCTCATACACCTCTTCAACCGATCCCGTCGCCGTCACCGAAACAACCTTATTCTGCTCCTCAAATGCCTTGACAACAGGCATACTAGTCTCCACAAACGTACGGAACCTCTTCCGGATACTCTCAGCATTATCATCATCTCTACCGGACGTCTCGCCCCGCTTCAACAACCGTGTCTCCATTACCTCCTCGGGACAATCCAAGAACAGCGTCATCTCCGACGGGCACACAGTATCCTCGAAGAACACGGCCTGGTCGAGTTTGCGCGGGAACCCATCAATGAGGAAGCGGGGCTTGGGGCCACCCTCTTGCTGTTTCTTGCCGGAGGCCAAGGCGTCCGCCATGGCGTTGGACAGCAACGCGACGGTGATTTCCATGGGCACGATCTTGCCTTCGCGGATGTAGGTCTTGATGAGGTCGCCGTATTGGCTGCCTTCGCGGACTTGTTCGGCGCGCAGGAGGTCGCCGGCGCTCAGGTGGGTGAAGCCGTAGTCGCGGACAAGGTTGCTGGATTGTGTGCCTTTGCCGCTGCCGGGGCCGCCGAGGATGAAGACGACGGTGATGTCGGTGGGGGAGAAGCGGGGTTGAGTGGTCATTTTGGTGGTGGTGGTGGTTGTGGTAGTGGTTGGTTGGTTGGTTTGTTTTGTGGGATCAGATTCTGGAGAGGGAGGGAGGTGAGGTGATTAGTTTCTTTGTAAGATTGTTTATTTGTTTGTTGGTGGTGGGAATGAGGTTGTTATTGTTTGGAGGGGAGAAGAGGGGTGGGTTGGTGTGGATTAAGAGAGGAAGAGGGACATACAGTTGGAACCGGGCTTGGGTTTGTGCACGCCGGTGCGGGATTTCACAAGTAAGACGTAGGAACCGGTGCCCAGGGCGAAGAGGGCAACAAAAGGGAGGACTTTGAAGTTGGAGCGGCTGTATTGGGTGGGGTTGTTGGAGGATTGAGAGGAAGAGGAAGAGGAGGAGGAAGAGGAGGAGGGAGAGAAGAGAGAAGAGGAGGACGAATAGGGGCGATGGAGAGACAGTCGGAGATGTCGGTGGGGGGCCACCACGGGCGGCAGTGTAGCTCCTCGCAGTAACTTGATAGACATTGGAGGGTTGGGGAGGAGGTCTGGGGGTGAGGATAAAGTATCAAGGAGAATTGAAGGGGAATTGAGAACAGTCCCAGATTGAGCTACAAAGCTGCAGACTTACAAGGATGCAATGCAGAAGAGAACCACCAGATGAAAGAAGAGGAAAGAAAAGCAGGAAAAGAAGTTGAGGTTCATCTCGCACTCGCTGCTTTGGGACTAGCGCGGATGGCCTGATCTATACAATCTTGAGTGTTACTGTGTATAGCTTCGTCTTCTCCTCTCTCTCTCTCTCTCTCTCCTTTTTACTCTATGTGCAGTTCCTTTGATGCTATTAGTCGCTGTATTGTGACAGTTCATCAAGGCTGTGGGATGATAGGATTCTATACGTTCACCTCTTGACAACTCTTGCCAATATTCATCACCTTAATATACACATCTACAGCATCTCATCAAGTGAACAATCTCTAGCTGCCACACTCTCTCAAGTGAACAGTGACTCGCTGGCACTACATATTTTACATTATTCTTGCATTTCTAACAATCATATCCCTTTGTCTTCTGGCTACCCCATTCATCCTAATATCCTCGGCATCTCATAGCTTCTTCCCTGCTCCGTGCAGTCTCCCCCAATAAGATGTTTCATCCTCACCCCCATGCTCCAAGAAACAATCGTGCGCATGCAAGAGCACCCAGAGCGCCCAGAGGTCACTTCCAAGCAGCTATGCATACACAGCCTCTTGTACATCCTCAGCCTTCGTCCCGAGGCCAACAGCACCATCCTTCGAATGTGGGTGATCTCTCCCAACGTACAATGCACATGCTAACACACCTAGTCCCGTGGGAGACAATCGCATGCCTACCGAGGACAGAGAGGTCATCCTAGAGGACAAGTACAGACAGCCAACTTTCAGCCATCACAAGGAACATCAACTAGTAACGGAGCTCCCGGCCGTAGTCGTTCCAACTACCGAGGAAGCAGATCTAGGAAGAATTTCCCTACCGATTCTAGATATCCAGTCACTAAACAGCATGCAATAATGTCCACAGCTCCATGTTTCATTCTCCCGCGTCAATCCCCCGGTTCGGCTGAAGAGAAGGCAGCAGCACAGATACCCTCAACGTTCCAGCGACTCCCACTCGAGATTCGAAGCCAAATTTATGGCTACATATTTGAACCTCGCCGTGTTGAGCTCATACGAAGACGCGAGAAAGACCCTGCGAAGCACCCAAAAAGAGTGTACTACCGCCTGTATCACAATCAGCTTCGATCGCGCCATCCCGTCACGCAGCAAATCCAGGACCCTTATTTGAAATGCCAACACCCTGTGCCTATTGGGCTGGTTTTTACATGCCGCAGTATTTACTGCGAAACCCTTTGGTGGCTGTACTCAACTACCCAATTTGTCTTCACCTCGACGAAGACTATGAACCGCTTCTTTAACATCATCCCCTCTGAAGTACAGCCTGACATACGGCACGTAGAGATTAACCAGGAAATGCATAGTGAACCCAGCCTGACTGAGCACCGTATTCACAAGGTTCGAAGTGACTGGGCTTTCACAATGGCATGCGAGAACTTGGTCAAGTGCTGTTCAGGACTGCGAGTCCTGTACATCTACTTCCGCATCCGTGATTGGCCCATGAACCTCGAGATCGGCGAGACATGGTCATTGCCAATGATGGCCTTTGCGGAGTACAAAGGTGGCTTGGACGTCGTGAACATCAACCTCGACATGCCGAGGTTTGGGCCACAGAAGTTGAAAAACATGGCCAAAACCCTCGAAAAGAGGTTCATGAAACCTAGGGCGTTCCAGGTCAGGGAAGATGAGCAAATGGCCAGGGAATTAAGCTGCTCTTTCATGGAATTGCAGGTATATGGAACTAACTGATATCCCTTTTTCATTCATGTTCCTGGTCCCTTTGATGGAGAAGATAAATATCATTCTCATATGTTCCGGGGGCGGGGAAAGGATTGATCGTTGATATCTATTTCTTTTCTCATCTTTGCTTTCTTTGTGTCATTCCGCTTAAGTGTTTTAAGAGATGACTCCGATTTATTTCTATGATACGTCACATTTCTCAATACTATAGCAGAGACAAATTAGAGATACCACTTTGTTGGGTCAAATCAAAGATACTGGCTGTCTATTTATGCAAGTCCAATTATATGTAGTCAATATGTACGTCAGTCATCAAGGGGGGGAATATACGGTACAAAAGTGGTGGGTGTCTAGACATGCATGAACGCCCGCGATATGCAAAAAGAAAATGACCCCTCTTCCTTCGATTCTTTTTCCTTCAATGCCCTTGGTTTCTTCGCATGCAACCCAGCGAGCAACCCCCCAAGTCTTGCTCGCACTCATATCGTCTTCTATTCACGACGTGCTTCTCTCCTCGCTCTCTCTCTCTTTTACTCCCTGGACCGATCAACTTCGGTCAAGGACTGGCCCTCCTCAGACGGAACTTCGTGGTATGCCTGCATACGACGACGACGGAGGAACCAATAACCGCCCGCTAGGACCCCGCCCACGGAGCAGATGACCAGAACAGAAATCAACAAGCCACCGACTCCGTGAATGACCTCGTACGCCTTCTCTACGGCCATGGCTGCTTGCTTAGCCTCGGCATTGGGGTCCTCCTCTTCCACATCTTCCTCCACCTCGGCCTTCTTGGGGCCGTACAGAATTGTCGGGTCATCGGAGGTAGGCTTCGTGTCGCCCTGGAAGCCGGCCAGGCGCCAGTTCTGTGGGGTCTCGGTGCGGTGGATGGGAGAGGTGCCGAGGACGTTGCCGTCTTTGTCAACGGCCTCGACAGAGATCCAGTCGAGGTAGCCGTCTGCGATGTACATGGTCTCGAAGTCGAACTTGGTCGTGTTGCCGATCAAGACGGGGATGCCGTGGCGGTCGGCTCGTGCGTAGAAGTTCCAGGTGGCGATGTCGGTGGCACCGTTCCAGCTGACGTGAAAGATCGTCGCCAGGTCGGTTTCGTCGGTACCGTAGACGGAGGCAACCACATCTGGAGGAGTGCTGGGGCGGCCGACGAAGGGAAACTTGTACGAGCGGTAGGTCGAGAAACGGGTGGATGCGAAGCGGCCTTGCATGAGGACCTTGCCGTCGGGCGAGTGCTCGCTCTGCATGCCCTGTTCACTCCAACCCACGAAGACGTTTCCGTTCGGGAGAGTCTGGACGCTACCGCGGAGCCGGGTCAGGCCGTTGTCTGGGCGTTTGTAGTGCTTGAGCAGGCGCGCGGTCATGGGGGTCGTCGTGGTGTCGACCTGCACGAACATCGCTGCGGATGTCTCTTCCTCGTTTTCGGCCTCATCAGAGGCATTGTTCAAGAAGGAGACAATAGCGTGGGTGGCGTTGGACTCGACGAAACGTGCATGGTGTTGCTTGGAGAAGGTGAAGTCCTGAACGAAGTCGGAGTACTTCCCACCAAGGCGCCATTTGATCTGGCCATCCTCGCCGGAGATCAGGTAGAGGGTGCTCGTGAATCGCGCAGACAAGAGGTAGTCTCCTGTCGAGCTCTTGTCAATGGAGTTCACGTGGACATAATCCCAGCCGGGTTGGGAAGCGGGCGGCGAGCGAGAATCGACTTTCACGGACTCGTGGATGGGGATGTAGCCGAGAGAAGACCATTCGTAGAGGACATCGCCGGTAGCCGTGTCCAGCTCGACGAAGCCACCAGCAACAATCCAGCCGTACTCGTTGGGACGACCGAGGTCTCCCAGGTCGACGTACTCGTTGCGGTATGCGCAGGCCAAAGCAGTCTTTCCACCAGGAAGGACGTTGAACTCATGCATGTTAAATGCTGAGAGATCGTTGGTCACCGGCACAACACTCTCGACCTCATAGTTCTGGTCGAGAATGTATCCGTATCCTTTGTCCCTCCCGCCGTCCTGGTAGCCATGCTGGAGGATGAAGGACAGATGAGATTTGTCGTCGATATTGTTGATGGCTTTGAAATCGAAAATGTTGCGGTTGTCGAACATGCAAGATCCGGCCCAAACAAGAGTCTACGTATGGCCGGTTAGTAAGCTACTTACTCCTTTCAGGGATCTCACTCATTATTGAGGGACATCCCTTTCCTCACGAAAGGGGTAAATGAATTTCTGGGATAAGGAATGAGAAAACGTACGCCATCTGCATCATAGATGTAGGGTCCAACTTGGCAAGGCTTCCATTGCTTCGTGGGAGCTTCTGGGTCAATCACGCCATATGGCGCAACGAACCAGTAGCCTGGGCTAACCGATTCGCGATCGTAATATGCAACATTAAACTTCAACGCTCTCACTTCCGGTAGCTGGCTTCTCGTCAGCAAGATCATTTATATACGCTGGAAATTCTCCTACCGTCACAAAGGACATCAAATCATCGTCCGCCTCCGCCTCCGCGACAATCCCGCGAAAAGAAAGAAACAACAGAACCCAGAAGAACAGCATTTTTTGAAGGAGTGGCTAGGAGAGGAAGAGTTCCTCCCCTAAGAAAAAAAAAGATGTGACGATTAGCTAGGGAAAAGGGCAACGATTAGCGGAAAGGAAGGAAGGAGGACAGCGGGAGACGACCGGGTCATTAAGACAGACGGTCGCTGTCTGTCAAGCAGCCAAGTGGACGTCGGTCGAGGGTATCTATCCGAAAGATCTCCTCCCTGGCGCGCAGGGAATAGTAGTCAAGTATGGAGGTGCCCCCTGCAAGCACACCCCATCCACGACACCGTCGAAACGGAATCCCATGAGCCAGCACAAATCGGGAGAGGCTAAAACTCCGCAAAGCATTACGGAATCTCCATAATTTGGGTCGGGCACGGCCAGTGACAACGTAAGTGCTGATACGGCCGCTGACGATCAGACGAGGCGGACACTCTTGGCAGCGTTTCGGACAGTGGAGCTGCGGGCCACGCTGCGAACTTCACCAGCGCAGGAGACGCTCTGATTGCTGGATAAGGTGCAGCCGGCACTCGCCCAGATTCGTGGACGGGTCATCCCATGATCCCACTGGGTGGCCACGCCAAATGAGCGACTCGACTGGCAATTCTACGCTGGAGGTCTGAATATATCGAATCCTCTGAACCGCCACCCCAAAAACCCTCTTGTCACCTGTACGTGGAAGGGAGGGATGCTGGCGTATGTGAGTATGTATGGGAGAAGCAGCGCCACTAAACCCGAGTCGATCGGACCTCGGGCATGGGACATTAAACTCTTTTCCACCCCGAGTTTACCCCTTCAGGAGATCTAGACCGACTCAGTCAGCGAGTTGTGTGGCTGAATGGACTATTGGGAGACCCGGTTGTCTGATTCTACCCGCAAAATCAGTTGTCAATTGGCGACGGTCCACGTACTCGCAGTTTCTTCCCACGGACTTGGCGCACTAAGCGAAATTGGCCGTCCAAGGACATACTTTTCTGGAAAGAGTTCTATGGTGAGTCTCCATGCTGGTTACCCACAACCACGAGCGAACCGTGCCGCCAGGGGAGAAAATTCCTGGCGGATTGGCGAATGAGAGAAACATGCCATTCCGGTGTCGGTGTCATTTGCCAGTTCAGCGTTCTTAGACCCATGGACGGCCTCAGGCTAGCCGCGGACTCCATCCAGGAAAAGCGATCGACAGTCCATAGATATAGGCGCTCTTTTCCATCGTCCCAGACAGATTATCTTAGTGATTATCAAGGATACGCTTGCTTTGATCAGCGGGTCTTCTCCGTTAGCACTGGTGGTGGTGAGCTGAGACTTGCTCCGTAGCTTGGGCGATCTGGTATGATGGTATGCGTGGTGCAAGGGGGGTGAAAAGAGGATTCGGACGAAAAATGAGTCTCTATTTTTCATTTCCCGAATCTCAGATGGACCCCTGGATTGGGATACTGTGGTATACTGAGAGGTCACGATGCACAATTTTCCGGGGTAGCCCAACAAGCTGCAATGGAATACGGCGAAAGATAAGGGTCGCTTGAATGGCGAGGCGAGGAGGTGTGCAATTGAAAACCACCTGACAGGCCACGTGATGGGTATACAATCCTTGAATAGGCTTTCATCCTGCCATCCATTTTAACTTGGCTGCTATCAACTCCTGTTCGTTACACGATCTAGGACGTGCAAAGTATCCGATCTGCCAGACGATGTCAAATAAGTTTGGCTCTACGACCATATCATCTCTGCAAACAGTAGTAAAATGCGGAAAATTCCTATTCCCTGTTTTCTGTCTGGGTCAGGCGGTTTCGGCTGTGTGTGGACTACGTATACACTGAACGACAGTTCCGCCGATTCCGTTGCGGTGGGTTGATCTCTGCCAATACTACACTTCGGGTGAGGGAGACGATGACGGTTGCCATTCTGGTCTCCCGCTGGAACTGATCCACTTGTTCAAGACTTCCGTGAAACGAATGCATTAGCCTATAAGGTCAAGCTCATCTCGAGCCACAGGGATCCCCTTCTGGGAAGTGATCGTTGGCCTGCGCAAAGAGTGCTTGGCTGTAGCCAAGTATAAGCCTAAATACAGATGAGTACGTATGGCGTGCAGTGACCACCTATATGCTTAAAACTGCTCATCCTTCAAGTCCCAAATTTCACCCCCTACTCCGGGCGCTGAAGCGGCATAGCCTAAGATATCGGGTTCCGCGAATGTCTTCGGCCTATACCTCAGGGTTTTCGACAGAGATACTAGTAAAAGTCCTTCTGTGCCTAGCAAGTCGTCCAGACCGAGCTGTGGGGGAATTGATTGCTGACACACCGTGGTGACGTTGACTCGCGAAGGTCTTCCGGGCCCATCATGAGTTAGCGCGTCGATGGTAAGCGCCCATGCAAGTGGGTTGTATAGCACACCTCTATGCGTGTACATTCCCCCTGCGGGCTCGTGGGCACAAATGGACTGTAGGTGATTATTGGACACACCAACTCCACGTGCATCCTGGAGGATCGCGGATGCCTGGTCTCCATACATCGGCTGCACAATTTCGTCAAAGGAAGAATAGATGGTCGTTGTGTGAACATACGCCGACTCACCCCCGAATCCTCTCAGGGTGCGAACGAACTTAGCGTCCCATCCCTGCTGCCACAGTGCGGGGGTGCACATTATCCCCGCAAGCCAGGGGCACACCAGCCTGGTTTCAATAGTCCCTCGGAAATCCGGGCTTATTGCAATGAAATCCTCCACTGAGTCCCGGGTGGATGGCCAATACTTGAGGGCCCACTGTGTGTTTAATCCGCCCTGGGACCAAGAGATGACGTTAACCTTGGACCGGTAGAGACTGGATATGTAGTTAATGGAATAAGCGATGTATTCGGCGGTAACCTGGACATCTCCCAACGAGGCCTGGGGGATATTGACCCAAGACACATCAATCTCCGGGATAGCGTTGCCCAACTTCCCAAAATTATAATAAAAAGACGTTCCAGCAGGTGCGGCTGTTCCTGGAACCAAAATCACTGGCTTCCTACCACTGTTGCTTTCCCCTGAAAAGAGATTTGGCATGTGGATAGCCTCTCTAAGAGCTGCCTCTGGGATGGAATACGGTGCATCTTCGGTTGCTTTAGACGGGTATATACTCCCGCTTTTGAGGTCAGGGTTTAGGTTATGAGCCGAGTTGATTTTGGCGTCGAGATAACCATTCAAAAAGGCGAGGATCTTGGGAGGAACTAGGCCGGAGGCCACTATGTCTTTTGCAAGATCCAGCATTGTCGAGCTGCTCTTCTTGGTGAATATGGCCTCGATCTTTTTCAATGCCGCTTGCAACTGCTCATTTCCGGGATGTTGCAAATTTTCGTTTGTTGCAAGACCTAACATAATATCCGAAGCCACAGATGATACTCTCCTATCCACCATGGGATCTTTGACCGCATTCGATAAAACTGAAACAAGATCATGGTCCGAGATTGGCACATGGGAGGGCTGTTGGGGAATTGAAATGCAGAGACATACGGGGCTCAAGAACACTCCATAAAGGAGACGTCTAGTTAGGGCAGACAGCCGCATGTTATGCAGGTTCAGTGTGCACGATGGAGAGTTGAGAAGTGGACCCAGGGTGAATGTGCTTCCCGAGGAAAGAAAATGCTGATGGATATAGCCAGCGAAGCGTGCCTCGTATCTAACAGCACAGAATATTCCGGATCTTCTCGACATGCCTCGGTCTCATGTACTGCTTACTCCTTCGTCATTGAATTGCGGTCTTGACCTGGAGAGGGCCAAGATCCAGTCGCAGTCTGAACATCAGAATTGCAAGCCCATGGTTACCGGACAATGGAGCGATTGGATGCGTCCTGCTCAGCATAGTTGCATCATCACTCAAGGGTCAGCATTTTGTCTGACCTTCGTATGGCCGGTCACCCAGTCCGCGGGCCATCCGAGAGCTATCGGGAAACAAAGACAACGTTTATGCTCTGCCACTAACTCCGAGTCTGCGCAAGTCATTCTCAATCGACAGAAGAGGTGTAGAGTATGAAGCTAATCAGCAGGTATCTGTCATACAATTGGTCCAAAGCACAACGTCTGCAGCGGTTCACTTGATCTCTCCGTCGCCACTCCATTCCCACTCGGAGGGTATCAGTGACGGGCGACGGGACCGCGAATATGACGGTCAAATGACCATGTCGCGATGTATGAACAGCACAGAGGCTTCTTGACCAAGTACTTCGGTAGTAGTGGCTGGCTGATGCTAATATTCCATTGCTCTAAGGCCTTTAGAGGACCAAGCTTGGAGGAAGCAGGTGTTTGAGAAAGGATAGAAGAAGAGATTGAAATTCCAATCAGCGCCAATGTTCCCGGGATATACAATGCCTACGGGGGAACCAAAGCACTGTAACAGTACCCCAGGCTTGAGTCATCTGCATTGCAGTGCAGTCCGGGGAAGACCACAAGTGCAACCACCACAAGCCAACACGCGGTTGCCATCACCCCAGTATTTTTAAATATCCTTTGATCCACTGGTGTTTGATTTATGAGAATGCCCTCATTATCTCACAAATGCCTCAGACCTCCGCGGCTCCGCCCCGACGGTGTCTTCCCACTTCATCCCGTCTTATCCAGAGTCCTCGGATTATGTGCTACACGATGCCCATGCTGATCGTGAAAGATGACCTTGAGGGGAGGGGGAAAATAGCCGTCAGCCGCATGTGCTCGATGCCTCGAATCTGGTCTGCGGGGTCTTGCTTACTTTGGGTGGGTTGGCTACCTCTTCTTCATGTGCTCCGGCATCGTCTGTGACGACCTTGTCAACCTGGGTTGGTTCAGTCAGCCGCGTCCGAAGACTTATTACTGAGTTGCGAAGCTAAGCCAAGCTGCTCAAGAGAAATGACTCCGAGATGGGGAATTGTAGGCTTACTTCTCCTTCGTGGGATCCTCCACGATACTTTGTATACACGTAGTCTCCTTCGTTGATTTGTTTTCCAGACTTGTCCTGGACTCTTTCCGACATGACGCGAGAGTAATGTCAAATTCTTAAAGCAATATTCCAATTACTAGGCTGCTCGAGAAATACGGTGCAACTGTCAAAAAAGAAGTAAAGCATAGAAATGTTTTAGTAGAGTACAGGAGGGACTGATTTCATACTGTGTGATGTCATGATGAGGCAGGAACGAACTCCCTCCCGTTGGGACAAGAAACCTACTATACTTCAAATTTACACAACCATCAAATATCATTCTATAAATGGTTGCTTTCAATCCCTCATCTAGTTTCAGTCCACGAGCACAGATTTATATTGGGGGATCGGCCTCGGTACGGTCCTATACCATAGCTAAGACAATCCTTGTCATCTACATCATAAACATTATATCACCGATCAACAGCAGTAAGTTGGAGAATCTTCTGGAGTCATTGATTTCCTATTGATATAGATAGTAGTATGCGCGCTTCTCGAATAGTCAAAAAATAGTAGCTCAACACGATACTATCCTATACAGAGAGCTAGGACACCGCATATCAATTCCATAAGGAAATATATACTAGTATTCATATATAGGTTTAATGAGATTTTCTTACCCAGAATATATGCTCATGCACTATGGCGTTATTATGGAATATGAATCTATCACAAACTACACAGGGACAAGTAGAGAGGAAACCGAAGAGAGTAACCACGTCAATACCAGCTGGCACTTCTCATGAACTCGCCCATGTTCCCCCTCTCCCAACAGAAAAGAAAGTAAGCGCGGATACCGAGCCATCGTCACACAGTGGTAGTCATGAAAGAAGGGGAGTGGATGATGGTGGTAGCGCAAGGCAAAATCGTCGGGTGGACGAAGTAACTGAGCACGACAGTCTCATTGAATACATAATATAAGTCCGACATGGTGTGAGTAGTATGATTGTTATGATGATAATGATGATAATGATGATGGTGCTGAGTGGTTTCGCCATCTCTTGCTGGTCTTACAATGTTGCAATCAGTAGTGTGTTCCCCTCCCTCCTTCTACCTCCCGGATGACCCGGACTAGTACTTGGACTTGGATCAGGCTCCGTTCGATACGAGGTGATGGCACAACATGTACCCGACCCGCACTATCTTTATTTAGGGAGAAGATCACGTTGCCAGGCCTTGGGTTGCATGACTGCTCGTAGTAGATAGGTAGATGGTGCTAGGATTGTGGGTCATGGTGGGGGGAGAGGGTACTTGACACGGTATGTCCTGCTAGCAAGCAAGGTGTCTTCGCTTGAAGGTGGTATAGTGACTCTGGCGTCATTTGTGTAGGAATTGATGATTATGAGGATGTTACGAACTGCCTAGGAGAGGGGACTTGTGGATGTAGAAGTGGATGTTGTTCCCGTAAGCAAAGCTCGCTTCGTTGGGATTATTGTCTAGTGTCCTGGCGGGCCACGTAGGTACACACAGACACACACACACACACACACACACGGGTTGACTTTATGGCGTTCATGGCATGGTGGCTCCGTGAAGATATGGGGTGGTGGATGGGAACTGCGAGCCACGTGGGCAGAGAGAATGTCTTGGATAAAACAGCAGTACTACTCAGTGGTAATCTGGATTATAGTCCCGTGTGATAGTAGTGAAAAGAGAACCAAGCTCATAGATATATACGAGTAATAGTAGGTATATACTATGGTGTAAGATGAACCAACGTTTATAGATTCAACCCTGCTGTCGAGTCAAGATTAATTGCATCAGGAAGCCCGAGCACCCGACATCTATCAGAATGGAAATTAAGCGGGGATAGCGCCCCTTGCAGGATCAAAAAACTCCTGGGTATCTTGACAGGCATTTGGTCCCTTGCACCAATCTTGGGCTGCCTGACTGGTAGCGAGGGGACCCTGAGACGCAGAGTGGATAACAGATCGGGTTAGCGAGTTGGGTGGTCTATTGTCCTTGCCGATGGAGATAGATCATCTTCAGATGCGGAGATGGATAGTATGCTCCTTTATCAGTAGTACCTTACTGATTTTTTTGCGTCTCAGCGCATGTCCCCGTTCCTTGGCGGAGTCTTCAGGAATGCGCAGTCTCTCTCACAAGAGGTAGAAATGTAGTACCCCTACTAAGTGGTATTTTGGGGTAATATGGTGCTATGATTAGGGAAAACTCAGCCAAGCAATTTCCATGGCAAGTAAAACACCCGGACGAAGAGATCGACCAGGTATTAACTCTACAAGAAACCAAGTGAGTGTATCTACGTAGTAAGTACTACTACTTAGTAGGACTAGTATTAGAGTATTGATGATACTAGTAACTGCCGAGGGAAGAGACGGTGATTGGCGGGGAAGAGGATGGGTAAAATGTAACACTCCCGGCCATTGGGAGCGGGCCCACTACCACCGTTGCACCCAGTCGCTCCTCGACAAAAAAAAAAAAAAAAAAAAAAAAAAAAAAAAAAAAAAAAAAAAAAAAAAAAATACGAAAAAGAAAAAGGTGTCACATTCCAATTCCTCTGGCTGCATTAAGCCATCATTGGAATTCTGAAAGAAGGAAAGCCAAATGCCAGGGAGTCTATCCGATCGTCATCCTCAACCCTGCACATCCCGCTCATCCCGCTTGTCTGTGAGGGGTCACAGTATACCTACATACTCGGTTATGTGACTAGCTGGAAGAGATTGAAATCAATATGATTGATTCCCTGACTGACCAAACTTCTGGATCAATCGGTATAAGGGTTACCGAAACATTGTCCAAACCGTATCCAAATTGACCGACTGAAGACAAAACGAAAGGGTCGATGACCTCTCCCCGATCCATTTTGGATGCAACTCTGTCGCTTGTAAACTTCACCCGGCCCCACTTGGTTCATCTCTTCCATCACGCCGGGTGGTATCTACTAACTACTAACTCTTCCTTTCTTCAGATCGAGTACTGAAGTGGTTTACGGTGTATATGTCAATGTCATTATTGATGGTGCTTCTTGTGTCTCATTGTTTACACTTCTTTTGGTACTAGTAAGGATGAGCTGGCTGCAGTTGAGGTTTAAACCTCCAGTGAGTTATGCTTATTCGTGAGACCCTTGAAGAGACTACTGAACTACTAAGTCGATGATTACTAGATCCTGTAACCGTCCGACCTCTGAAGATGATTAGATGATTAGATGATGATGATAATGATAACGCAGGTCGATGGCTATTTGGGAACACTCCTCCGTTTCAAACCTCTCTTCCTCTCTAGATACCTTCCGAGCATCCGAGGTTAGCTCTGCTCGTTCTAGACCAGACATGGATCCAGGTTTCACATAAAACCCAATCTTAGTAGTACTATTCACGGAGCAGATACTTTAGTTATACTTAGTTAGAGGGAGAGAGATCCTTTTAGCCGGGATGATGGATCAGATAACTGTACCATACCCATGCCTAGCATCCACCCATCTCTCAAGTATTACACAATACACTACCAAACTATCTCAACAGTAAGTAGTATCTGATCCTGTTGACAATAGTAGTTTCATGCATCATCACATCATCCTTAGGGGTTCATGACGGCAGGGATTTACTTTTTTCTTATTATTATTTTATTTTATTTTATTTTTCTCTATCGGTCGCCATCACTTCCGGGGGAAGTCCGAGTTACCTGCCAGTCGACAAGGTAGCAGTCGATCCTCTGTGAACCAGCACACCAAATTTGATTAGGTAACTAATTGTTGTCTAGTCTTTCACAATGGATTGATTTCTTTTCTTGAGCGAAGTATCGAGTCATTTGAATAGTGACGGCATCCATGTAAGGTAATCGAGTCGCAGGTAAATACGATACGGAACGAACCAGCTGCCAGGAACCATACCAGACAGAGCAGGGAGTAAGTACGTAGTACCACCCAAAAGTAAGTCGCAGTCGGAGTAGTCAGTGAGTTACCACCCTGCGACCTGACCGGCAAACCACTGGAAGGTATGATACCGATGGCCAGCAAATTCATGGATTTCTCTTCCTTTTCTTTTACTTTTTTTTATTTTATTTTATTTCATTTCTTTCTCGCTTTCCTTCACTGATGGATGGGATTACTCTTTATCTTCCCCTCCCCCCTGTTTAAATTGCAGATTCCTCAAGCAAGCCATTCCTGCCTGCGGGAAAGCCAATCCGGACGTGGTTCCTGACGAGGAATGAAACACGCGTTGGTTTCCTTTCCCTTTTCCTTTTCCCACCAAACCCGGTAGTACCGCTATTATTACTACTGCTGCTACTACTAAGTTACTACCGCTACTACCACTACTACTACTACTATTACTACTATTACAACTACCACCGCTACTCTCCTACTAAGAAATACTTTGCGACTCCAACAACTACAATACATTCGATACCACTCACGACTACTACCTCTACTTTCCCTTCACTCTTCCCATTCCCTTTTCTCTTCTTTTCCCTCCCCCCCTTCTTTCTCTCTTGCTCTCCCCCCTTTCAATCAAACCCCATCTACATTCCCTCAAATTAAACGCTACCGTCACTCGGGCTACATCTTTCACCTTACCTTCCGTGCAACTCGATTCATTTTCTTCCCGCCAGGCACTGGAACGCTCGCTCGTCATTCAACTCCATCCATCCGCTCTCGCCCGCCAGGTTCATCTACCACCTCCTATTACTTACCTCTACTACTATTGTACTACTACGCCTCCTCCTACTACTACTACTCCCTCTGCACAGGCAATCCCCGTCTCAACACCGGTACTCTTTCCGCTGCATCTTGTGCAAGGAATCCGTTATCCGGGTGATCTGTGGTACTTCTTAAAGTCTTGCTTTTCTCGAATTACTTCATCGCCCTGGGGTAGAGACTTGGTTCTATTCTTCATTTGCATCTCGCATCGGTTTCTGCTTTCCCCTTCCCGCTTTGGTGATTGTCATCATTCGGGCCGGCAAGCCTTGATCTGACTTCCTTTATTATCATCTTGAAGTGGCCTTTGCTCGTATCGATGCTTCTTTGACCGTCTTCAAGTTTCACTTGCCCGTATGAGCCCTTATCTCTGTTAACCATCACTACCCGCTTATACAACTACACCCCCTCCATCCCTCATCACCACTAGCTTGGGATTGGGAAACCCTCTCTGGTCGCCTTCTTCCTTACCCAAGAACCCTCTCCCTTTCTCACCATGTCGGCCCCATTGGTCAAGGTCTTGCACCGAATGCAAGAACTCTTTACGAACATAGTTGCCGCCTTGGAGGCTATGCTATTCTTCCCTTCCCTTTTCCGCGACCCCTCCCGTAAGCGGCGGAAGCCTTTCCATGGAGCGTATTGGGGACGTCGCTCCCTTGATGCGTTTGCTGATGAGGTGGATCGTCTGTTCACGGCACCTTTGTCGGTGCAGAACATGGTCGCCATGTCAGACAAGATCCGTGCGCAGTTCAGGTCTTGTCTACAATCCAGCCCCGTCTGCATGCTACCTTCCTACAACCATGCACTGCCCTCCGGAACGGAGACGGGGACGTTCCTCGCGCTGGATGTCGGTGGTTCAACGCTGCGGGTAGCATTGGTTGAACTACGTGGGCAGGGAGACATGCGCATCCTTCACGTCTCATCGTCGTACATTGACGAAGAGGTCAAGTTATTGGAGGGCACACTCTTTTTTGATTGGATGGCGGAGAAGATCGACTCGATGCTACGCGAAGTGGGTGCCAACTATGGACGAGAGGCCGTGCCACTGTCAATGGGATTATCGTGGTCGTTCCCCATTGAACAAACCTCCAACAGTAGTGGTCTCGTTATTCACATGGGCAAAGGATTTCATTGTTCAAATGGCACCGTTGGGCAAGAGCTGGGTGATCTTATCGTTCAGTCTTGTCGGAAGCGAGACCTCAATGTCCAGGTGGATGGGATTGTGAACGACAGCTCCGCGACCCTCCTCTCACGCGCCTACATCGAGCCCAAGACCCGCATGTCGCTTATCCTAGGGACTGGAACCAATGTGGCCATCCACTTTCCCGTCCATGAGATTGGACTGACCAAGTTCGGCACAAGACCGCCGGGTTGGTTCGACTACGCCAAGCACGTTATCGTTAACAGCGAAATGAGCATGTTTGGCGGCAATATTCTCCCCAAGACTCGCTGGGATGAGGTTTTGAACCGGACACACCTTCGGCCCGACTACCAACCTTTGGAGTATATGATTACCGGGCGTTATCTGGGCGAGATTATCCGTCTCATCATTGTTGAAGCGGTCGAATCTGCCAAGCTCTTTGGCGGGGAGTTGCCTCATTCGATGCGCGATGCGTATTCGTTCGATACCAGCATTGTTGCGGCGCTGGAAGCTGATACAACCCCACTTCTCTCGTCGTCTGCGGCGCTTCTGCAGAAGGAACATACATTCATCGCGTCGCCCTCCGTCGAAGATTTGCGCTTCCTCCGACGTATCTGTCAGATCGTCTCTAAGCGAGCAGCAGGGTATCTGGCTACGGCAATCCACAGTATGTGGTGTCTGCGGAATGAAGCAGAATTTCCCGCGACGGCCCCCTCCGCACCCCCTTCGATCAAGGAAACCCAAGAGGTGACCGTGGTGGAAAGCGAAGAGAATCACCAGAGTCTATCAATTGCATGCGACGGCAGTGTCATCAACAAATATCCTGGGTTCCGGGACCGTTGTCAAGGCTATCTGAATGACCTTGTGAAGGAGACAAACGCATTACGGCCGTCTTCGGATTCCACCCCTGAACCTCAGGTGTGCCTGGACCTGGCACCGGAAAGCGCTATTCTGGGAGCGGCCGTCGCAGTGGCCGTCGCGGTTGCGGAGAAGAAGCTCGAGTAGACTACGTTATCAAGCGTTTCCTTGTCTCCCTTGTGTGAACTCCATACCTATCTCTATTTGATTTGTCGGCCTGTCGGCTACATTCGCATTCCGAGGTGTTGTGCGTCAGCTTTGCATTTACTTTGGCCTCCTTTTCACTCATGGAGCTCTGGGTGTCGGGCATTGTCATTTCCATTTTGTTGTTCTATGGGGCTCCTCCTGGGCTACCCGTTTCATGCATTTGTGCTCCCATAAGAGCATTCATTGCTTTTTGCATAGACAGAAAAAGGATCATCGGTGAGGTGGGGGCGGAGCATTTCTTGACCTTCTGGCGGACTAGACGGTTAGGCATGTGGCCTGAGATAGAAGCAGGGATTGAGCGTGTGTATATAATGTTAATCGTCAATACAAGAGTATCGAGCCACCGGGCGCACTGAGGCCCTAGTGAGGCTGAAGCCGAGTCATGGGTCTTGGGGAGAGAATCCCTGCATCTCACAGCGCGCATCCTTGCCATGGCCCTGCCAACGAAGATGCACAAGATCAAGGGGATCAATCTGCGCAGGTCCGCCAATGGAAAAGGGACACACACACAATCTAGTCCAAGAACGGACAACAATGGTGAAATCTACATTCACTTCTTGCCTTTTCAAGCATCAGTCATATCATATCATATAAGTGTCACTCCCGACAAAGGTCCTGTAACAACTCCAGCATTCTCAATTGAAGCGCCGATAATTCCTCTCGGGAAAGCTGTTGCTGCTGCTTGACTGCCGGGGTCGTTGTTGTTCGTCCCGGGTTCGAGGGGTCAGAGTCCGAAACAAGACCCTTCTTAATAGTGAAAAAGGGGATCCTAAGTGCCTTGAGCTCCGCTATCATAGCATCGGACATTTGTCGCGAGGCTTTGTATACTTTTGCGTCGTAGTTGGTTAACTCGGCGCGGTCTTCTTCGGCTGTCTGTTTCATCATCAATCATTAGCTGTGTGGGCTTTTGGGGGTAACGTTTTTGTTTCGATTTTCTGTGGTGGTAAGGATTGCTAATCATCACCAGCACTATGATGAATGTTCTTCGTGTTTTGTTCTTCTTCTTTTGCATCTGTATATCCGTATGGTATGCATGCATGGGAATACATACAGAAACTTGCTTATTCTCATCAACGGGAGCGCCGACGGATCGTCTAATTATCATAATTCCATAAGTGATTAACATAACTCATCTATCTCTTTCCTGGCTGCTTTTATTGTTCTCTGTAGATTGAGGACGGGAAGTAAACAGGGTAATGCAAGACTCACAATACAGCATCCAGCTCCTTCTTCTTCTCCGTCCGGGCAGATTGTTTCTTCAAGAGCGCTTCTCGTCCCTGCCACCATTGTTTCTCGTGGTCGTGTTGTCGTTGGATTAGCCAGCGGATGCGTCGTTGGATGTCTTCGTTTTGGGCGACCGTGCGCATCACGTAGCGGAGGGCGCTGGGCCAGCTGGTTATGTTGGAGGTGTCTTCTGCGATGGATCCTGCTGGTGCTGGGATTGGTGCTGGTCGTGGTCGTGGTTGTGGTTGTTGTTGTTGTTGGTGGGGGTGGTGGTGTTGGGGTCGTGAGATGGGTTTCGGGGGTATGGGGAGCTGGGGGAGGGATTCGGTGGGTTCGTAGGGATCATTGTCTTCTGTTGGTGCTGGCTCGGGGCTGTGGGAGTAAGGAGGGTGTGATTGTGATTGTGATTGTAGTTGTAGTTGTGGTTGTGGTTGTGGTTGTTGCTGGTTGGATAAGGCGGAGAGAGTTCTGAGGACGGAGCTCAAGTCTGCTGCGTTGTAGTCCATAATGTGATATGCTCATAGAAGTGATGCTAATATTGACATATTCTGTAGCTCGACTATTAAATTAAATCAAAGTCGTGTTAATGTAAAGGCTCTCAAAGGATAAGACGATGAATATGGAGTAAATCGGAAGCGGAGTTGTAGTTAGTAAAGTTAGTGTCCGGCTCGGCCTCGAATCGACGAGGTTGGATTTCTTTCCGCTGAAAATTTCCCCGGCCGGCAATCATTCCAATTCTCCTCCATCTCCGCCTGACCCCGTTGGCTTCAGCTGCTCTCCCCTCCCGGCTCGACGCCCCAATCTCTCTTTTGGATCTGACCCTTCGTCGTCCTATCTAACTAAGCCGACTTAATTCCCTGCGCGCGCAATCCTTCGCCTCTCCCCCGCCCACCGCCGAATGTACCGTTCCGACTGATCCCATCCCGGTCACATCATACCATATTACTACCACTACTACCACCCTCGAGCATCCTCATCCATAACCCACGCTCCCCCGACTTAATTCAAAATGTCCCGCTCCGCTGCAGACGCGACCCGGTTCACGGCCACCGGGCCCTACGCACACTCCAAGCCCGGCTCGGCCAGCGCGGCGGCCCCCTACAAGCTCCCTAGCTCGATGGCCAAGCCCACCTCCCAGCAACAGCAACAGCCGCAGTTAAACGCCAATGGCAGACCGGAGTCCCCCAAGGAAAAGGTTGAGCGGTTGAGGGCCCAGGCCCGCGCTGCCCGGTTAGCTCAGTCAACATCGCGGGTGGATCAGATGATTGAGGTAGGACGTCGGTTTGCGAACAAGGCGCATAAGACGATGGTGTACACGCTGATTGCTGCATCTGGTATGTTCATCATTGCAAGGAAGTGACGACGGAAATTGACTACACATACGTGTGGCCGCCGCGAGGATATAAACCTTTGACTAACGCGTTTCGGGAATGAAAACAGGTGTCTGCGGAGCTCTAACAGTCTACTCCGTCATCTCCTTAACGCTATACAACCGTCGGCAGCGGGCTCTGTGGGTGGAGAAGGAGATGCAGAGACTGCAGGATGCGAAGACGGCGTATGCTGCCGGTACGGCTAACACGGAGCAATTGGAGCTGCTCAAGAATGAGAAGATCGGGGAGATCTTCCAGCAGAAGAAGGAAGAGGCTAAGGCGCAGCGGCCCTGGAATCAGGTCAAGAACTTCTTCTTTGGTGGTTTGAAGCAGGATGAGAAGGCTGCTACTGATAGCAGCAGCTCTATCCCCGATAGTGTCTTGGAGGGCGGCAGCAAGTCCGCAGTGCTGGAGGCGCTGAACGCTAAGGCTGCGGAGGACGCGGCTAAGTCTGCTCCTGCCGCTGCTGCTCCTAAGGGCCCGCTGGATGCGTTGGCTGAGAATGCGGAAGATGCTGCGAAGCAGTCGACGCGAAGCTGGAAGAGCTGGTTTACTGGACGGTAAGGAATGAAGAAATATCTGGTATATGGAACGGATGTATGACAGAGAGAGGAGGGAGGTGGGTGGTGTGCGAGGATGGAAAACAAGGAATTTCTCGGAGATGACGCCTATCACATTTACTTATGCTGCTTTTCTGGTTTGCATGGCATCTTCTTTTATCCTTCCCCCTGTTTTTCCACATTCTGGGGTTGCGGCGTCTATGCGGGTTGTATTCTTTTTTTTTGTCTATCTTCATTTCTTTCTAGCTGTATTCTTATCTTGCTGTTGTTCGTTTCCCTCGACCTGTGTATTACTGGGTGAGAGTTCTTGTCTTTACTCTTGTGTACATATACATATCTACTATTCTCTCTCTCTCTCTCTCTCTCTCTCTCTCTCTCTCTCTCTCTCTCTCTCTCTCTCTCTCTCTAGTATCTCTCTCGCCGTCTCTGGATTAGGATAGTGCTGTCGATGGCTTGAGGCCACATAAATCCAGAGGGTCAATCAAGCAAAGATGGATGGATCTGTACAGGCAATCAGATATTGTCGTACTCATCGTTCTATTATTGATTCATCACTGTCTACCGTAGACAGAACCTAGGTGAACAGATACAGGCCAAAAGAATTACAAAAAATGTAGAGAAAAAAGAAAGAAAAAGCAGTCAAGACTTTTACTGGAACAAAGACCGAAAATGCTGCCCGCACAGGCAGAGGCTGTCTGTCCAACACACCCATAACTCAGGAACTCGTGCCCGCAAAGTCAGATAATGAAACCAAAATGAGGTAAAATAAAGCACCCTGGCTATGGTATCTAGATCGGATTATTCGGAACAAAAGGAAAAGGGAATCACACTCGCTGGGGGGGTTCGTAAACGCAGATCATCCATCCTCAATCGCTCAGTGAGTGCCATTGCTGGCCTTGGCTTGAGCGGCTTTGGCGGCGCGTCTGGCACGAACACCATCAGCGAGGTCTTCCAGGACCTGGACGGTGGTCTCCCAGTCAATGCAGGCGTCAGTGATGCTGACACCCTTGCGCAGGCCGGAAGGACCCTCGGGGGGAACCTTCTGGTTACCCTCATTGATGTTGGACTCGATCATGACACCGATGATGGCATCCTGGCCCTCGCGGAGCTGGTCAGAGACCTCCTTGGCGACCAGAGGCTGGTTGCGGTGGTTCTTGTTGGAGTTGCCGTGCGAGCAGTCGACCATGACGACCTCGGGCTGCTTCTTGCCCGCCAGGGCCTCGCGGGCGGCCTTGATGCTCTCACGGTCGTAGTTGGTGCCCTTGTTACCTCCACGGAGGATGACGAAACCGTGCTCATTACCAGCGGTCTTGGTAATGGCAGCCAGACCTTGCTTGGTGACACCCAGGAAGCGGTGGGGGTGAGCAGCGGCACCAATGGCATCAATGGCAACGGTGAGGTTGCCGTCGGTACCGTTCTTGAAGCCAATGGGGAAACTGAGACCGGAGGCGAGCTCACGGTGCAATTGCGACTCGGTGGTACGGGCACCAATGGCACCGAGAGAGATCAGATCGGCCAAGTACTGAGGGGAGATGGTATCCAGCATCTCACTGGCAATGGGCATGCCCATGCTGGTAAGATCAGCGTAGAGCTGACGTGACACACGGAGACCTTTGTTGATGTTGTAGGACTCATCAATGTCGGGGTCGTTGATCAGACCCTTCCACCCCACTGTGGTGCGGGGCTTCTCGAGGTAGGCACGCATAATGACACAGAGGTCGTCGGAAAGCTTCTCGGAGAGCTCCTTCAGACGCTGGGCATATTCGAGGGCCGTGGCAGGGTCGTGGATCGAGCAGGGACCGACAACAACCAGCAGACGGTCATCGCGCTTCTCGATGATCTTCATGGCCTGATTGCGGCCAGAACGGACGGCCTCGAGGGATTCCTTTTTCTATTTACGCATTCTGTTAGCACCAATGGTCTGAACGAGGCATGGACGATGAAAGTAACTCAGAAAATGATCGGCTTAAGCCGCCAACCAGCACATGAAAGGGAAAAGCTTGGGAAAAATGACAGAGAAAAAAAAGAATGGGGGACGGTATGACTCACACCAGGGATCTCATTCTGGAGGTACTGAGGGGGAAGGAGGGGATCATATCCCAGGACTAATTGGAAGAACAGATCAGTATAGGCTCATTGGGCATTCGAATTGGGGGTTATATACTGACCTCGAGTGTCCTCGTTGACTTCTGTGGTGCTGATCAAAGGCATGGTGGAGGGGCAATTGGATGTGTGGGAGGGAGATGTATGAGGGGAAAGGAAGAAAGAGGAAGAGTGGTGGAAGAGGACAACAATGCAGCCTTTATAAGAGGTCTAGAAGGGTCAGGAAGTGTGCAATGGAGATGAGTCAAAGAGGGAGGAGACGGCCGAAGCGAAATCGGGGGTCAGAGAGCGAGCGAGCAAGGCACAAGCGAGAAAAGGAAAAAAAGCGAAGGGGAAATGGAGCAAATGAGAGAAGATGGAAATGGCATGAAGAGACAGAAAGTGTGGGCCGCGGGAGCGCGGACCAGCCGATGATTCACACACTTGCAAAACTTAAGGTTGGTTGGCTGCAACCTGCCGGTGGCGGTATCAGTACCGTATTTACCATGTCACCATCCATCCTCCCTCTCTTTCTCTCTTGATTCGACTCTATCCAACTCTCCTTCGACTCTCTATCTTACCTTCCATCAGCTCGTAGTCTAGATGCTGCTTCATTTGACCCGCTCTTCAAGAGGTTAATCATCCTTCCCCCCACCCCACCACCACCGCCCATTCTTCATACACCCACGGGTGTCTTCCCCTTCCCACCATGGCCCAGAACACTGCCTTCTTCGAGTCTGATGTGATCAATGCATCAAAGCCTCATGGTGTGTGATACTGCATGATTCAATCACACTCAGCTTATCCCATCTTTTCACACAATCTCGACTTCAAAGGCCATTCATGGTACAAATAAAGTTCCCGCTTTAGGTTGTGTCAACTCTACCCCCCGGCGTCTTATCGAAAACGATAGCCCACCGTTTCCAGATCGGTCACTCCATGACTTAATGCCAGAGCACATCATGATTCGGATTACTCCGATTTTCCCGTCTTCAACGTGGTCTCTTAACCACTGGATGCCATTGTTCCAAGGCCCTGTCCCAGATATCTTACGTCAATCAGCCTGTGACTCAAGGGCGTAGACAATCAAGGCTCGAGCTGTTGCATTGAAAGAGAGAGCGACTAAAGTCGGCCAGTCTAGCGTAGCTTCGCATTCGGAGTTCTAGATGTTCGACTGCATCTTGATCACATAATATGGATAAGTTTATTCATCCTAATGCATGAGATCATCCGATAAACGATGACGGCCCATGAGTACGACGCCTGTGCGATAAGCTTCGTATTTCTCAAGTCATCTTATCGCGTACTCCGTGCGGAGAATTAAGTCGCCTTAGGGGGTAAGTGAGATTGGCGGCTATGCATGCAGGGTCATATGTACTCCATAGTAACACCGCTTATCGATTGAGCCCGCTTCGTATAGGGTGAGGACCTCGTCGACTCTGCTGGGCAGTTCGATCACTGTCAGCCAAGCAACGAGTAAGCAATGCGCGTAGCCATGCATGCGGCTTATTCTGTCTTCGACTAAGCCTCGCATATTATCTGCTTTGATTGGTTACACCCAGTCACACGGTACTAGGATGGCGGGACATACTGCATATCGCTCATGTAGCCTTCAAGAAGCACCATCTCTGCGAGAACTGCCCCTGCTCCTAGCTGATTATAGTGTTAGGTTTGCTGGCCCCATGGGGCATACTTGGAGCGAGTATCCCCACGAAGGGGAAATTGGAAGGCCAGTGACTCGCCCACCTTGTATGGTAACAAGCCCCTGTACGTACCCCATGTTGAGCTAGACGTAAAACAGAGTGGCCCTGGGCGGCAGTTCCCGTGTGGACCTGGGGAATCGACCGTTAGACCGTAGATCTACTCGATCTAATCAATTTGCATTCTTGATCCCTCCACTGGAGAACCACTACCACGGTTTGAGGGGAAGGGCTCCGATCTCAGTGGACTCTGACTGGACCTATGGTCGAGCTTGCAGAGGAAAATAGCGAGTCAGAAAAATCCTGTGGGTCTTCAGGAACGCTTCAGCTCGATGTTAAGAACTTAGAATGACCAAGAAGTGTTGGTAGCCAGTCGTAAAAATCGTGTTGGGGGGAGTTGAGGCATCCTGAGCCGGAATAGCGTTTTAGACCGGCTCGCGTGTAATCGCTTTGCCGCCCGCTCACCGAGTCGGGGGAAGAACGCTTCCCCAGCACGGCCGACCCCCAGCCCCTTCAATCCCCACAGAATTCCCCTTACTGGCTTTCCTGCATGCAGCTTGCTGTCGCTGCCTTAAAAAACCAAAATACACACTAAGATAATTAAGGTGCTTTCCGTGGCCCACTGTGTCCAGAATTGCTGCGGCGGAATATCAGCTAAGAGGCTCGTATTAAAACCTGTATCTGGTATGGTTTCAGCACTTACCACTCTCAAGCATTGTTATGCTCGTCTCAAACCATTCTCCCATAACCCTTTCTCACCAGAACTCCACTTACGAACTTGGAAAGAGAAACAATTGGAATCACCAGCGTCAAGGAAATCGGTCCGATACAAAACTCAAAGCATGCATTTCCTATTTTACCATCCACATCCTTCAAGGTAGAACCTCCTCGCCTTTCCAATCCCAACAGCGGCCCCGCCCATCGGAGTCACCGGTCTGCATACCACATAGGTGCTGTAATAGCTTCACTGCGGATTCTTCTGGCTGCAGCATGTGTCTGCCATCCCAGTAATCTTTCGTGAAATCAGTCTGGACTGTCCCGGGATGCAGCGCCACCGCAAAGGCTCGGTCTCTGCTCCGTGACCGCAAATACAGATCGAAAGTTTTGGTCAGCTGAAAGACGGAGGCTTTGCTAGCACGGTATGAATACCAGCCCCCTGTTGCATTGTCCGATATGGACCCAACTCGCGCGGCCATCATCGCGTAGATAGCATGCGATGGAAGCTTCCACGGGCGTTGTACATGTGCAGATGGAGAATCATCCGCAAAGGTTGCCGATGTCTTTGTTGGCAAAAATGGTGCCAAGTGCTTCATCAGAAGCATAGGACCAAGAGCATTGACTTGGAAACTGTGCAGAGCGTTGGCCGCATCGATCTGTGTCGGAGACTTCTCCACGTGCAGAACTCCAGGTACGGTGATTGCAATACGCAGGGAAGCCTGTGGAATCTCTTCTCGTATCTGTGCGGCCATGGCGTGTATGGTCGCCTCATCTAAAACATTGTTCAGGACCAGAAGGCATGAGGGGATGATGCTACTCAGTACCAGTCACGTCAACTTCAAAGACTCTGAGCCTCTCCTCCGCCTTTCCAGTTTCATCATTGAGTTGCTTCAGTAAGCTTTTACGGAGTTGTGCGGTATCTCTCCGCGCAGTCGCAAGGACGGGGAGGTCCGTGTTGGACAGCAGCTGTCGCGCAAAGGCGAATCCCAGTCCTTTCGAAGCCGGGGTCACGAGGGCGAACCCACTGTTTGCAGGTGACATTTGAATAGCACGATTTGGATCGCATCCAGTGGGAACTGAGCTATTAATACAAGAGAGGTTGAATCCCCACGGATGAATATGTTGAAGGTTGAAGCCTAGATCTCCGTGACGTCATGCACATGGCTGCTGCTTTGAACAGAGTAGTATGTAGTGTTAGTTCGATGGCTCTCCGGTGGATGGGAAGACAGTATCAGGCTGTGCCAGATGTCTTCGGTGGATATACTTCTGCTCGCAGAGTAGACCGTCATTGTTTGTCTGAGAGTAAGCTGGCGTGTATTTTTGGTCGGAGACGGCATCAGTTGCAGGGAAGGGCTCGCTTCTATACGGACTACTAAGCCTACTGAGTTTAGAATCATCTTACATTAATAGCTTATGATTCCACGGGAATAAATCTGAAAAAGCAATTGAACTGGCATACATACCCTCCGTCATAAAGAAGTACTTATCTGAGTATGTCATTCAATGCATACTTAGCACTCCACTACATAGTGCTTGTCATCGCATCACCAAAGAAAGGAAAGGTTGTTTCCGTTGCACCAGAAAGAATGTACTCCCAAGGTACCTGATACATCCGCGGCGGTATTAATCAGTAGTAATCGGAGTGAACCCGTAACAAGATACGGTACCAGCCGTACGGCGCTAAACCCCGGCTGGACTTTGAGCGATAAGTCCCGGTCTTTGCTGTGATGATCCATCCACGTTCCAGCTCGGATTTCTTTGATTCTCCAACTAGTTTGACTCCCTGCATGCTTTGGACCAGTCATTCAGCGTGCTGCCTAGCCATGGCCTGTCGTCTTATTACTTACTAGCTTCCTTTAGTATATTACTTGCTTCCTCATTGGAGCCCCTATCTCATACGCGTGTTGCTTTCCACATTCCTACGGAGTATATTCATCAGAATCAATGTGACGTTGACCCTGGATCGAATCACACCCACCGCAATACTCTGTTCAACCTCAACTCCGCATCTTGGTCTCCACCGCTCTCTTTGTCCGGCCTGGCGCCCAAAGCGTCATGTATGCATTTTCCACCAAGCGCCAGAGAGACCAGGAGCAAGAGGACTTCGATGGAAGTGTGTTCCGAGAGACAAAGGTCCGTGTGAAGTTGAGATTGAAGGACCCTTGCTATTCCCGTCCTGCAGCTAATGATAGTCTACAGAAACACAGGTCTCTCCCTCTCCGCGCGTCCCCAAGTATCCTCCAGTTTTCTCCCCTCCCACAGAGCAACCGGCTTGCATCTGGATTCGGTTTCTCAACTCTGACCCCGGTGGAATCCTCAGACGATGACAAGGAGGATAATGGCGCTGACAAATTTGCCCATCACGGTTCGACACAAACTCGGGATCAGCCAGCACCATTAGAGCAAGGGTGTATTCCTATAATGAGCGCAAGCATGGATATTGATAATGAAAAGGACGCACCATATTCGACCAATAATCTTGATCATTCCAACCCGGGGTCTGTCGATGGATATAGCAATTACAGTCTCCAGCCGTCGCCGATCCCACATAGTCTTGTTGACCAGTCGCTGGTTATAAGTGAAGAGTCGACTACACATTCTACGGAAGGGAACACTCCTGCCGCACGGAGTTCCGTCGTAAGAGAAACTGTGCAAAGCTCTACATCAAATACGTCACAGGGTGTCCCTAGAGGTCCGTACGCGAGCCATGACAGGGTCTGGTGGTGCGGTCAACGCCTCCCCAGTCCGGTCAGTGACAATGGCGACGCCATGGCGATCAGCAGCAAGGACTCTGTGAGCGACGCTGATATGACATACATGTCCCAACCAGCGTCTCCACCACCGTGGTATTCAGAAACTACGCCAGATTTGTCACAACCGCCGGGTTCGATAGGCAACCCGACACGAGAGCATCATCTCTCCTCTTCCTCGAAGAAGAAGAAAGTGGCGCTTTCCATGGGCTACCGAGCGGATTGCGACAAATGTCGGCGCAGGGTTCCAGGTCATTACAGTCACATCATCCGTCACTGATACACTTATCCCCTTTCTGTTCTATTTATGTTTCTGTTTGCTTTCTTTGTTCTGCTTGACTTTTATCACTTGATGAGTTCATGATACCAGGCGCTATGGAAGGGTATGCACAGGGAAAGGCGGCTGGGTTGTTTATACTATGATACCAACGGTTTTCGGAATTGTGGGGCTTTACTGGCATTGGCATGACTTGCTTTGTAGATGGGACCAGTTGGGAAAGAGCACTGGTTCGAATGTATCGGAAGAATCAAAGCTTATCATTCGATCATGCACATTGTTGTCTTTTCCCAAAGCCTTGGGAATTATTTGACGGCGAACACCTCTCCAAATAACGATTCCTAAGTTCTTTATAAGCGAAAGAGTCCGGGCACTTCAGGGCCTGTCAACTAGTGGCTAGTTCGTTAATAGTGTTTCCGACTTGCTGTTCCGATCGAGCTGACATAAGCGTCCGCATCCGATGGCGGAAAAGCAGGTGACCGGCACCGGATGTCTTCGTCGGACGTCGATCCGACAGAGATGGAGAAAGAGCTTTGTTTATAGTGGACATGGGACAGTATTCGAGAGTCGACAGGATATATTTACCTCTGAAGATTGATATTGTAAGGCTGTTATCCGGGCACACATCCATAATCAGCATCTCAAGCACAAGACGGGGAACCCCCAGACCGGGACTGCCGACGACTCCACATTTTCCCTAATTTGCCTTCGCCCAGAGACCCCAGCGGCAGTGCGCTTAGCCGATCTTCATTGCCGGTAGTTCGAAGCCAGCGTGCAACTGGCTCAGTCCGCACGCGAGCCATCCCGAGCCCCGGAATCCCTTCGGGTGGTTATATTTCGATATAAGTATGTTGCCGGGCCCCGGTTTTCAACCGGGGCGAAGCGAAAGTCGAGATTCTCTCCTTCCAATTCTCCCCGTCTCTTGCTTGATTTAGCAGTTGAATATCCGTCATAATGGCCTCTCCATTCCCCCGGGGCCTGCGCCAGGTCCTCCAGAAATCTCCCTCGGACAATGTCATTCTCTCTTCCCTTCGTACCCCGGTCACCCGTGCGAAGAAGGGCGGCTTCAAGGACGCCTATCCCGAAGAGCTGCTCGCTCACGTCCTCCGGGCTACTTTGGAGGCGAACCCGAACCTCGACCCTGCTCTCATTGACGATGTCGCCATCGGTTCCGTTCTCCAGGAACTCGGTGGTGCGAAGGCTGGCCGTATGGCTCAGATCCACGCCGGCTTCCCCCACAGCGTGCCTTTCCACACGATCAACAGACAGTGCTCCTCCGGTCTGGCTGCTATCTCCACTATCGGAAACGGAATCCGCTCCGGAGCGATTAACGTCGGTATCGGTGGTGGAATGGAGTCCATGACCAGAAACTATGGCTCCCGCGCCATCCCCACGGTTCTCTGGCCCGAGCTGAAGGAGTCTCACTCCCAGGACGCCCGTGACTGCATTATGCCCATGGGTATCACCTCCGAGAACGTTGCTTCGCGCTACGGCATCTCCCGTGCCGACCAGGACGCGTTCGCTGCCGAGTCCCACAAGAAGGCTACTGCCGCCCAGAACGCCGGTCTGTTCGACAAGGAAATCATCCCCGTCAAGACCCTCTCCTATGACCCCGAGAACCCCGATGCTCCTCCCAAGGAGATTACCGTGACCAAGGACGACGGTGTCCGCCCCAACATCTCGGTTGAGAAGATGGCTAGCCTGAAGCCCGCTTTCTCTCCCACCGGTGCTAGTACCGCTGGAAACAGCTCCCAGGTCAGCGACGGTGCGGCTGCCGCTCTGCTCATGCGCCGCTCTACTGCTACCGAGCTCGGCCTGACCTCTCAGATCCAGGGCCGCTGGGTTGGCACTGCCGTTGCGGGCTGTGCTCCCGACGAGATGGGTGTCGGCCCTGCCGTTGCTATCCCCAAGCTCCTTCAGCAGCTTGACATGACCGTCTCAGATGTTAACGTCTGGGAAATCAACGAGGCATTCGCCTCCCAGGCCTTGTACTCTATCCGCAAGTTGGGTATTGACGAGGCCAAGGTGAACCCTAAGGGTGGTGCCATCGCTATCGGTCACCCTCTTGGTGCCACCGGTGCCAGACAGCTTGCCACTCTGCTGCCTGAGTTGGAGCGTACCGGCCAGGAAGTCGGTGTTGTGAGCATGTGCATTGGCACTGGTATGGGCATGGCTGGCATGTTCGTCCGGGAGTAAAGGATAAGCAAAACAAAAATAAAGGCAGAAAGAAAATTCGGGGCGTTTCCTTCTTGTACAGGTTATAGCGACTTTAGTTATCATGATATCAGCGTAGAGACGCATGTAAATACATACACGCACAATACTATTTATACCCTGTATGAAGACCTATATCTTCCGAACCAATTTCAACAAGTAAAATTTAATCCCACAAAACATACTATTACTAGTATTGATGAAATCTTAAGCGATAAGGAGCTCAACAGATCCAACAATGTCGGGAAAGGTTATTGATTCAACGATTCAAATTGACATAGTGATGTTAAACTTGCGAAGGGATGACAGGGACGTTTATAGGGTGCAGATCCAGGAACAATGTAGATCTGGGAGTCCATTTTCCCTCCTCAACAGCACTCTGAACTACATAGATTGAGATATCCATCCCTATACCGTGAAATATACTAATAAGTCCCGACCGCCAAGCCCCCATCCATGCACGCTTTCCTCACGTGACCTCCCCGGCCGGAACCTCACCACCGCGAAACTTTTCGATCCCCCATCACCTCCGTCCGGGCACCGCCAGCAAAACCCGCAACCCACCCCAATTGCACAGCACCATGCGACCGTCCATGCGATTGCTGAGCCTTGATGTTCAGGGCGCCTCGCGGACCCTGTACGTCTGCTCAGTATGCAGAAACGAGGCGCGGCCGCGGCCAATTGTCGCCCGGCAATTCCTTCGCCATGCTTCGAACACACCGGACTCGCTGAGTGAGCGAGTGAGACGCAAGCTTTGGGGTACGGATAACCCGCCTGGTCTGAAGGATCCGTATGGAGAGAGTCTGCTTGAGAAGAGGTTCGGGAAGGCCAAGGCTCAGCCGGAGGGCGAGACGGAGGTGGTGACTGCGGAGGAGGCAGCACCTGAGGCTGAAGCTGATGCTGTCGATCAGCTGGAGCCGGGGGTTGATTATGAGCCTGCGACGACATGGGAGGGGTTGGAGCGTGTGGGTCATTTGGGAGGATGGAAGAATGCTCCTCGGGCTGAGGTTGATCGGGTTGCGGCGTAAGTTGTTCTCCTTATGGTCATGGCAATGGAGATTTGGAGTTGTTTTGGCTAATTAGTTTGTCTCGATGGATAGATTCGGTCTCAAGAAGAAACTCCGCAAACAGGGTCCCCTGTCTCTTGCTGCGCATCAGGCCGCTGTTGAGATCTGTCTGATGCATGCGCTGAACAAGCCGTTGACGAGCGTCTGCAATGTCGCCGAACATGACAAGGCCGTTTTCAAGATGATCTGGAAGACTAAGATCGTGCCTGGTGAGGCTGGCAGCTGGGGCAGCGCGCTCCAGTACCACAGTAAGCAGGCTAAGGAGGCCCTCGTTTACATCTTCGAGCAGATCGGTGGTAGTCAGCCGGAGGCTGTGGAGCAACAGCAGGCTGCTGAGGAGACTGCCGAGGTTGAGGAGTTCGAGGAGGCCGCTTGGGAGGGTGAGGAAGAGGAGGTTCCTAAGGTTCCTTTCTTCGGATACCAGGAAGCTCGTGATAAGGGATTCTTGACTTTGTCTTTGGAGGACCCCGAGACGAAGTTTGCTGTTAGTTTTCCCCCGTATTCATTCCACCTGGATTGATTTGCTGTGCAGGTAGTCGCTGACCTTTCTTTGTCCAACAGTTCCTCAAGAGATTCTCCCAGCTGAGCGGCCACTTCTTCCCCGACAACATCGTCCACCAGATCTCCACCGTCAAACAGGCCGTCGACTACGTCCAGGGCCAATTGAACCCCAAGCCCAAGAAGCTGGCTGAAATCCTCGAGAACAACGACCGACTCCAGTCCCTGCCCAACATTAAGGTCTTCTCGAAGAGACAGACCCGCTTGCACCGCGATGACGAAATGGGCCGGAGGAAGATCATTGAGGCCGAGCTTCGTTCTAGAGGACTTCTTGCATAGACCGATTGCATGGCATACATATCTTGCAGGTTTGTTTGATTGGCTGGCTGGCTCAAAGATTATCTATCTCTAGTTCTTGTAGCATGTTATATTTAGTACGAAATTATTGCTGTACAATAGGAATTGACGTCTTTTTTTTTTGTTCATTTGGTATTGCTACCATCGGGGAATAGCATTTGATTGTATATCAAGTATAATATAAAATGATAAAATGAGAAACCGGTTCCGTAGCCGGCACCTGAACCCCCAGACGCCCGATGAAACTGCACCCAGATATCGGTATAGAAACTGTACAAGGCAAACACCATGAAACTCAACAACTACTTCCTAGCCGCCGCAGGAAGACTATATCCTCTCGTCATGAAATCCGTATTCTTGGCATGGCCATCCTTAGTCTCCTTTGTGAAGAGACTGCTGATATTGTCACTAGTCCCCAGCATCTTCCGCCGCTTTTTCTTCTCGTTTTCCTCCTCCAGCACCCGCGCCGTCAGCAATGCAGTAGCAGCATTCTTGATACCACTCGAGCCACCCGGTATGGGTGTAGATGTGTTGCTCCGACTGGCAGTCGCACTCGTAGAAATCTCCATGGGCTTTGGTTCCTTGCCCGCATCCGCCGCATCACCATTCGCGGCGTTCTTCTTGCGCTTCTTGGAGCCGGGGGCCTTTTTCAAAGAGTGCGTGAGACCTTGTTCTGCAAGCTTATGTCCACGCTCAATGAGCTGCTGCTTGTCGGCTTCTTTTGTGGGAAGGATGGGAATCACGTTGTCGGGGGTGTATGGCTCGTCGCACTAGATCTCATTAGCACCAACATGAAGACCAAAAACGTATGGGCTGAGATAACATACCTGCAAACACTTATCTCCCTTAAGTTGGCGGATTGCCTCCTCCGAGAAAACATGACCGCACGGCACCAGATAAACCGACTTTACATTGGGACCCAACTGCTTCGCCGTGACGGGACAGATCCACCCCTCACGCTTGTCCTGCTTTCCATTCGCGGGATGGGCTTCGCGCTCTGTGTCGACTTCAAACTTCAGCTCCACGACGTCCCGGAGTCCCTTGACCCGTCCACAGAGGATCTCTTCGCAATCGGCCTTGGAGCTGATGCCGTCGGCTTCGTCGCCGGGAAGAAGGAATCTGAGAATGGCGTCTTTGTTGTAGAGATTCCCGACGCTGTCGGAGACAATGGGTCGCATCAACTGGTTGTGCGATATCGGACATGTCGTCCACGAGTGTTCTTGTTGTTCGCGCTGCGCCTCTTTTACTTGCGCTGTGCTGGGGTTGCGGGCCGCTTCGCGGACGAGCTCGCGACGGGTTGGGATACTGGTGATGCGGGTGGTTAGTTTGTGCTTTTTGATAGAGTGGGGGAGATTGTAAGAGGCTTGTTGAGCATACCTGCCACCATCATTACCCATGTTGTCGCTGGAAGAACAAGGAAATGGTAACTGAGAGTAGTAGAAGAGAAGTTCGACTTATTGCACGCTCGCCACTCATTTACAGAAACAGCGGCAGGCCGATAAGGAGCTGAGTCAGCGAGCCCCAGAATGGGCGGGCGATTATCACCAGCTGGCCAGAAGCTCTCTCCGCATTCCTGATGGTGGATTGATTGATGAATTGATTGCTTTTTTGTCTTGCTCTTGTTAGTTTGTTCTCTAGTGCCCCTACACAGCATTGGTCAGGGAGCTCAATGCTGCCACTGCCACCATGATACTTCCTCAGGGATCGCTCTTCTTGGTGAGCATAGCTGCTTGCTCGACCGTCGTGGCTGCGGCGGGTGATGCCTCCTCTCGTCCCCGGGGTGTAGGTCCCGAATGTAAGTGCCACTTATATAACTACTTAGGCTGAGGCGGTGCTACACGCAACCATTCTATCCCAACTTGCATCCTCGCCATAATCTTGTTTTTTTTGTCGGCATTGGTCATGCTAACTGGTTTCGTCTAATGTTTGGCAGTCGCCAAGTTCTATAAGGATACCACCACCTTCACGTGCATCTCCCACCCAGCCATCCAGATCCCCTTCTCCGCCGTGAACGATGATTACTGTGACTGTCCGGATGGCAGTGATGAGCCTGGCACATCTGCCTGTGCCTTCCTGTCTCGCAACTCCGCCCTAACACCGGGTGAGCGCCCCGGCAGCGACGATCTCGAGCTGGCATCCGCCCTGCCGGGTTTCTACTGCAAGAACAAGGGCCACAAGCCCGGCTACGTCCCCTTCCAGCGGGTCAATGACGGCATCTGTGACTATGAGCTCTGCTGCGACGGCAGTGACGAGTGGGCCCGCCCTGGCGGCACCAAGTGTGAAGACAAGTGCAAGGAGATCGGCAAGGAATGGCGGAAGAAGGAGGAGAAGAGACAGAAGTCCATGACTGCGGCTTTGAAGAAGAAGAAGGATCTGCTTGTGGAGGCTGGTAGACAGCAGAAGGAGGTCGAGGACAATATCAAGCGTCTGGAAGTTGAAATTCAGGCCCAGGAGCTGAAGGTCAATGATCTTCAGGCGGAGCTGGAGGAGGTGGAGAAGCAGGAGGCGAGCAAGGTCGTGAAGGGCAAGACGGCGGGCAAGGTTAATGTGCTTGCTGGGTTGGCTAAGAGCCGGGTTGAGGAGCTTCGAAACGCCCTGATGGACGTCCGCAAGGAGCGTGATGATACCCGTGCCCGTGTGAAGGAGCTCGAAGAGATCCTGTCTAAGTTCAAGGTGGAATACAACCCTAACTTCAACGATGAGGGTGTTAAGCGCGCTGTGCGCAGCTGGGAAGACTACGCCGCCAAGGGCACCCTTGAGGGCGCCGTGAACAACGCTCAGGACCGTGATTTGGATGAAATTGCTAAGCCCGATGATGAGAAGACGGGCATCAACTGGGAACAGTGGGAGAATGAAGAGGATGGGTGTGAGGCTGGTCTTGGTATGTAAATTATTTCAGAATGAGGGTTATCGATGTTCCCGCGCTAACATCAGATTTAGTCTACCAGCTGGCAGCCTACCTTCCGCCTTCTTTGGTCGAGTTTATCGAAGGCAAGGTGCTCTTCGTCAGAGGTCTCTTGGAAGATAACGGAATTCTACCCAAGGCGGCCGAGACTTCTACGTCCGAATCCAAGGTTGTGTCAGAAGCCCGAGAAGCCGTGAAGTCAGCAGAGAAGGAGCTTGGAGACAAGCAGAAGCAGCTGAAGGATCACAAGTCCGATCTTGAGACGGACTATGGTGTCGGATCCATCTTCCGTGCCCTCAAGGGCGTTTGCATCTCCAAGGACTCGGGTGAGTACACGTATGAGCACTGCTTCCTGGACCAGACAAAACAGATTCCAAAGAAGGGCGGCGGATCCACACGCATGGGCAAGTACACCGGCATTGGGTCGGTCAGTGTTGATGTGCTCAACGAGGCGGGAGAGATTGTCCCCGAAGACAGGGTCACTCTTCAGTACGCCAACGGACAAGGCTGCTGGAATGGACCGGCCCGCTCGACGACGGTCATCCTGACATGCGGCGAAGAGGATGCGATCCTGAAGGTGGCCGAAGACGAGAAGTGCGTGTACTCGATGCATGTCACGTCGCCGGCCGTGTGTCCCGGAGGCGATGAGGGCGCAACTGCCCCGAACCGCAAGGATGAGCTGTGAGCAGTGATGGGACCATATTTAGGGTTATATTAGAGCGCTACAAGTTTATAGGTTTTGCTTATTCGAATTGCATACACAGCATCTGTTGTTCTGACAGTAAACATGAAGCTACTGACCTAATGGCCTTAGCATTGACTAGGCAGCTGCCAACTAGCAGGACTGCTGATTAGCGGATGGCATCGGAGTATCTTCTGTAGTTTATCAAAAATCCGGGCTCCTACTCATTAATGTAGCCGAGCAGTGAGTGCTGTCCTTTTGACGCAGCAGACAGGTTCAGAAAGGTCCGTCTGACCAGGTGGGATCTTCCATCCTGCAATCCCAACCCTACAGTAGACGCAGTTAAATACTTGGTGTAGCAACCCCACCACCCTCGAAACCGATCAGACGATGCTGCAAGCAACTCACCTGGTTGGCTCGCCTCGGCTATTAACAAATCTACAAATCCCATACCAACCAGGCAATGATAAGCAGATGGAATAATAATAGGAGGTTGGTTGGTTGGTAGTTTGGGTGTTCTTTCTATGGCATTCCTCTCTGAGAGTGACCCTGGTCCACTGTATCCAAGTATACCCCGCCCGCGGGGCTGCTGATTAGTTGGTGATGACTGCGAACGAACCTTCTTCTCCCCTTGTGTTATTCTGGCTTACACAAGTACACCCAGTTCTCTGATTAGCGCGGCTTTCGCGGCTGGAGATACCATCTACTAAGTTTGGCTTCTCAGGCAGTGTTGGGTTCAGGGTTCCACTCCTTCCGGTGCCTGCCACCATCGAGGGTTTTGAAACACCTGGTGGGGGAGAGGAGAGGAGATTCCTTCCCCCAAAGCTGAAAGAGGTAAATGGAGCAAGGCTTCGCTTTGGAGGAAGTTAGCAGGGAAGCTTAGATACGAGGCAGAATCATACCATGATCGTCCTGGAAGCAGCAGGGCATGTACAGTAATGGGAGAATTTAGTATTTCTGTGGATAGAGGGGGTTACTTGCCATCATTATCACCACCAGCATGAATATTTTACACAAGCCACTCCCCAATTCTATCTACATCTTCTACCTGCACTAACAGTCACCACAAACAATCAATTAGATGTGTAAAAAGGCTGTCAAAGAGGAAGTGGAATATAATCTTACCGATACGGGTCGTTCACCCAGCAAAGCAAAGCAAAGCAAACCCCTCCAACATCTCCGACTTGCTGCCTCACTTTGCCTCGCCTTTTTACTCCACCTCCACCACACCCACCTTCTCCTCCTTCTCCTGCTTCAACGTGGCATGATAGCTTCCCAGCATCTTAGTCGCAGAACCACTTCTTATTATTGACCGATTGGTTGTTGGTCTGCTTCCCTTCCCAAACCCCCCCCACCTTGCCATCGGAGGCCAACCATCATCCGTCTACACGCCCAGGAAGGTTTCAGCCAGGGCACTTCCGGAATCAAGACAGAAGAAAATAAACCGGCGGGCAATTAGGAAGACCAGGGTATCCCATTCTTTGCACTGGCAAACTAACGCAGTGGCCTGTTTCATCAATCTACCTTCGATAATCATTGAGAAATGGCATGAATGGCAATCATCCATGCCCGCAACACACACACTATCACTACTTAGCAAGTACAAGTACGAACAAGTAAAAAGCACCAGAAAATACAAGCCAGGGTACAAAGTATATACTCCAAACTAAATCTCCTAAAACCAGTAACTACTACCAAACCATGCTCTCCCACGCCTCGCTGCAGCAGCAAAGTAGACTTGGACCCAGTCATCTATAGCACTAATCCACCTCCACCTGCAGTACCATATATGAAGTACAACACTACTAGTACTACTACTGTGGGACACAGCAAGTACCCATCGTGTATCCACTACAACTCAAAAGTGATAGTCCCCAATCCGTCACCTGGCAGATTATCATTCCAGGGATGGATGGGATCGGTGGAGGAGGGGCAAAAGGCAAAGCAAACAGTCGTACAGAATATTATTTCTTTCCCCTCAAGAAGAGCATATAAATACCCTCCTGGTTCCCACATCCTCCCTCATTCTTATTCTTGCTCATTCACTGCTGTTCTGTTCACTGCAGAAAGATACTTTCCCTTACCTCGAATACTTTCATAGTATATACAGACATACTACTATACACCCCATCTACCACCATGGCCCCCTGCGAGTGCAAGTGCTGCTCTGGCAGCTGCAACTCCTGCTCTTGCTCTAACTGCAAGGTGTGTACCCTCCCAAATACTATATTCCACCATAGCTATGAGAGGATAGTATGGGTGTCCAAAGGAGACTAACGACGTTTCAACTACTATAGCACTAAGCAAATCAACCCATTGCAATACAATTTCTACTATGACAACAACGACGTCCTTTCCTGTCATTCTCGCCTCGCCACGCCTCGCATAGTTTGCTATCGTTGAAATATTACAGAAAAGCAAAGAAAAACAGAAGATGTCAAGTGCAGATGTCTTGCTCGCTATTGTTATGGCTTCTTTGGCTTGATGCGACTGTTGATTTTAGGGGAGTGGGATCAAGGTCATCGGTGTAGGGAGATTGGCTGCATGCTGTGTATGGGAGAGATGAGGTTATGAATTTTGGTTCTTTACTACTCACATTGTGATGTCTTGAGTGTTCAAACGTATATATTTCTTATTCATTCTATTTGTTTCGCTTGGTTTATTTATTTAACTTGCTTCATTTGGGTATTGCTGGTGATAGCGTAGATTCATGCAGTAGCCGGAGGTCGGGGCACAAAGTAATATTTTCCTAATTATATGTCAACTGATTTTATAGGTCGATCTCTACTAGATCTGAAAATATGCATTCATCGCTATGGATTTAGGTTGTTTTGGAATTGTGTATGTCTAGCATCGAGTGACCATTCATCCATCCTTCTAGTAACTATTTTTGAGCTAGCTTGAAGACTACTAGTTTGCCTGGTATATCATGTACGATAGACTTTAGAGAACCGGGCCATGAAGGGGGGTCAGCAGGACATACTGCATGCATGCTATGACCACCAGCAAGTTCGTGTTTATCACATGCCTCTTTTGTATGGTCTACGGTTATTTGGTTGTCTAGGCATGTCATAGTATGAGGGAACAAGGTATGGAACAATCAGCGTAGCATCTTCCATTACTACTCCATGAGATCTAGATCAGATAGGTACAAGCAGGTCGTCCTCCGATTCTATTCATATGGCCCTTTAAAGCGATAAGTTTATTTCTGTATGATAAAAACAAAGAGCTATCAGTATAGTCTTCAACAAGTAGTTGAGAAATATGGAAACGTACGGGGCACTGGCACTGGCCGGCGGGGCACTGGCAAGAGGCGCCGCAGCTGCAACCGTGGTCGTTACCTGTGGGTGAGCGACGTTAGCAACCTTGTATACCCAGTTGATAACAAAATATTAAGAAGTTATATGAGCAAGAGGATTTGCCAGGGCACAGATAACGAGTCGAAGCAAACATCAAAGAGATTCAAGTCCCATCCATCCATACCCCGCACTAGTAAACAAACAAGACAAGGATACTTCAAGGGGGCTAAGCAAAACACCTTACCCATGATGACTGGTTTTAAAGAAGTAGAAGAGTCTTCTGGATTTGAGTGTCAAAGGACAAATGTCTTCTTTTTCTCGAAGATGGAAAGAAAAAGTGGTCAAAGTGGCAGTGATTTGGGAGACGGGAAGAAAGAGAGAGAGCGGGGTATTTATAGTTGCGAGGGTCTTAGCGGGTCTTAACTTGAGCACATTTCTGCACCTCGTCTCCAGTCACCACCGCCAGCCATCTCCCTGACTGGATACCATCTATCCTGTTGCTGCAGGTTGGTCGTAAGCTCTTTTCTATGCTTGATGCAGCAGGGCAGATGCATGGATTACTACATTGTTTTTTCTCTTGCTTTCTCTCCCAGCTAACATTATATTGTGACCCAGATAGTGAATGACCTGCAGCTGAACTCGATCAAGCGCTCTACAGTGAGATAAATTCAACTACTTTTACAACTATTGGCCGACCCTTGAACATGCAGGGGGACAAGGTGACACCAATTTCTTGCCTGTGTGGAGATGTGGCACAGGAAGTCGAGCTGGAGCAGTCCGCCAACCATTCGGCACTCAACTTCTGTCATTGCACCGCCTGTCGCACGGTCACCGGAATGTTGTGCTCTACATACTACCCCCTGCAGGCTGAGCCAGAGAGCCTTGACAGCCTCCAGGTGTACCAGGAAGCTGATTGCATAAGCCGCTACTTTTGTAAGACTTGTGGCGCTCATGTCTTTGCCCACTCCAAAAACACAGGGCAGTTTTTTGTCGCAGCCGGACTGCTGGTGGGGAGACTACCCCCGACTAAATCTATACGGCATTGGCGGGCTGCCGAGACGCGTGATGGTGGCCTGACGCCCTTTCTCTCTGGACAGCCAGAAGAATCTGCTCCAGCATGTTGGCTACGCACTGTTCCGAGCAACCAAGCAAGCCATACCGAGGTCGGACTCGAGCTCTCGTCCCGGGATTCTGACGAGCTACTTGCCCGTTGTCATTGCGGGGGCGTTGAATTTTATATCACGCGGCCCGATTCTTCATCCACTAAGCCAACGTCACCGTGGTCCGATCTGCTTGCACCGTATCATTCAAGCTCCTCAAGCAATCCACAAGACGTGAAGTGGTGGCTGCAGGATGAAAATACTAAGTATTTGGCGGGTACCTGCGCCTGTCCATCCTGTCGTCTAGCCAGTGGTTTCCCCATTCAGCCATGGGCGTTTGTTCCTTTATCGAATCTCTACAACACCCGTAAGGCGCCACTGGCATTTGGCACCGGTACGATGCGGCAGTACAAGAGTTCTCCAGGCGTTTACCGCGAGTTCTGCAGTCGCTGCGGTGCATCCATCTTCTGGCACGATGACGAAAGGCCACTGCTGATAGACGTGAGTGTTGGCCTTCTTCGAGCAGAAGAGGGTTCTAGGGCCAGTGGGTGGTTGAAATGGGCCACGCAAAGAGTAAGTTTTGCGGAGATGGCAGCAGATCAGGCGTTGATCCAACAGCTGCAAAATGGGCTGAAGATATTTGGGGACGGAAATTAGGATGCACAGTAGTTTTGAACCATGCTTGCCATTCCATACGTTAACCGTATATTCATCTAGTTTATCTGGTTGTAGTACTCCGTAACTATAGCTGTTTCATGGGCCGGCGGAGATAAGCAAAAGTGGGATGGAGGGTTATCCTCACCGCCTTCCAAACGCAGCCCAAGACTTTCATTCCGCCGCCGCCGTTGAAAAAAAGATCCGCCAGGCGCGTCGTTGTGGGTTGATCGCATCTCAGCCTGTGTTGTCGCTGCAACTTATTTTCCCTTTTCTGATCCTATTTATTTTTTGCTTCTCGTTCTTTCCCTTCCCCCGTCATGCCGCCGGCTTTCGAGTTCCGGGGAAATGACCGACGGTCTGGACACCATCCCCGACATGAGTTCACCTTCCGCTATGCGCGCCCTGGAACGTCCGAACGGCCGCTTTTGAGATCTAAGCGAGAGACGACCCCAGAACAGCTACTTCCCTCCGGCGCTGCAGACTCGAAACCAGCCCTGAAGTTCGCGCCTGTTGCGAACCTTAGCGATAGCGAGGAAGCTGATATGGACGTCTCTTCGGAGGATGAGGATGAAGCAGCCCACCCGCGCAAAAAGCGTGCGGTCGATCCCAACAATAGCGGCACCGCGACGGCTGCTCCAGCACCACCACCACCTGCCCCCAAATGGTCCAATCCCGACCCCTATACTGTCTTGCCTCCTCCGGACGAGACCCAGTCGAAGAGAGTGGACGTCGTCAAATTGATTCGCAAGGCCCGCATTGCTGCAACCGCGGCACAACCCACACAGGAAGATGCGGTGAAGACCAACGAGGACTTTATCTCGCTAAGTGGCTTGGTTGATGAAGATGAAGGCGGTGGAAACGCGCCCGAAGGTGCGCCAACCGGTCCTAGGCGCCAGCTAGAGGGTAAAGACTCGGCGTTTGGAAGCAGAAAGAGGACATACGATGATGAGATCAAGGGTGTCTCTAAGAAGACTGGGAAGCCGTTGAGCAAATACTATGATGATGGCTCAATTATTGATGAGTGGAGAGCCCGTTCATCGGAAAATGCAACACCGTGGGCAAGTAGCATGGCTCCCAGTCTACATGTGGGCGCAAGGTGCGTGTTAATTTATGGTGAAGGAAGGAGACATAATTCTGACTAAAAGCAGGCTGCACAATGAGATTCTGAGCTTTTACCACTGGGTCAAACCGGTGCGCTATGAACAAATCGTGCGAGAGGACTTGGTGGCGAGGCTACAGGCTGCATTCCAGAGCAGGTACTATGGGGTGCAGCTTCGGCCATTTGGCTCCTTTGCCTCGGGTCTATACCTACCCACCGCCGATATTGACCTTGTTCTGCTCTCCACAAACTTCATGCGCAACGGTATCAAGACATTTGGTGAACGGAAAGGCCAGATCTACGCATTTTCTGCATTCATGAAGAACCTGAACATAGCGGTGCCCAATTCTATCGAGACGATCGCACATGCTCGGGTACCTATTCTGAAGTTCGTGGATAAATTGACTGGTCTGAGGGTGGACTTGTCGTTCGACAACGACAGTGGGCTAGTGGCCAACGAAACCTTCCAGCAGTGGAAGGCTGAGTATCCTGCGATGCCTGTTATCGTGTCTGTCATTAAGCAATTCTTGCTTCTTCGAGGCCTCAATGAAGTTCCAACTGGCGGCTTGGGAGGGTTTTCCATCACTTGCCTCGTCACAAGTCTTTTGCAGCACCTGCCGCATGGACATGGGACACCGAATTTGGGCAGCGTTTTGATGGATTTCTTCGAGTTTTACGGTAACGGTTTCGACTACGATTCCGTTGGAATACGCTTCAACCCACCGGGCTACTTCAATAAGGTAAGCTATCTCAATGACAGTTTGTGTGCGTATCGACTAACGGATTCCTGTGCAGAGAGTCTACAAGCTTTCTTTCAACAACAGTCCCCGTCTGTCGATTGAGGACCCCAACAATGCCGACAATGATGTCTCTGGTGGAACACGGGAAATTGCGTTGATTTTCAGAGCCTTCTCGGAAGCCTATCAACGTCTCAAGGAGCGCATGATATCCACAGCCACAGCAGGCCAGACGCAGGCCAGCATTCTGGAAGCCATCATTGCTGCAAACTATGAAGAGTACACTGAGCAACGGTGGCAGCTCAAGCAGGTCTTTGACACCGACGAAAGATTTGCCCGGTACCGTCGGGCTTCCACTCCTCCGCCGCCTCCTCCCGACTCTCCTCCGGCTGATGCTGCTCCACCTCTCCCTCCCAATCCCCCTCCTGCTGCACCAAAGTCGCAGAAGGATAAGATGACCAAGCTGCAGAAAAAGCAACAAGCTGCACGGGAACGTTCGGCTCGTCTCAAGCGCTTGCGTCCCGACATACCATCCATTCCCTATTCGATCAGCAATGAGCAGGCTATCAGTCTGGGCGGCTACAAGTCGCAATCAGATATGGACAGAGACCTTTTGATGCGAGAGAAGGGGATGTAGTACCTCCCAGCCAGAGCTAGGGGCTTCTTCGAAGAAGTCGACTCAAGACTTGTACAGTTTTTTCTTTCGTCTTGGGTTACCAGTGGGCACATTTTCTGTATTATACCCTGGGATAATTTCTCTGTCTTTCTGATTTCTTGTCCGCCTTTGAGCGTCTGATACCCTCCTTTTTTTTTGGCTAAAAAGATATCTGGGAGCATGGTTTACATTGGGTGTTGCTGTTCATTCGGGATATCGGAGAAATGCTGAATGTGGACGACACTGTGGGCTATGTGCACGTGATGGACTGCTATGAAGACGTCTAACTAACAAGCGCAATAGAAGCTGTGATTGATATCCATTCTTTGTCAAAGCTGGGTTGGTTTTCACATTACCTGCTGCCACAACCCATTGGTTAACAGTCATGTCGCTAACGCACACACACCTCTGTTACAGGGTTTATAGATTTCTGTGATGATCTTCAGGCCAGATGTGAGTATACACACAAACGGCTTGATATCGATCAGTCATCGCCCAACAGACAGAGACAGATTTCCTTCCATGACTTGGCTACGCTAGTAGCAAAAGCAGCAGCAGCAACAGCAGCAGAATTGCAAATATTGATTGAAATTAGAAGCATGAATCGAATTGGTACCGTACGTTCACGGAGATCTCGCGTCTCTTGTGAATTTGCAACCTATACCTACTTCCCTCCCTTTTCCCGTATCCTTCTCATCAAGGGAGCGCTATATGCGATCGCTTGGAGAGGAAGAGAGAGACTCGGGAGTAGTTGTGGTGTTTGGATGGATTTGGTGGGATGTGGAGATTCAGCTTTTGTATTGCAAGGAAGGCAGGTAGCTGGTCTATTCTATGCATGTGTGTTGGAGTCGCATCAAGATCATAAACATCATGTGCACGTGAAGATAATATTGCAGGATTCATATGCGGTCTAGTTTCGTCCAATGACGGGCATATCTATGCAGTGAGCAAGAGGATGAAAGAAGCATTAGAGCAAATATAGTCAAGTCTTAACGGTGCATATGCATAAGTCGTCATCAATTGAGGCCACAAAATAATTAGAACGAAAAACAGATAACAGTATCTTCAGTGATTACAGCGCAACATCAGGCGCTGCACCAGTGGGTATCTTTTCATCGGCGTCAACTGCCTCCAAAGGCGGCGTAATCATGGGCTCATCAGTAGTAGTAGCAGCAGCAGCAGCAGCATCCTTGTCCCTGGCAGCCAGATGCTCAGCAGACAACGAATTGACGAAGTCCGGAGACGGGCTGTCCCAGGCATAATCTGCCCACTCTGGGCCCAGAATTGTCCGGATATGTTGAGCCAGAGACGAGATGCGACCACGTCTGTCTTTCGACCAGGCACGATCGGTAATAATCCCCTCCGACGGGGTCAAGATAGCAGGCGCCTGTGCGGCAGAAGGCACAGCGGACGGGGGCTGCAGTTCCGAAGACTTCGGTTCAACGTCATCATCGTCGTCCTTGATCTCCAATCCATCCACGATGCTATGCCAAACACGCAGCGTCTCATCGAGCTCTTCGAAGTTGCTCACGCCCATCACACTAACTCCTAGTCTTTCCCCGGTGCCCATACCAGCCACGGAGATAAATCCCGGATCAGCATCCTCAGCCCTAGCCAGCGGCGCACCCAACGCTCCAACCGGCTTTCCCTCGCGCAACCAACTCTCCAACGCAAATCGGATAGCCACAACCTCCAACTTCTCCCCCTGGCCATCGACCCACTCCGACACCTCCCTGATCTTATTCCGCAATCCATCCGGCGCGGGATGGAAATCACCCATACTTCCAATCGGCACGCCCTGTCTCCGCAACAGACCCATCCCCAATGGCGACGCATTCGTAACAACATCCACACCCGCACTCACGAACCTCGGCAACCCCCGCGACAAGAGTCTCGTGTTCTGCAGCGTGTAATTCGCATACGACTGCACGATATCTGACGGCTCGCCGGTCTCGCGGAGGACCAGCTCCGCTATCTCCGCCAACACGTCAATGGGGAACCCCGAGATGCCGACATACTTGATGGTTCCCTCGGTATCGCGGATGCGACGCAATTCACGGATAGCGGTTAGGGCTTCCTGACGGGAAACGAACTCGACGTCGTGGCAGTAGACGACGTCTAGGTAGTCGGTGTGTAGGCGCTGGAGACTGCGACGGACGCTCTGGCGCACCCAGGCAGGGGAATAGTCGAAGGAGGAGGAAGCGATGCGGCCGACTTTGGTGAGGATGTGGTAGGATGAGCGGGGGTGGTGGGTGCGGACGTAGTCGGTGGCTAGGGCGCGGCCGAGGAGTTCTTCGGCGGGACCGTAGTAGGGGGATGTGTCGAAGGCGCGGATGCCGGAGGTGAAGGCGCGCTGGACCAGTTCGGTGGTGGGGAGGGCGAAGGGGTCGTGGTTGTATTGGTTGTTGAAGGTTGCAGTGCCCATTATCAGTGGCGGGAGGGCCGCTGAGAGGGGGGTGGAGGGCCGGGGCATTGTTGGTTCTTTTCTTCTGTCTGTGTTTCTGTTTTGTAGGGATGATGATGAATAGTAGGAGAGAAAGTATTTACAATAAGGAATGGGAGGAAGAGGGGTGAGAAAAGTAAAAGAGACAGAGGAAAAGAGAGGATGGCGAGGGGAAATAATAAAAGGACAAAAGGAGGGGAAAGAAAAACTGCGGCGGAGATAAGAATCTCTTCCGGGCAATATTCCCCGCTGGGGCGATTCCGCTCCGCGATGGCGCCATGATGGCTGACGATGAGCATTACTTTACGATCATTAAAAGATGGGAAGATTACTTCTCAAGATTGACGTTGACAATGCTAACATTTGTACACAATTCTCAGCGGAATCATGACCTTCCACGCAATTCGTGGAGGGTACTAAAGTACAGGTATCAATCCTCTGAAGAGGACACAAGAGGGGAGAAGGGATCATTAAGAACAGGAAAAGGAAAAGAACACAAAGATAGAATCATCCTTGTGCTCTGGCAGGCTCGTAGGCCCTTCGTCTTTCGAATAATATACACATATACTCTCAGTCAGGACGGAGAATGGCCCGGCGAAGAAGGCGCAACCAACTCCAGGCTGTCTGTCGACTCAGCCTGGAATCCGATATGCCATATGCCCTTCACTCAAACCGAGTCCATCTGCCTTGACGAGATGCAAGCCACCGTATAAAATATAGGAATCTAAACTCTTTCCAAGCTGCAAGTTGGAATCACCAAAACGCCATGCTATGCCGCGAAAACCGAGAGGGAGAAAAACAGGAGGTCGAGGAGATCGTTAAAAGGGGCTTCCAATGGCCGGCGCAACTGCTTCGACCCTGTTGGTGAGAGCCAAGCTTAAATCGATCGAAACGCAAGATCTCCCAGATGGCAGCCCGAGAGCAATCAATCATTCCTGAAGAAGTTGAGCTGGGTGCTATAGGCAGAAAGGGACGCATTCACCGGTCCTTATATACCTTGGGCTTCCAGCCTTCGCGCAGTTCCTTCTCCTCGGCGACCTTGCGCTCGGCCTGTCGGATCTCCATCTCTAACCTTTCCCGGGCCCGAAGAATCTTGCTTTGCAGGTAGAAACTACCACCTTTCTGGGGATCGTTGAGGTCGAACAGCTTCTTGAAACGCTCCATCACTTGCTCCAGGTTGGCCTCGCCGTTTTGCGGCGGCTTAACGTTGAGAATCTTGCAGGCCTCGTCGAGAGTCAATCCGGAAGACATGCTGGCGCCGACCTTCTTGCCCGTCTGCGCGGCGTACTTGGAGGAGGCTTGGGCTTGCTTGTAGGCCTCGGCGAAGGCCTTGCCGAAGACACGGGCGCCCGTGACAACGACTTGAGTGACGATGCGATGAGCCTGTTGGGTGAGAAGGGGGCATGGTTAGTATATCTGAGCAAATGGTGCCGATCGGGATGGAGAAGGCATCATATTGGCTTCATGAGTGGAAGGATGTCCACATACCATGATGACTGGAGTTGACAGCCGATGAACGGACTTCAAAAATTAATCAAAGCTCCAGGAGCGACGGCGAACAAAAGAAATGATGTGACCGGGGAGTAGTGGAGGGAGTCCCTGGCTGGATCAAGAAGGGAGCGGAAAGCGGATTCGATGGCGATGGAAACAGACGGAGAGGGAAAAATTCGGCAGCGCTTTAGTCCGTTTTGCCGTACCGCCGCGGCCTGAGGCGACCCCGGATTGGTTCCTGGATTGGATGTACTGACTACTAATTTAGTAGACTAGTTAACTATTGGACTGATGATGACGGGGTTGCGATGTTTGACCGTCAAAAAGAAAGCATCTATCCCCTACTTGATACTTCAGCTGCTGTACCTCTGTAGATTATTCAATAAAATCAAAGAATGATCTGTTATTTGCAGGGTTTCCCTGTGTGTCTCTCCTCTGGTCCTTTACTTGATGCATCGCATCTATACGAATGTGACTGTCACTGACGGTATCCATACCCGCCTGTCACTTCAAACTCCCACATTGTGTACTGTGTAAATTTTAGTATGGTATGGTAATATCCGGTCCAGGCAGGCTGTCACATGTTCCGAGCAGCAGACGAAAAGCTTCAATTCTCAGCTGCACCCGCGGATCTCTGGCTATTCCCCCCTTCCATCCCCGCAGATGATCGGCCTCCAGAGACCCTGTCTCTAACTTTTGGTCCCCCATCTTTCATTGGGCCCGACCAGCATTTATTGTGTGTCTCTCGCCCTTTTCCTTCTCCTCTCTCTTCTCCGCGTCTCACCGCCCGCAATGACCTTGGATGCATATGACGTCTCTGTTGTTGGATGGCAGCTCTCGGTAGGTGATACAAACAAATGCACTTTCTGACTCTGACAACTCTCCACTTCTTACATCCTTCGAATACCTGGTCCACGTGGACGAGCCACTCTCATCCCACTACCGCCCCGAATACTAATGTCGCGACAGAAGATATTCCGTGGATAGATTCCATGGCCCCATCATCATCCACGCAGGACCATGCTGACTCTCAGCCTCCGACGGTCGCTGCTTTCTCCCCCACCACCATCTCAGGCTCGTCCGTGACATCGAGACAGCGCTCCAGCATCATCGTGCATCGCAAATCGCCGCTACTGGTGGCCACGCCCCCTCAGATCACCCGGGCATTGGCCTACTCGCATCCGTTTATTCTCCCCTTGAACAAGCTCGTTGGATTGCTCACATGGACGACTGGAGACGGCTGGCAGAGCTTCCTGCTGGTAGCAGGATTCTGGACGCTGGTTCTCTATGGCGACGTGATCGTTACTTGGACCGGGCCACTCCTTGTGGTCATTAGCCTTATTCTGGGCATGTACTGGAGACGCTACTCCCCGCTGTCATCGAGGGCTCACTTGAGTGAGAAGCAAGGCCATCAGAGGGCTGCTTCGGAGACATTTCCCCATCGGCATGAAACGTTGGACGAAATAGTCGAGACGCTACGGACATTTACCACACGTTGCAATATTCTCCTGGAGCCACTCGTTGAATTTACCGACTTCTTATCCACGCAGAGGACGGCGACTTCTGCCACTACCCGACCAGCTCTTACGACATTATTCTTTCGAATCCTCTTCGTGACCCCAATTTGGATCGCCTTGACTCTTCCGCCGTTGTATCTGATCACCACTCGCCGAGTCATCATGACACTCGGCACCATCATTCTCACCTATCACTCTCGCCCGGCAAGAGTATCTCGTGTCATTCTTTGGCGATCGTTAACAATCCGCCGGATATGCTCTATAATTACGGGGCTATCCTTCTCTTCTACTGTTGATAAGGCGCAGTCGCTGTTAATGCAGAGCCAGGGCCATGCAATGAGCATTGCGACAAGACGTCGAGGAGACTCCTCCGGTGTACGATTTACCTTTGTCATCTATGAAAACCAACGTCGTTGGCTTGGGATCGGCTGGACGTACTCACTGTTCCCTTCCGAGCGAGCTGCTTGGACAGACGAGCATTTGAATCACGTCCCGTCGAAGGAAGAATTTGAGTTACCCGGTGTCGCAAACGGCAATGCCCAGTGGCGCTGGGTCGAAGGGAGTGACTGGCGTATTGAAGGGGCCGACGAGTCAGGAAAGTCGGATGCCAAAGCCGATGGCGGAGGCTGGGTCTACTATGACAATAAGGTGGGACACATTGTTTCCCATTTTCTGACAAATGTCCAGGTGCCAGGGTTACTAACAGCATGGGAACAGTGGAATGACGGTCGTCGTGGCCAAGATGGTTGGGATCGATACACCCGTCGTCGGAAGTGGTGTCGTGACGCCGAACTAGTTGAGATTCCATCAGCGGGCGAGAGCACCTCAGTGGAGACTAAATCGGGGATCGCTCAATCATTGGAGCAGGAAAAGGCAGCTAACGCCCATGAAAAAGAAATCTCATCGACGGTCGACGCCGACGCAGAAAGTCTCGCCCCATCGACCTCATCCAAGTCCCGCAAACGACGTTGGTTTGGGAGTACGAAGAGTGTAAGCGACAAAGCCAGCAGCATCTCCTCTGCTCCACCAACGTCCACGAATAACTCCTCCGTAGATCTCGGAAAATTAAAGTCCGCCACCCCTACCGGCAGCTACACGCCAACTGGGAAGTCCACCGCAACTGCAACCCGACCCATCAGTATTCCGCACGCCCGGAAGATGTCCAATCACTCGGGAGGCAGCGCCAGTCACAGCAGCAGCTTCGGCCGTGAGGGAAGTATCAGGGAAAAAGAGATGTCTCTTGCTCAGGATCGTCTGGACCGCTGGGGCACTCGCGCCACCGGGGGTACTGAACGAGCCGAGCGAGAGATGGGGTTGGGTGATGAAGTCAATATGGGATTGAGCTGAGCTACTGAGTCATGGAGCAGGAGGTGAAGCACACTGCAACTGGTGGCGTCTCAAGAGAATGGCATTTTCTTTGTTCAGAGCGGACTTCCTATTAATTATTTCGGGCTTTTATTTTGCGTCAGGCGGACGGGTGTTTTGGGTACTTCCTTTCTTAGCCTATATTCTTATTCTGTGCGGTTTAACGCCTTGACGAAATGGAGATACCCTTGTTTACCCAAGAGAAGATCGAACTTGAAGGCTAAATGCTCGGAATAGTGCGTGGTAGTTGACGACTTCTAAGGCTGGTTACAGTAGCACCCGAAGTGTATTTCGGTGGTCAACATCAAATTCATTAATTGTCTATATATAGTATCTATAGTATCTAAGCCAGAATCAAATCCCACTGTAACCGCTCCAACATGTCCAACCAATGCACATCCCCTTCTCCAGCCCACAGGATACTCAACATCTCCTTTGCTCTTCTTACATTCCCGATACCAAAGTTCGCCTCTAGCTTATTCAATGACTGTATAATGAGCTCCTGGTCTGAAGGATCCCTGCTCTCGCAGCCGGCGATGAAGAGTGGGAATGTAAGGGCAGAGTATTCACAGTGTTCGTCGAGTGGGAAGGCCCTGATTCTGCTTAGGAGTTGGTGTAGTGCGGTTGATCGGGGGAGGGAGATGGATGGTGATGGCGCTGGGACTAATTTGGATGACGCTTGTAGTGCCAATGGTAACGGAGTAGCAAGTGGTAATGATGGCGGTGACGCCATTCCCTGGTTCAGTCTCTCCAGGGTGGAATGAAGATAGAGGTATGCGGCGTCGCGGAAGCAGTTGGCTACCATGCGGAGACGGACGAGGTTTGATTCAGTTATGCCTCGTGGGATGATGTATGTGGTGTTGGTGGGGGCCCAGTCTCGGAGGGATGTGTCTCTGCGTGTGGTTGTTGGTTAGCTTTGGTTGTGTATGTTGTCGAGGGTTTACTTACATCGAGTGGACTTCTAGGTCCAAAGCTACAGGGTCTTCGGACAGTGTGGGGAGGTCGGCTATTCGGGCACAGATCTTGATGAGGTCTTCTGCGTAGCCGATGTAGATGTCGAGCTTGGAGATTTTGACATTGCCAATGTTAAGGTCATAGTTGATGTGTTTGCGGTTGTTAATTCTAGCCATGTTATAGGCGTAGACGTAGCTATGGTGGGGTTAGCTCTCGTTCAAGGCGGCTTGGTTGTAGAGAAGGTCTTACAAGCCGCTTAAGAATTCTCTCATGTCATCGTTTAGAGCATCAACTCCACCCCGAGCCATTATGAGCTCTTGCAGGGCGTTCAGATGCACGGTCCACTGCTGAACACTTCCGCGTACGATCTCGTACTTGCAAAGCATGGCCACTGCTAGAATAGCCTCATCGGGAAGACTCCGCGGTGAATATTTAGCAATTGTCAACTGCAGCCCACTCAGTGTTCGAACGTAGTAGTCTGTCGCGGCTGTTTGGGCCTCCTGTTTGTCCCGGGACCGATTTGCAAAATGCGTTGCAGATACCGCACACAGGGCCTTCATCAGGAGAGGCGATGATAGGGCTCGAGGTATAAGAAACGATCGAAGAGGGTTGTCAATACTCTCAAGGTTGGCTAGTAGCTTGGAGCCCAGCTCGGTGTGATACTGGAGATAGTGCGTATCGTGATGCGACAGATGACTGAAGTACCTACTTGGTATGGGTGGAGCAACGGTGAGTGTACCGCAGGCGTCAATGTCAGGTATTGTAACCTGCACGTCTCCATATTCATTGTCTTCATTATTCCAAGAGTATAGACTGTTGTTGTCAGAATCAGCCGGAGTTGTTGGCGCTGTTGATAGACTGCTCGATACTGGGGAGCTCGGGCACAGCCAGAGCTCTTCTTCCGGGCCACGCGAGAAACTCGTTGAAGAAGATGCTGTGCTAACTCTGCGCCGTTTTGATGCTCTGAACTGACTGAAGACATTTGCCGATGGATCTAAAGGCTCTGCCCACATTGAGCCATAGCCCTCACATTTTAAGCCCAACCTGGCGCAGCTATGACAGCTATTGTAATCAAGCAGTTAGTGCCTAGTATACCCTAGTACCAGGGACGGAGTCCATCATACCAGGGCTTCGCTTCATCACACCGCTTCCGACGACGCTTGCATGTCAAGCAGCCAGACCGTGTCCACTTGGCGCCTTCTCGTCTGCATCTCCGCCTCGTCGGGGTCTGAGCCGAAGAGGGTTGTTGCACCATGATTGCAGTATTGGATACTGTCATGGGTTAGGAGCAGATTTGTAACGAACGATAGTTATTCTAGGCTATCTAGAGTTATATGAAACGACCGCTGTTGGTTTGTTCTCTTTAGTACGTGGAACTAGTATTGATCCTGGTTAGGTGAAGCGGGCATAGATGTATATTCCGGCAACGTGCACCAGCCGGATATTAGGTAGTAGATGGACCCTGGAGAAACACCAGCCAATAGACTGGCAGTCGCACCTTTCAGGGAATAAGCCGACTGACCGTTAGTTCGAGTCACCAAACAAATGTACCTTGCTTGAAGCAGACCAGATGGAAATTGTTGAAGGACAGGCAGAGAGGCGAAGGATGAGCCTCCAAAAAGGCCGGGGAAATGTTGACGCTAAACCAGATAGGGAAGGAGATACGCTCTGACTTGGCAGTTTTTATCGATGGATGGAGAAGAAGAATTCCCCCGCTTTTCGATAGTTATTCCTTTGCTGATGAAGATCTCTCCGAGTGAGTTATTGAGAATAGCAAAGGAGAGATGATGGTCGAGTATGACATTCGAGTACTGACAATCGTGCTCGTTTATCTAGCAAGCATGTGGCTACAAAGATAAGAAAATGGACAGCCGTTATCGGCGGGAAGGGGAAGGGGGAGAGAGAGATTATCGTCTACTCCGATCTGCTGGATGCCACTATACGGAACAGATATGTTGATGGGATGAAAGACCCATATTACGTCTCTCGGCAATCGAGCTGCTTTGCAACGCTTATCCTCGCGTTCCTCGGACCCCGAAACGGAGGAGGAAGACCGCAAGGGGAATTCTATGACCAATGCACGGCGGCTATCAGGCTGTCAATCCATGGCAGATTGGCAATCCTTGAGATCTTGAAGCCGCAGTCCCAGACTTACCGCCGCCCCACTTGTCCCAATTAGGCATGTCCATCCAGACCCGTGGGGATGCTTGCGATTCTTGCGGCTTCACCATCTCCATGAGCTTCCCTTTTTCGCCTTCGTGCTGGGTCCCTCGCTGGAAGGGAGGTGTGCTCAATGGACTACATATATCCTCCTTCCCCCCCCCGGGGCATTGGACACTTGCTGTTCAGTCTCATCCAACTTGATATGACCTGATTCCCCCAAGGACTCTGTCCCAATCTATCTTCATTATTTTCCCAATAGCGTCATCTCTTCAATCAAGCACATACCCGCCTTCTGAACATGTCACTTGCAGCTCAGGGGCCCAGCTTGGCCACTTCGGCCAGCCCTCACCCGTTTGATCCCATCCGGCCTCAAGAAATCCGCTTGGCTGTCCGTATCCTGGAAGCTGCCTTCCAAGGTGTCAAGCTGCGCTACAATCGTATTGATATTCACGAACCCATCAAGAAGGATGTGATTCCATACATCGAGGCAGAGAGGTTAAGGAAACCTCTTCCTCCGAAGCCCGCGCGTCTTCTGTACTCTTATTTCTATCGCCTCGATACCGGCGCATGGTGCAAGGCGTTGATGAACGCTGATACCGCATCCGTCATTTTCGTCAAGGAGTTACCGGAGGGAGTCCAGGTGTGTACAGTTGGATTCGACCTATATTGTTTTTTGCGCTAATCAAATCTTGGTCACTTAGCCTCCGGTGGATATCGACGAATTGGCCGTTATTGAAGAAGTCTGCATGAAGCACCCCGCAGTGCAGGCGGAAATTGCAAAGCTCCAGTTACCCCCCGGCATGACTGTCTGCAATGACCCATGGATGTACGGCACCGAGAGTCTGACCGAGTCGAGACGAATGTTCCAGTGCTTCATGTACATGGTGGAAATGGACCACCCCGAAAACAACCACTATTCCTTGCCTTGCAAGTTCTCCCCAGTGTTCGATGCCTTTACACATGAGTTGATCCGCATGGATTATCTGCCGGGTGGCTCGGATGCACAGACAGTTGAAACCCAACCCTGGAAGCCTGTCAAGGCAGTTCAATATGCCCATGACCTGCAGGATGAGCCCATCCGGACAGACCTCAAGCCCTACATTGTGCAGCAACCCGAGGGACCTTCTTTCTCGGTGGATGGCAACTTTGTCTACTGGCAGAAGTGGCGCTTCAGGGTAGGCTTCAACAACCGGGAGGGCATGGTTCTTTACAACGTCACCTATGATAACCGCAGTGTCTTCTACCGCCTTGCGGTATCAGAAATGACCGTCCCCTATGGAGGTAGGCAGAACTGGACAACTTATATGTAAACAATCATGCTAACATGGGTGATAGACCCTCGCGCTCCCTACCACCGCAAGCAAGCTTTCGACGTTGGCGACGTCGGTTTTGGTCTCAATGCCAACCAGCTAACGCTGGGTTGTGACTGCCTGGGTCATATCAAGTACTTTGACGGCTACCGGGCAGACTGCAAGGGAAACCCGGTCCTGCTGAAGAACATCATTTGCATGCACGAGCAGGATAATGGCCTGCAACACAAGCACACCAACTACAGATCCGGCGCTGCTACCGTGGTCCGCAATCGCCAGCTTGTCCTGCAGATGATCTGCACCGTCGCTAACTACGAGTACATCTTCGCCTACATCTTCGACCAGGCCGCCAACATTGAACTGGAAGTGCGTGCAACCGGAATTCTATCGACGGTGCCTTTTGATAACACCAATGGCGAGACTGTCAAATGGGGCACCAACGTTGGTCCGGGCGTGATGGCTCCTTACCACCAGCACATGTTCTCTTTCCGCATTGACCCGGCCCTGGACGGTCACAAGAACACTGTTTACTATGAGGAGAGTGTACCTCTCCCCGAAGACGAGAAGAACCCTTGGCTTGTAGGCTACACCACTGAGCAGACGGTCATGGACAAGGCAGGCTCAGCCGACCTCGATATCAGCCGCAACCGGGTCTTTAAGATCCGCAACGACAACGTCATCAACCCCATCACCTACAAGCCCATTTCCTACAAGCTCCACCCAGCACCTAGTCAAATGCTCCTCCAGAGCAGCAGAGCCATTGGCCACGGCCGTGCCGAATTCGCCACCAAGCCCATCTGGGTGACCAGATACCAAGACGACGAATTGTATGCCGCGGGCGAGTTCACCAACCAGAGCCGACGCGCTGTTGGCGTGGAGACCTGGTCCAAGCGGAATGACCCTACCGAGAACGAAGACGTGGTCCTCTGGCACTGTAAGTTTTCCCCCCCTACCACCCCCCACTCTGTCGTGCCTAAATGGAGATCGAGGTCAACTCATCTAACACGCTCACTTCCAGCATTCGGCATCACCCACAACCCCCGCGTCGAAGACTTCCCCGTCATGCCCATGGAACGCATCAGCGTGATGCTGCGTCCAGATGGCTTCTTCACGAAGAACCCGGCCGTGGATGTCCCGCAGTCTTCGCAGTCCTTCAACAAGTCTACCCTCCACCCGGATCCTGCTGCTGCTGCACCACCTTCCTGCTGCAGTGCAGGATCCAGCAAGGCCAAGCTGTACAAGCGCATGGATTAGAGTAAAAGGGTACATGGTTTAGAACTTCCGCGATGTATATGGGACAGGGGAGGTGTATGATTTACGATATATAGCACGTTGCTGGCGTTGGAGGGATAGTATAACTATTACTTTGTATATACCATGAATTAGATGGATTCATCCGCAATTGGTCATGCTTCATTTCTCCAACAACCAACTAGTCATTCAAATATAGAAGTACGGTTATCTATAATCATAGTAAGAGCCGCCCGTCGGAAATTGCTTGCCAGACCAGCCTGCCTCGGGCCCGATCCATAGCCGTCTCTTATTGGCCACCGCATCGGTCCTTGGCAGGAAATCCGGCCCCGAAGCAAAATCCAGCTCTGCGATTGGCTGGTGTACATCACCCATACAAGTAGGTAGTATACCATAACAATAATACTATATAAGGATATATATATAACGAACCCAATGAGTTTCTCAAGAGTCAAGTCTTGCATCTCCAAGCTCCCTCAATACATATTATCTCCAAACCTCAAGACCAGTGAAACGAGACGTAAAATCCATCCAATGGCATCCAACCAAGACCAAGACCTCGAAGCATGCCCCAAAACCCTCACCCCCAACCCTCCCATCAAGGCCGAAGCCTCCAAAGATCCCAACCTCGTCACCTGGAACAGCCCTAATGACCCAGGAAATCCCAAGAATTGGCCGAGAGGCCTAAAGTGGCAAAATACGTGGTCGGTTTCGCTTTTCGTCTTCATCTCGCCCGTGTCGTCATCAATGATCGCCCCGGCCATGAATGATCTCGCGCAGTCGCTGGACATGCATGCGGAAATTGAGATATATCTTTCATTGAGTATCTTTATTCTCGCGTATGCCATCGGCCCTGTTTTCTTTGGTCCGGCGTCGGAATTATACGGTCGAGTGCGTTTACTCCAACTCAGCAATGTGTGGTATCTGGCCTGGAATCTGGGATGCGGGTTCGCGAGGACGAAGGGACAGCTTTTTGCGTTTCGGTTTTTGGCGGGGATTGGGGGGAGTGCGCCGCTGGCTATTGGAGGGGGGACTATTAGGTGAGTGAATTATATTCAAAGATGGATTTGAATATATATTTTCAATCGGCATTTGCACTCCACTGACTTCAACTGGTAGTGATATGTGGTCCGCGGAAGAACGGGGGAAAGCTATGGGGGTGTATACTCTGGGGCCATTACTGGGGCCTGTGATTGGACCGATTGCGGGCGGGTTCATTGCCGAGTATTCGACCTGGCGATGGGTGTTTTGGGCTACTTCTGCTGCTGCTGTCGCAGTGCAGGTAGTTGGGGTTTTCTGGTTGAGAGAGTGCCATCCGGGGACGATTTTACGGAGGAGACGAGACGTTCTTGCTAAGGAAACAGGAAATGAGGAGCTTCATACCGCGGAGAAAGTTGAGACACTCGGCTTCAAGCTCCTTCATGCGTTTGAGCGGCCGGTGCGGATGTTCACGACTCAGCCCATTGTCTTCTGTATGGCGCTTTATATGGCCTATCTCTTCGGCGTGACGTACATGATGTTTGCGACCTTCCCGGATATCTGGACCGACGTCTACCACGAGAGCTCTGGGATTGGGGGCCTCAATTATCTCTCCATCGCGATTGGAGCGTTCATCGGGCTCTTCTTTAACCTCAAGCTCGTGGACCGTATCTACAGGACTCTCAAAGCCCGGAACAATAATATAGGCAAACCCGAGTTTCGAATGCCGTCGTTGGCTGTGGGCTCGATCATCAGTACTATCGGGCTCTTCTGGTATGGCTGGAGCATTGGGAATACCCATTGGATTATGCCGAATATCGGTGCGCTGATTTACACCATGGGCACCATCTCCTGCCTGCAGGGCATGCAGACGTATATTGTTGACAGCTATCAAACCTACGCAGCTAGCGCTATGGCTGCCTGTGCCGTGCTGAGGAGTTTGTGCGGCTTCGGATTCCCGCTGTTTGCTCCCTATATGTATAACGCCCTGGGGTATGGTTGGGGCACCAGTGTGTTGGCTTTTACGGCCATGATTTTCGGATGGGGAGGGCCGTTTGTTTTCTGGAAATACGGGCCCCGGTTGCGTGCCATGTCTGAATATGCCTCTGGTTGAATGGGCTGGAGTGGCATGCGAGGTGGGATTGATGTCCGCCTGGAATGAAGCCACCAGGCGGAGGTTGTCATTGGGTGGTATGGGTATTTGTATCATAAATCAGCTGTCATAGAGAAATTCTCCTTTTGGATGCGAGATCGGTACTTATTTAGTTCGTTGCTGACCCGCCCCCTGGGTTATTCACTCTTGTTCCGATAAAACCAACCCATAGAACCATGCATTTGTAGATGTCCGGATTCATGCGAGCACACGCATGACTGCTTGCTTGATCTCGAGGTGATCTTGAGTCGATATGCGTGACGCACTTCCAGCTAGTCGCCAAAGCGTCGGGCGAGGAAGGTAGCGGCACGGTGAGATGGTAAGTGATGATAGGGGTCATAGATCATGATATCTCTTTCATGAGTTACAGACACGTTATTTCAAAGTCTGCGAGGACCGAGAACGGAGCCGTGAGAGTCTCCTTGTCCTCAACCAAGGCTGGTTTCTCCACACATTTGGTCCCAGAATAGCCAATCGGCAGAAGGGTCGAGATTGAAGGCATTGTTCATATTGGGTTCAGCCCTGCTCATATCGTCGAAAAGCTCATCGAAAGAAAAAGCCCCATCTGTAGCTTGATGGGCAGCAAACGTACTGTCATGCCGCTGGTCGATCTCTTTGGGCTTGTGTTGAGCGCGCAGCGCGGTCATAAAATCCGGTTCGGGAGTTGAATTACGAGGCGGGTTTAGTAACCAGGCCTTCAAAGTGATCTTAGCAATCGTAGCATACAAGGTCCTTCGGCCCTGACGCAGTGCTTCGTGATTCGCGTAGACCTCTGAAACCCTTTTCCAGGCAGCATCAAGCTCTGATGGCGAATAAAATCCAACCTTCGCAATGCTTCTCAGAATACAAAGGAGGGAATCCCACACGAAAAACGCTTGCATCTGCCAGCGGAACTTTTGAGTCGCGGGATTACTATACATGACATTTCTGGTGTCGAGGACCTTTTCGGCAAGGGTGCAGAGGTGTCTCTGCTGTGTGTCGGTTATAGTTTCTTGCTTGAGCAGCGGCATCCGCGCGCGTAACCGGACAGCACTAATGGCGGATCGCATAACGCCGGTGGTCAGAAAGTGTAAGGGGTTCAAGATGTCGCAGTACCGCAAGAACTTCTTCTCGATGAGGTCTTCCACCTCGTCAATCAGTCGCTCGATCTCCTCGGGGGTCCGGAACTCGATTGTACCCCCGTTCCCCTTCAGCTGGACCCCGGTTCGAGTGTAGAAATTTGACAGCTCCATCCGAGCCAAGCAAAAGATCATCTCTGATGCGCCTCGTTTTTCATGAGGCGGCTCGTTCATGCCGGGGAACATCTGGTCATCGTTAATGTTTAGCGGTTGCTTAGTATCCCAGCTGTCTGGTGAGATGGATATACCCGTGCCGGATGTTTGACCTGCGTAGCTGTCCAAGGGTAGCAGCTGCCAAAAGAGCCGCCGGCGCATCTGGACCTCAAATGGGGGCAATCCGACGCTTTCGCCGTCCCGATGCAATCCTATGCGCTGGGCCAGGCGAATTGCAATCCCAGTCAAAATCCAGAATGTATGAGAATCGATTTGAGTGCGCAAGGAGATAAGGAAGAGAGTGTAAGCCTGTAAAACCGGCAACGAGGTTGTCTTGAGCCAAGAGGCATTTACCAATGCCTGAGTGACTGCGGTCCGATATTTGTGCATCAGCTGGGCCCTGGAATCATGGAGTTCATGTGAACACTCGTCATCGGACATTGAAAATACGGCGAAATGGTAAATGGCAAACAGTATGCATTCATCGTTCTTGGAGGCAGTCGCTGGGTGCTTGGAGACGGTGTGGACTATCCTGGCGACAGTCGGAACATGAAGAACCTTGCAAAGAGGCTCGACGTTCTCCACGTAGGCATACCAGAGCTTAGCCGCATGCTCACAGCTAGGGTGAAGGTCGGTGAGGCTTATCGCGCTTCTCGTACTTGCATCCAAGATGGAATGCGCGGCAAGGGCACCAAGAAGACCGGTTGGAGTGGCTTTGTCGGGACCAGGCTCATCTTCATGATGGTTCTGTTGCTCGGACTCGGACACGGACAACTCACCCAGGTCACCTTCGCCAGCGTCGAGGAGCAGAACATCGTCAATGTGGCGAGAATTGCCATACTTGGGAAGCAGTTTATTGGCTGCAACGTCAGCCTGCGAGTTCGCTGTCCCTGGAGTCTGTCCCTGTATACTATTTGCTGAGGCCTCCAAGTCTCTTCCGCTGATAACCGAGGGGGTGGCTGTCGGAAGAAGATTGTGGTCGTGCAAGATGCGCTCGTAACGTGCCAGACGTTCATGTACATCTTCCTCGCCCTGGCTACGTTTCCTCTTGCGTCGTGGCGGCGGTGGCTGGTAGACACACTCGAGCTTGGTCTTGATGCAGTTGGCACACTTGGGCACCGCGCGGTTGCATTTGATCTTCTTGCGCACACAGGCTTGACAGTTGAAGCGGACTGGGGTCAACGAGTCGGTTTCACAGGAGCCATTGTGGGCGTCAAGAGGGAGATGCTTTGCCGGGGCGGAGGCAAGTGGGACAAGATTCCTTGTATCCTCCATTGATGGGGAACCGATGTATCCGCTCTCTTGTATGGCTATCGCGGCCGTATTCTTTCGTAGTCGGCGTTTGGGTGGCATGACCTGGGGACGGACCCCTGGCCATTTCTTCGCGCTAACTTATATTCCACCCACTAGACTAGTAGCTCACGAGTCATTAAGAGTAGGAGGTAGTTAAAAGTTCATATATTCCTGGACCCTATTGTTTCATGATTACTCCTTGTACACCCTCCAACTAATACAATATAACCCTCTATTACAATATATAGATTTAAAGAAATAAGATATATAATCACTAGACCTAATTTATAGACAAAAAGAATATTAGGTCGTTGAATCTGCATCAAAAGCATCTAGAAGCGCAACAAGAATGTTGCTCTTTGAGAAATATTACAAGATAGAATATTGTTTAGAATGTAGTAGTATCGTCAGACCATCCTATTGCGGTTTCACCCCAGCCGACGCTACATATCACACCTTCTATATTCATTATTACATGATTTCATTCTGCTTGCTATCAATTACATACAGACTTTTCCTGGGAAGAGAAAAGAAGTAGTATATAGGTCAGAAACATTGTACATAAAAGTAATGTGTCATTCATTTCCATTTCCGTATGAGAAAAGAAATCCACTCTCCTCTCATTCAGGACATACCTTAGATAAGAAAAACTTAAGATATCGTTATCATCCTCCTTTGTTCACTTCCACATTCTAGATTTTCCAGTCCGTTTCCTGGAATAGATTTTTCAAAGAAAGTGCAACAGCCCTCGAGATGGACGGTAAATCAGATCTAGAGGCCGTCATTTATTTCAAAGACGCCTACTAGATTCGTGGTATTGCCGTGGGGGGTAAATTTAAGCCTTGTTAGGAACGTGAGCCTTGGGGAGAGCGCCGGTGCCGGCGCGGGCGATGGCGGCCTCACGGGCACCGCTGAGACCATACTGGCTGGGAATACCCTCAACACGGTGGGTGGAGTTAATGTTCTTAACGAGGGTAAGCTGCCAGCAGGTAGCACCACCCTGGCGGGAGGTGATGGTGGAGTAAGCCAAGAAGTATTCCCAGATCTGGAAGGTAGTCACATGTTAGTCTTATCCTGTCATATACAATGAACCAGGGTTTAAAACACTCACTCTGAACCATCTCTTGCCGTACTTGGCCTCGACCTTGTCACGGTTGCCCATCCAGTTCCGGTACCAGCGCCAGAGAGTAGCAGAGTAGTGAACACCAACAGTGTCAATGCTCTTAATTTCGAATCCAGCAGCTTCCAGTCTGTCAACGACGAAGCCAAGGGGAGTGCTAGCGTCAGCGCCAGGGAAGATGTATTTGTTCATGAAAAGACCCCAGATGAGATCCTCATACTGCCAAGACTTGCGCAGACCAGCGATCTGCAGGAAGAAGACACCATCGTCGTCCAGCATGTCATAGACCTGAGAAAGGAAGGAAGTGAAGTGACGGACACCGACGTGCTCGGCCATCTCGAGACAGGTGATCTTCTTGTAGCCGCCATCAACCCGAGGAGCGTCACGGTAGTCAAGGCACAGGATACGGCTCTGAGAATCCTCAATACCAGCATTGCGAAGACCCTTGTTACCCCAAGCAGTCTGGTTACGACCCAAGGTGATACCGGTGACCTGAGCACCATAGTGAACCGAAGCATACTTAGCCAGAGTACCCCAGCCACAACCGAGATCAAGGATAGTGTCACCGGGCTTAACACCGATCTTTTCGCAAACAACAGCCAGCTTGTTGTCCTGAAGTTCCTCGAGAGTCTCTTCCTTGTTGGGGTCGCTGATGATACCGGAAGTGTAGATCATGCGGGGGCCCAAGAACCAAGCGTAGAAGTCATCACCGCGGTCGTAGTGGTCACGAACCTGCTCCTCATCTACCGAAGTAGCTCGAAGTCAGCACGAGATCTGGCCCACCGTGCTAAATGCAATTGAAGATAATCACGTACCTTGGGAACGGGTGTGCATCAGCATCTCGGGGATGAAACCGAAGAGGAAGTGCTTGTAGAGACCCATGGTGAAGCGGAAGTTGGCCCAGTCGTGTCTGAACTCCAGAGCCTCCAGGGCATCACACTTGAAGTCCACCTCGCCATTGAAGTACTTCTCGTAGAAGACTTCCATGGGGATCTTGCTCTTGCCGCGGTAGGCAGTACGGTCATGCTCGCTGTGGAAGTTCAAGTAGTACTCGACGGGACGACCAGCATACTTGGCCTTTTCGTTCTTGCGGGGAGAGATGGAAGAGGCGATGGACCAGAAGGCCATTAGAATGGGAACGGTGGTGAAGATGGCGAAGAAGATGGTGGTGTAGAAACCACCACCAATCTGGCGGGCAAGATACCATGGGACAAGGATGAGGAGAGCGAAGAGGAGGGTGTTGGAGAAGCTATCGCTACCCTGAGAATCCGCGGGGACGGGGGCATTTTTAATGGCCGGATACTAGGAAGAACGAGAAAAGATTAGCCTATTGACATTTGGAATTGACCAGTCCTGCTCTGAGAGGTATGTGTTAAGGTCACTGGTGTAGCTCTTCAGGAGCTCCCCATGTGGTACAACTCACCGAGGTAGTCCGCACACCGCAATCGTCAGCGGGAGTGGTGCAGGAGGCGGGTGGAGTTTCGATGAACTCGAAGTCCTCTGGGGACTCGGGATGAATATTCGTCATGGCGGAGGAGACGAATTGTCGAGAGGGGAGGGGGAGGGGAGGAGGGAGAGGGAGGAGGAGAGGTGGGAGGAAGAGAAGGAAAGAGGAGGAGAGGATTGGAGAAAAGAGGGAAGAGGAGGATTGCTTGTGAGGCGGGAGCAAGTGGATTATTGCTTGAGCAACTGATCAACCGCCAGGGTTCGGAAGACTGCGCCTAAGAAAGAACAAGAGAAGTTCCTCCTCTCTCAACATGCGGGCTTTTGTTTTTGGTTCTCCCCATTGTTAATTGGTCTAATAATTTACAGAGTGAAGCTACAGGGACTGGAACAGCCATTAAAAACGTACGTGGGATGATAACATGGAAAGTTACTACTAAATACATGAACACCACTGCAGCAGCAGCAGCTTTTTTACTGTAAGGCTGGGAGAAGTGTTGATTCTCCGACAAGTTTCCACGGATTCTAGACGAAGTGGTCCAACTGGGTCTCGCCCGGGACAAGCGGTGAGCGTCGCATAGATTAGTTAGTATCGATTTAGTATATTGGGGCTCTCTCTCACTTCTCTCTGTCTTGCGAAAAGTTGGCAAAAGTACTATTCGGGACCGAGGATGCCTTTAATAAACAACCCAGAACAGGTACAACCTTCTCAGGTTCCGCGGTCGGGAACCAGGACACCTCCTAATGAGTTACTATCTTTATCACCGATCTCAACTTCCCTATCCAAGGTTGGCATTTGGTCTATTCATCGGGTCTGAAACCCAACTGCGGTGCGTGGCCCCTTTTGCTTGGTCCAGTGGGCTTAGTCATGGGCCTGGCAAGTGAAGGTGCCCCTTAACCAGCTTAACCAACTGAGCCATCAAACGGTTAGCTTGGGAGTGAACCACTGTTTGAGGGCCGGCAACATCCACTACAGGAGGGTCCATTACGAATGTTTTGACTCTCAAGGGCCGCCGGGGAGGATAACGTGTCCATTAATCATACAGCCCAATTTCTTGCTCAAATAGGGACAAGCCCCACGCCGGGGTCTTCCGTGGGACTCGTCAAGTCATAACAGGATAGTAACACAGTAACCCATCGTAGATACATCATAACTACTCCGTATAACGCCCCCCTTTCAGGTCCACTGCTCCGTTTTGCTGACACTATCGGGTTTCTTCTGAAAAAGAATACCTACACAGTGGCGGGCGCAACGAAACATGGACGACACAAAAATAAGTAGACCGGAAAAGCAAAAAAATAACACCACTCATCTACCATGAACCCATTGAACCCCATATGATACGCCGGAAGTAGACCTCTGTATTCGCCTTAGTTCTTCACACATCACACGTCACAGCGTTAACTGGAAGTTTTGAGCTTCCTCATCTTCGTCAAATGTTGGAAGACCCTCCTCCGCATTCTCCAAGTCTAGCCCGATGGTGTCGGCGATCAGTGGTGGAGTCCCACAGGGCTGCAGATAGGTGTCGGGTGATAGTATTCCTTGGGGGACTGTGTCCGGCTCTGTTGGACTGGCCGTCCTGCCATGCAACTTGGACGAAACTTCGCGACCCCTACTGTATCCCACTGTCGTCTGGGAAGTTGCAGCAGCGGCCGTTTGCCGCATACTCGACGGATTGGTCGGTTCTCTTGATCTCTTAGACGGGAACAAGGAAGAAGTGACCCTAGGCTTGGCCGAAACAGCGGGTCTGGTGCGTGGGATAGAACGCTGTGTCCCGGACAGAGCAGCAGCAGCATCACGAGCTCGAACTGTGGAGATATTGCTGGTATGTTTCTTCTTGTTGTTGGCCGCTCTCGTTCGCGAGCGCGTTTCGATCCGGCGTTGCGTAGCGTCTGCTGCAGGCGGCTCCTCAGCTGGAACGGTCTCGTACGTTTCCTCGAAGCCAATGCTCTCAACTTGCTTCCGAATCATCTCCTCAACCATTCTGTCGCAAGCAGCTGAGTCTTCTTGAAATTTCCGCTCGCGCTTCGTGAGCCCATCGGGTCCAACCTCATTATCTCCATACACGCTTTCCAACCCTCTAGCGAGGTTTTTCGGCAGGAATTGCGGAAATGTAGTATCATAAGTGACATCATCCGGAATATCAGGAAGGTCTGCGATGAAATCAGAGACAACGGACTTCTTGATAAAGGCGAAAATCCCGCGGAACTACTACTAACCTTTGGGTTTGGGCGGCATATACTCAATGTCAGGGACATCATCTTCTACCGGTTTCGCCTGGACTTCCGGCTGGCTTGGCTGTACAAAGGGAGCGAATTTCTTCGCTCTCTGGGTGGAACCTCTTTTGATGGTTCTCTCTGGCTTCATCGTCCCTCCAGGAGGTGCTGGCGTCTGCAATCCCTTGGCTTTGGCATTTGTCGTCTTCATGCCAAGAGGGGCACGCTGACGAGGATCTGCTGCAACGCGTGTTAGCCTTACGAATAGCAGATGGCAAGGATCAAGTCATGCGACTTGGACATGGTCGTGGATTTCCATTGCGTACCCGACGGAGTGACAAAGGCATTTTTCGTAGTCAAGTTGATATTCTCCTTCTGTTTCCCCCCCTTCACGGTTTTCTTCCCAAAGGCCAGTGGATCGTTCTCATCATTCCTCAAAGGCACTTTAAATGGCGTTTTTGGTACTCGAGCGCCGGGGGTCTTGGGTTGCAAATGTCTCACGCCTTGATTGAGTGGTTTCGACGCGGCAACGGTCTGGTGAGAGTGGACCAGGTTTTCTTGGTCGCGTACAGCCAACATGGTGGCAGTTATGTATTCACACGGCTCATTCAACGATAAAGAGAGTCGACTGGCGTAAGATTGTATTGGCGGTCGGAGCTAAAGGTATTGGAAGCGGCGCGTCAGCACAGAAGGAAGGAGAGCGGACCTTGTCGACATGGTTCTAGATGCAGCGTCACGCAACCGAGATGTTTTCGGGGCGGTTGCCCGTGGAGACATAATACAGTGACAGTGTACAGTAAGTAACACGGAACGGTAAAGTATCAGCCACAGCCATTGTGGCACTGCCATCCAGCCATCCAGGGGGGCGCTGGCATCCCCTACCATACCAAAAATGGATCGGGCCCAACCACTAGTCGCGGCTGACCGCCAGGCCAGGCAAGAAAGTCAACCTTACCTGAAAGGCCCTCCTCCACTTCTCTTCCTTTCTCCCTAAACCCAAAACCCATTTGTCCTTTTGCCTACTTGCTTCCCTACTGCATCTCTGTCTGGTTTATCGCTGAGCGAAAGCCGTCCCGCAAACCCAACTCCATCACAACATCTACTTTCAACCATACATATTCCCCGTTCCTTCATTGCAAATAACTGCCCAACATGGATAAGATCAAGGAGGTGAGACTCCTTTCCCCTTCCCCTCCCCCTGTTGGCGGGGTAGCTTCTAAGCTGCCTGGAACTGCACATGCACCACCACCACATGCATCTTTTACTTCTCCCACCGCATCACTCATTCATCATGATCCATCTATCATCATTACTAGAAGGAGAAATGTATAAATAAACTTGAGATCTCCGAAAACTGACCACCATGATTCTAGAGAATGAACAACCTCCGCCTTGAGGCCGAGGAGGCCCAGGAGAAGGTTGAGGAGCTCAAGAGCAAGGTGAAGACGCTGGAGCAGGAGAACCTCGCCAAGGAGCAGGAGATCACATCCCTCAACCACCGGAACCAGCTTCTGGAGGGTGAGGTCGAGAAGCTCGAGACCGCTCTCAAGGAGGCCAAGGACTCTGCCAACCAGAGTGCTCAGCACGATACTCAGAACGAGGCTCTCCAGCGCCGTCTGCAACTGCTGGAAGAAGAGGCCGAAGACGCTGACCGGAACCTCCGGGAGACTAACGAGAAGTACGTTTATTTTCCAATTCCGCCCCCGCCCCCTCCCCGCACCTCCTTTCTCATGAGTCCCCAACGGAGCGACGCATATACTGACTACGCTGGTGCTCTAGGCTCCGCCAAACCGACGTCAAGGCTGGCCACTACGAACGCAAGGTGCAGGCTCTCGAAGCGTCTCGTGACCAGTGGGAGAGCAAGTACGAGGAGATGGCGAAGAAATACGCCGAGTTGCAGAAGGATCTGCACGACCTCGAGGTCTCCATCAGCAATGTTTAAAAAGGAGATGGCGCCGAGGCCCGGAAGATGCTGGATTCAGCCTTTTCCCAAATATACTTTTACCTTGCTTTCTTTCCTGCACATCACAGTCTGATCTATATGTTCTGTCTGCAGGGAGACGGATTTTAGCTGTATCTTTTTCGTCTTGTCATCTAGCTGGCTTCATCCGCATCATCAACCGGTCTCTCCGCTTGTCCCCGTGACCTTGTTTATCCTTTTATTGTTTACCATATTAGTCATTGTGAAGGTACATAGAGCATATTTAAATGGGAGCGCCCCCCTTCTGGCTTCTGTATTCTCAACCGAATGCTGGTTCATAAATGTGCTGTGTTGTTATAAGACTGGATATTATGAGCGGTCTCGTCGAGCCTGTGCCTTCCTGGATTTTGCCGCGCGCTCCTTCACCCTTGTAAGCTTGCGTTCCTCTTTAGTCTCGTAGCGGAACTTCTTCTTCTTCTTTTTCGGCTTGTTATCGGTCTTCTTCTTCTTTGTCTTGTCGCCTGCCGGGTTTGAGTTGGTGTCTGGTGCAGGTTTCGTCTCTGTCTGCTCCACTCCCTCCTCGTCCGATTCATTGCCTACCGATCGCAGTAGACCTTCCCTGGAAGGGTCCATTTCCTCCACGGTGACCGTTGTGTACTTGTCTTCGTCTATGTATTCGGCCTCGTAATCCACAGCTGGTGGTTCTTCGAATCCTTCCCACTCCTGGTCGCCTTCATCCTCACTTCCCGAACTCGAATTGTCTTCGTCACTGTCCTCCTCCTCCTTCAGTCTCTTGAGTTGTCGTTTATGCTCCTCAAGAGCGCGTTGGAATTCTGCGGTTCGCTCTTCGCGAATCTAGATCGCAAGCCAGATTAGTTCATGCTGCAATTAAGAAGACTGGTTGCCAGAGAATAGACATACCCTTTTGCGCTCCTCTCGCTTTATTTCACGAGCCTTTTGCTCAGCTATCTCTTGTGCATGTTTAATGCGTTGTTGTTTGCGCTTGCGAAAGCCTGTGAGAAACTGCTGGCGGTCGGCAGCGTCGAAGGTAACTTCTTCGACTTTACTGGCCACCTTTCTCCTTTTTGCCGCCGGCCCCATGATTCAATGTGTAATACAATATGAGTAGATCGACTTTAATTATGGACGAAGCGATGTTGTTCTCTGAAGCGGGGATTTTTTAGTTCAGGAAAAATTTCCAAAACGGCCGCATTGCCAGAACGTCACGGCCGGGGACAAGTCGAGCTAAGCCGTGCCGGTGGTTGGCTCGACCGCCTCCGAGCCGTCGTCGGCCAATCCACCAGCCTGGCTCCAACATCATCATCATTCATTCTTCCCGGGAGGTTCTCTAGATAGCCGTCCGCTCGTCTGATAGCTAACCCCCCTGTTCCACCACCATGCGTTTGGGAAGCATTTCGCTGCTCGCTCTGGGAGCGACGACGGCGAGCGCAATCCGCGACACCTCTCCCTTTTTCCTTGCATCGACCTCCCAGTATGCGTGACACTTGCTCGATTGCGGGACGCCCGTAGAATGTCCAGCTAATCAGTATCTATAGGATCCCTTCTACGTCGGCACAGCTTCGGACTGCTCCCGCTATTCTAGAAGATCTTTCCACGGGGCTGAGCGGCTGCCCTTCCGACTACTATGTCATTGCTTCCCAGCCCGGTGTGCACAGCACCGACTTCGCTACCCGCCAGTCCGCACCGCGCCTCGGTGCGAAGATGACAGGAAAGGACAAGAACATCCGGGCAAAGATGATTGTGAATGAAGTAGTGGGCGAGATAGAGGCGAAGGATGTCCAGAAGCTGCTCGAGAAGGAGTGCGGGGCTGAATCGACCGTGATCGACGCTTCCTGTAGGTGCTCCTTTGTGTATGAATGGTCGACAGATGAAGGGCGTGACTGACGGCAAATAATTAGCTGATTCTTACTCTGCCGATTTTGCTGCGGAGTCCCGTATCATCGTTGTTGACTTGCCCGTCCTGACTGTGGGATCTGAGCGGAAGAAGCAGCTTTCGAACAACGGTAGGTGCTCCAAACATCTAGACTACTTGCCAGAGAGATGCTTATTGTCTTTGCAGATGGCTTGCTCTTCAATGTCATTGATCAACTCCCGGAATCCAAGGGCTACACGATCCTCTACGTCACGTCCCCGAGGGAACTTGAAGACACCGGTTCCGATTTCTACCAAGCGGAGCAGGATCCCCTCCACATGGACCTCAAGCGCGACTACTCCGCTCATGACAGTCAAACCCCTTCGTCCAACAAGACGCTTTTCCAGGAATACCAATTCTTCACCCCAGGTATGTGGAGCCGAAAATTGAGTTACTGTAGGACAATAACCTGACCGTTTACAGGCATTTGGATGGGAATTCTTGCAACCTTGGTTTTCCTGATGATTTTCTATGTTGGACTGGCTGCTCTTCTGAGCTTGGAGGTTCCCTATGCAGCATTCGAGAAGGACACATCGGCCGCCGTGCAGAAGAAGCAGCAGTGATTAGCTGATGTCCTTTCAAGTTCGTGTCATTAGTCTTGCTTCTTCTTTGCATAACTTGCTATATTATGAATAGGCTGTATATCAGCGAAGCGGCGTTTGCTTATTTGTGGAATCTATCATATTGTACAAGTGGAAACTGGCACCAAACTAGGTATCGGGTCGAGGTAGATAACCATCGAACACGATTGATGACGAATCCTGGAATGTCTCATATTAAAGTTAGAAATGAAGTGAATGGTCCAATAGCCTGAACTTTCCTCGCCGCTAAGAATAACTTCCATGAGTATCACGTGGGTCGTGGTGCCGTAGCCTCAGGCCGGCCGAGGATGGCACGGGGCAACCACCGCTTGGCTTGTCAAAGACCTCGTCTTTGCTCGCTCTCTTTATGCTTATCACTCGCTTTGGGGGGCTTTCAAGACACGGATCAACCGCACAGCGGCTATCGCTGTAGTCTCTCGTTTGGCTGTCGGCCCTACCTTAGCGATCATTGTCTTACCCTTATTTCCATTGCTTGTTGACCCTCTTGTTTTGGGTGGAGACCGAGATTAAGTCCCGCCCGCCTGCCTGGAGACACCCGCTATCCATGCAATCAATCTACGACCAGAGACGTCCGGTTCAGTTCTTGCTCTGCTGACAGCTTCATATCCCTATTGACTATGAACTTGTGTCCTTTGCATCAACTCTAACTGCGCCGATCATTGTTGGTTCTACGAACTCTCGTTACCACTCGATCTGATAGATACCCAGGGAGTCTATATCAACCATGGTAGCCCTGTCGGTGGGCCTCTCAAGGGCCCGCCAGCCTTCATTCATACTTCTTCTATTGTTTATGATTGTCTTTGTTGCGCAAGTTTCAGTCGCTCAAGATTCCACCACAGACGACTCTACAACGACTGCCGCTACCACAGCGGACACCTCTTCATCTACGGACTCGGCGACCACCACGTCAGACGACAGTACTACCACCTCAGCTGCAACCACGACGGACTCATCGTCTAGCTCGACGACAGATGCTACGTCCACGTCAACTGACTCAAGCTCTTCTTCTTCCTCTTCCTCAACCAGTGGCTACCCCATCGTCACTGTTCCACCCACAGCCGATGCACCGTACATGCAGAAGTCGAAGATGCCCGAGGGGACTCTGTTCATCGTTGTCGGAGCTGTCCTTGGTGCCATTGGATTCGCTATTCTGGCCTGGCGTGCCCTCGTAGCTTGGTCAGTCAACCGCTCCGTCCGACAAGCCGCCATGGTTCGATCATCCGAAACCAAAGGACTGCTTCGCACCAAGAAGCGAAGATCTCGCTCAAGGAGGTCGACCTCCGGACCAGGCGTAACCCTCGAGAAGTCGGGGGCTGGAGGGCATCATCACCACCGTCACAGCCACCGACACCATAGGTCCCCCTCCACCAAGACCCCCAGCTCCAACAGCGCGCTGTTCTTCTCTCCCACCTCTGGGATGCATCGCGACAACAGCAGTAACAGGCGGTCTGCCTATCTCCCCGCTGGCTACTACAACACCGGCAGTGCAGCGCCTCCTCGGACTCACGAAGCACGCTTCTCGGCAGCTGATTTACCAGGCATGGGACCTCAGTCGCAGGGCTATATGAAGGCCAAATCAGCCCCTAGCCCTCCCGAATCACCAGGTCTAGTACCGGCAGCCAATGAACAAGACACGACGCCCCGTCGTAGTGCCAGACGGTCCCGCATGGAAGACCCTTCTACCAGCAGCGTGAATCTTTCTTCTCCTCCTCAGGGCCGCACACCAAGCGCATACCTGGAGGACTTGTTCGATAATCACAGTACGCCTCAGAACAGACATTGATATGACCTATCTATGCTGCTGTACGAGCGATGATCTTTTTTTTTTTTTTTTTTTTTCCCATTCCTATTATCTCCTTTGCTGTGTTGTATAGTTTGGCATTTTCTCCATTATGCAGATCCCTTGTTTGTTCATCCTTTCCACTTCCCTTCCTGTCATATGTTTATTACTGTATTGTATATTGTTCATTTCCAGTTCCATAATGTTGGCTAATCCCCTTTCACGATCAACGAGTGTCTGTCTAGTTATTTATTGTTCCGCCCTTCTATCATTATCTAGTATGTTTTGCTTCTCTTCCTTCCATTTGGCGTCCATGCTATTACTGTAACCTCCATCAGTGGAAAGAAAAGCACGCATCTTATTAATGATTACCATTAGTATTACCAGTTAAGCGAGCGCACTGTCCCACGACAGTCCCGATTATCGCACCAGCCAGCACTTTGACCAACCCGCAGTCCTTCCTTACCCTAGCGAGTTCCAGAATGAGTATTAGGTACCCAATAATAAAGGAAAGTCATTACAGCGAAAGAAATGAAGAGCCCGAAGAGAATGGTAAGAAAGGAAAAAAAGAATAAGATATAGGAAATAATGAAATGGGATAAACAAAAAAAGCAGACTGAGGATTTATACTATACGTTTAGCGTATACGAAACAACACAAGAACTGCTCCGCAACACTCCCTTCCCTTATTCTTGCCCAATATAATATGATACAGACGCCTCTCCGCCGCCCAATAGAAAAAGGAAAAGAAGAATGTAAATATAGGTGTGTATAAAACAGACAAGTGTATAGTAGGAACGGAGCCAAGCCAATCCAAATCAAGTCAAGTCAAATTGGAAGAAGTGAAAGGGCCGGATGGGTCCAAGACGCCGCAAACCAAGCCAAGAAGTGGGAAAAAGGCAGGAGAAAGAGGCAGAAGGAAGATAGATGTTCTCACATACGTAATCACAATAACAATGAATGCTGGCTACAATGTTGGATACACAAAAATCATGTCAGTTTATAGAGAATTGGGTGAGAAGCCCCCTTGACAAGGAGAAAGGTGCGGCAAGGCGGCATGATTTCAGTCTGCGTCCAATTTGCCGCCAAACTCGCCAAGGAGGATATCGTCTGGGGCAGGACCGCGGCTGTTCCGTACTGTTGTTGATTGCCACGAGTCAGTTGAAAGGTGCCACGGTAACGTGCTTGTGAGATGGATGGGTGACTTACTCCACTCGGCCTCGACGCGGAGGAAAACCCACATCCACCGACGGGCGACCTCGGAGAACATGAGGACAAAAATTCCAAATTCGGTCTCACTCATCCAGACAAATCCGGGCACATATCTAGAGAGCCAGGAGAAACGGATGGCCAGATCAATGATGATCGCGAGGTAGTACTGTCGGTTGGTGAAGTAGCGATGGCGGCGCAGTCCGTATGGGTGTTCGTGGCTACGGCGTGCCGGAGTAAAAAGGGTCAAATCCCAATCCTTGGTGATGTCCCAATAGAAGGAGTATGCGGAGTTGATGAATGTGAAGAAGAACCTGTAGTTGAAAGAGCGCGGTTAGCAGGAGCCACTGGCAGAAGACGGGAAACAGATGTAAAGCACGTACAAAAGCCGCGAAAGGCTCATCTCACTGTAGCCGTAAAAATCCAGAGGGTTGTAGTTCTTCAACTTGGCTGCCAGGATGATGACTGGAAACGCGGTGGCGTACTTCAGGGCGTTAGCCAAGTGCTGGCCACCCTGGCTGCCCGCGCCTTGGCTACGCTGGGTAGCCCGACGCACACGCAAGTATTCAATGAGACATTGGCGCAGTCGAATGATACTGGGGAAAGCGATGATCAAGGGAACGACGTAGTCGTTCGTGCGACACTTGCGGGTGGGCTTGGACGTGCTGGAGACGTCCGTGGTAAAGAACATGCAGAAGGTAACAACCAAGTCCGCGAAGACTCTAGAATAACTTGTCAGAGCATCTGCCAGCAGAATATCCCCGAATTTGCCATCTTGCGCTTCCGCCAGACCTCCAAGACTGATGCGCTTCAGGGTCATGAAGAACCGATATCGGCCCGAGCGCGCGATTCGATGAAAGGGCAGGATGAGGATAAACAGTCCTATGAAGAAGTATGATTGCGGAATAAATTCCACCGCCTCGACGCGTTCCGCGGAGCCATGGGTGGCGGGCCAGAAGATAAGGAGGGAGATGGCGAGCGGGATGGTCAGGAGAGTGGACAGCTGGTATGTCGAGGCATAATGCGGGCGTTGACTGGAGGATTGTCGAGCAGGGTATTTAATCAGGGAAGGGACATCCTAAGAGATGCCAGTCAGCGAAAGTATATAACTATAGAGAAAAAAGAAGGCGGAGGGAAGGAGGATGAGGAGGGAGAAGGAGGGGCATCACCCACAATATTTGCCTTTAGGAGGTACTGCAGATTAACACCCCAACCCCAGAAACCTATCGATAACGAATGTTAGCCAGAATGAAATGCCGGGGATAAGAGGAGGGGGGGATCATCCAAGGGGGGGTAGCATACCAGCCAGCAGTATTACCGCCACACGATAGGGGAAGGGAAGGAAGAGACTGAAGCGATCCAATTGAGCATGTTGATCGACACCCATATTCCATTGAAGAGACGGCGGCGCCGGTAATTCAGCACCAGAGGGAGACCGAGAGGGAGGGTTCGGAGTGACTCGAGTTGAGGCTCGAGGCACGGAGCCAGTAGTGAAGAGTATGTAGCGACAGTGACTGATCGGGCGAAGGGGGGAGGAGGGGGGGAGATCAAGGAGCGACTCGGGGGTGAGGTTGACGACCACAAAGGGCACTCAAATCATGACCAGCGAAGCAGTTTAAGCAGCGGGAAGTGAAGAAGCTCAGGGACCGCCGGTTTCAGGTCGGCTTTCCACTTTGGACGGGGGCCCAGCGGCTCCGCGCGGCTTTCCGGCTTGCAACGACACGCACTTGTCCCGCTTTGGGTCTAGCCTGGCCTCTTTGGGACATGACCCTTGGCACGTGATTTGCAGTCATGTGATGAGGGTCACGTTGTTGCTGTCTAGAGCATCACGTGAGTATTACCGAGGCATCTTCGTTGCTCCTCCGCCTTTACGGGGATCCGCTGCTTGAATGCCGGCGCTGCCATACAATCCCACGCGCCTTATCTCTCTCTCTCTCTTTCTCTCCATCTTGTCCGGCCATGATAGCTGTGCCAACGAGGGAATAGCTCTCATCCATATTGACTACCAGTTGATTCTCTCACCCGTCACCTCTCACCATTCAACACTTTCCTCACAATGGCCGACGACGATCTCTCCTTGACCACCTCCGCTCCGACACCGTCCGTCTCTCCCTCGGCTCATTTCTACCCTTTCGCTACCTCCCCAGATATCATTCGGTCGCATGAAAAGGATGTCTTTATGACAGGGAGCTTGACAAGCCAAGCTCATTCGATAGTGCGCTCTCTCCGCGGAGCTCGCTATGCACACACGCACTCCGATGCCATCAAACACCTAACCGAGATTCTCTACTTTGCCTTGACCACCTTCATTGGAAACCGAACCCTAGGAGAAGAATACTGCGACTTGGTCCAGTTAGAAGACGACACCCTCCAACTTCCTTCTCTCCCCAGACGAGCCGGTTACATTCTCAGCAGTATCCTGCTGCCCTGGACACTGCAGCGAATCCTCCCCGCTTTCCGACAACGATTGCGATCGAAGCTGGAACGCAGTATCGCTCGACAACAACTCAAAGCATCCCAAGCCAAGAAAACAACAGTGGAGCAAGCCAAAGACAACAAGCTTGCTAAGAAACCGTCTTTCTTCACGAAATTGCGGATCCAGAAGTACATCCTCGAGCATCTGGACTCCATCACGTCGCTGTCACCCATATATGCTGTTAGCATCGCAACGTTCTATTTCACGGGCGCTTATTACCATCTCTCGAAACGGTTCTCGGGTCTGCGATATGTCTTCACGAAAAAGGTCGAGGAGGGTGAACAACGGGTGGGTTATGAGGTCTTGGGTGTGCTGCTTGTCTTGCAAATCGCTGTACAGGGCATCCTGCATATCAAGAAGGTCGGGGCCGATTTGGGACAAGAAAATGAAGATAGTGGGCTTGAAGCAGATGGCGGTATGAAACAGTATGGAGCTTCCTTGATACCGTCTCTCGAGAACCCCTCCTCGCTTCCTCTCCTTCCCGCTTCTGCTGCCCGGTACGATTTCTCGGAAGATTCCAATGCGATCCCCTGGATCCCTGAAGGGCAGCAGCGCAAATGTACGCTTTGTCTGGAGTTATTCAAGGATCCGAGTGTCACGACCTGTGGACATGTCTTCTGTTGGACGTGTGTACGGGACTGGGTACGGGAGAAGCCAGAGTGCCCGCTTTGTCGGCAGGAGGTGCTCTTGTCGAAAGTGCTGCCCTTGAGAGGATGATTCTTGATGGTTTATGACTTTACAGCGCTGTTTATATACATGACTGTATCATGCTTTCTTGTCTATAATTATACCCCCATTTCATTCTAGACGCATTTACTTCGACAGTCTCGATTGTCAATGACTTTCTATTTATTTCCTGATTAGAATGCCGTATATCTTGATTCTAGCATGGGTATCACATCATGTTCTAGCTCTGAGATCTAATGTAGATCCAACTTTCGAAGTTTAAAGCCCCAACATCTGGTTTATTCCAACCGACCAAAAACTATATCAAGTCGTTCTATGTTGTTCCAGGCAGCAACGATCCCGTCTGCTCATGGGAGCATGCATATGCCGTGAAACCATCTAATTTCACTGTATCGTTACTCTGCCTCCGCAAAGTAAGCCACTAAGGCTTGACCACCTCGACATCATCCGGGACCGTCGTCACGGTCGGCTCTCGCACAATACGAATCGGCAGATCCAAATCCGCATGAGCAGGCAAAGGAGGTCGAGGGTCGAGAGCCTTTCGTTTCGCATCCATAGTATCAAACAAGCAGATACAAGCGTAAGAATCGGATGCAGCATCTACAGACATACACTCGTTAACCATTTATCAAACATCAGAGTTGACGAATAAGACTTACATTGGACCTGACGATAACTCAAAGATACCGTCCAATCACTGCACCTCACATCTTCCGCCTTCTCCAACGGGAGCCCCAGATGTTCCTCCACCTGCTCACTCAGGTTGACAGGGCGCTTGTTGATGAGTTTCGGGTTAGTCTGGCAGTATTTTACCAGCTTATGGAGGTGGCTGAGCTCGAAGATCCCGTGCGCATCGACCTTGAGGTACTTGCGGAGACGCGTGCAGTCTGCTTTGATTGATACACCGAGCTTTGTGATGTCTGGGGATTCGATGATTTGTTTCAACGATGGAGGGACGAGGTCGCTGAGCTTTCTGCCTGGTCTGAAAAGGGCAACGTGGAAGAGAGCGATTCGCTCTCTGTTTGCGATTTGGATTAGAGATACGTTGTCTTGGATGCTGTTCCAGGCGGAGGCCTGGGCTTTCCATTCCATGTCGAAGCCGAGAATTTCGTCATTTAGGAAGAGTTGCGCAACTTCTTCGCTGCTTTTGAGTGTCTTGCAGTAATGCACGATAATGTTTTTGCCTTCAGGGCTTTTGAGCATGGTGTGGCTCCAGAACTTGGGTGTTGGGGAGTCCTCGGCTGGTGTGAGGACTGGTTTCGTCTCTTCTGTTGGAGGGTGGCTTTCCGGGGCAAGCTCGTCTATGTCATTGTTGCTTGAAGCCAGGGTGTGTGATTTGGCTAGTAATACTGGAGTTTCTGGGTTCGGGATTTCCCCGACATCTTTACTGTCGATTATATGCTCAATCATCGGTCGCGGAACTGTACTCGAGCTATAACATCTTTTTTGTTCTGAAGCTAGATAATGTGAAAGGTCGCGACTATGAGAAGTGGCAATCTGGCTACCAGTGTATGGAGAGGTCTGGTAGCAATGTATCGAGTCGCTGGCCTGTGAAGGCCGGGGTGTAAGCTCGCAGGACCAACTGTCAATCCTGGATGAGAGATGCCGTGTTCTAGGCAGGCTCTGTATAGCACAATCCTCAGCTTTGCCCGAACTGGAACGTGAAAAGCAGTTATTCCTATTCAAAGTAGAAGAGAACCTGCTCGTTAAGCTATTCAACGTCATTTGCTTAACCAAGGCGCACGGCCTGCGCAGCGACCTTGAGCGAGTGGCTGTCATGGTAGCCCGGCTATGCAGAGAAGGTAGGCACAAATACCCATTGAATGAGCTAGCATAGATATAAGCATTTGTTCAGTGATAGAAGTTGGGGTAGAATTACCAAGACATAGCTGCTTCGCGGAGAGCCATAGTAGACGAGATCAAAAGAACTAATTAAGTGACGCTTGCCGCCGGCCCTTCTATCGCCGCCACCGGTCTTTAAAAGATCGCGTCAGTGCCACAAGTCACGCAAAGCAGTCCGACTGAAAGATGTCTATGATACGAATTAAATATATAACACCCTGCTCAATTAAAATATCATATTTCATTCCAGCAGCCTTGAAACCGACAAAGCGACAAGGCGTACCTGAAAATCACCCCGATGAAGCGGAGCGGAATTGTAGATCTGATTGGGGGAGGCCATCCGGGCCGGATAAACCCTGTCACCGGGGCCCGCCAAGATTGTGTGGATGGAATCATTCCAGCATCCGTTCGTCAGTCCGCCCGCTTCATTTTCTATATCAGATCTAGGCGAGGGACTCTTGTTTCCACCTAGAAGAAAAACAGTAAGTCATCTGGGGAGATAAATTGTTTGACTTGAGAGACACGTGCTGAGCTGAAAGTAGCCGCTTAATACCCTAATCAATTCGCAATGGCGTCACAACTTCTTCCTCTTGGTAATTGACCCTGTCAGAAGCCGCGTATACATGGCGATCGTTTGATTGATTGTTTATTAACATGCACGACAGAACTGATCGACAAGTGTGTCGGATCCAGGATATGGGTCATCATGAAGAATGACAAAGGTCGGCATGAACATCTCCCTGCGGGGGAGGGGTAGACGATAAGCTAGCTAGCTAACATGCATTCAGAATTCGCTGGAACGCTGCTTGGATTCGATGACTACGTTAGTAAGTATATTTCCTATCGTCGGTTTACGGTGTATGAGATAGAGCGTGAACTGACCTGCTACAGACATGGTCTTGGAGGACGTGACTGAGTTGTAAGTCCCTATATCTGCTGTCTGGATTGAGCTTCCTATCTCTGGAGCTCTTCTTTCTTAGCTGTTGTTCTCTGTGTGTGAAGTAAAGACATTACTAAACATGCGACAGCGATTACTCCGGCTCTCAAGTGAAGCTCCCCAAGATTCTGTTGAATGGAAACAACGTCTGCATGGTATGCCTCCAGCCGCGCCCTTTCTGTTACTGATTATGCTCCATACTAACACTTTCAATTATCAAGTTGATCCCCGGTGGTGAGGGACCCGTCGGTAGCTCTTAGGCCATGATATCCACGATTCTTCTTCTTTGATATGTCAAAATGATTTTAGAATGAACGCTCATGATTGAGATAGAAAGTAGTAATGATGGAGTTTACGTCTGGCATTAAACCCTTGGGCAGTAAGGTGTCGATTGTTACAGATGCAATTGGTTGTAGTTGTCACAGTCAGACTACAGAGTACTCTCTTCTGGGATTATCTCCATGCATAACCAAATTCTTTTGCCATTGTTTCTATATTTGAAAGACCCAATGGCCCAATATCAACATGCGGAAGCAACATTCCTCGGTTCATATCCTATCAATCATATGATACCACTTTATAATCTCCCCAACTAAGAAAATATGCCCAAGTACAGCCTCCTGCAAGATAAGTCATGCTGCAAGCAGCCTCAACGCAGGTACTGGTCAGGAGTGACTGGGCCAAACACCAGACAAATTACTATCATGCAAGGATTACTGGAAAAAGAAAGCACATACTAATACGCACAAGTGCTAGACTACCACCTGAAGAAAGCTGCATACTTCATACTACCTCTACTACACCAATGAATCTCCTCTAGTAAGTAACGAGCGCACAAGTAGGACTCATATTCAATTTGTATTCTATAGAATACACCCCCACGGTAAAGTTCCTATTCAGCACAACGGTGTATCAACATGCTGTGCAGCAACAACTCCGCAATATGATGTATATCTTCAATGTACTACATTCTCCAATTCACTATCTCCATCACAGGCTAACAGTAGTGACGTAAACAACCTGCTGAAAGGCAAGAAGCAGCCAAGAACCCAAATTATACCGCGGTACATCTTACTCTACCAGCCCAGCAAATAACAGCCACCTAGCTAACTACTAGATGTAAATGATCAGTACTAGTAGTACCTAAATAGGCATTCTACCTGACTTTCCCCCCCTCTCTCTCTCGCAATACATCCATCAGTCCGGCCACCCATTCCCCCAAGCCCCAACTCAACTCCAACCCCACACAACGACCAACAATTCCAAACCAATCAGTGTCGCATCATCGCAACCCAACATTAGCAAATACCCCGGACATTCCCCAGCCCCAAGACCCAAGGATGTCCCCAAAAAAGCTGGGGTAGCATAACACGAGCATGGCATGGCATGGCATCATGGCATAAACTGCGGGGGTGAAGAAGCGGGAATGAATCTGTTACATAACAGATTGTTTCCCCGCAAAAAATAAAAGTGGGCAAGTCAGTCAGCTGAGAGAGTTTATAGTATACATCATCACAACTACCACTACTAATCTACTAAGTAACTTTAATTTACTTCTTTGGTCGGACTATCCCCGGACGGACTGAGCCATGGTTAGATGAGCGAGATGGATGCTACGTAGATACTTTACTTGTTCCTTTTCCTTTTGTGTCTAATTTGCTTAGCGTCGGATGGGGCTGGGCTGTGGTTTGCGGGGTTTGGGTTTTTGCTTGGTTCTGCCGAGGGACGGGCGGGAGGAAGATTAGTAGTCTTATCCGTGTACAGGAGTACTTTGAGGTTATTGAGTTGGGACTTTTTGTGGATCTTTACTTAATGTGATGTCTATCTCAATATGGGTGGGCGCTACGGAGTAGATACTTTCGTATAGTCATGGGGCGTGATTATGCCCCTGGGATAGAATCCGAGGACTCTGTCGATAACTGGCTGGATTCGCTGGCCGCACTCAATCTGCTCTGATGATGCAGCAGTAAGGGGCGTTTCAGACAACAGCGCGAAAGCGCATAGACCTAGTCTAGAGTTAGCACGGCCTAATTTGTCTCATGGACATGGACATTTCCACGCTGACCTCGGTATCAGCGCTAGATGCCATTCTAGCTAGCCTAGCTAGAGCAAGGCTCTGCCCGACAGTAAGCTCCTCCTGCACGTAACCGGACCGGTCGCACGGCTGGGTATCCCAGAGCTTGCTGGCAGCTGCAAGTCGCCAAACAAAACGTCGTAGATCTCTTACTCAGACTGGCACCACCGGGCCGGTGTGAGTCCAAACAACCGGTATGCGTACTTCTGGGCGGAGGCACAGATTATTTGTGTCTTCCCAGCGGGTGGTATAGCAGAGATTCTCTGCTTCTCTACAGGTGCTAATCTGCAGAATTTTGGGTAATACATCCTTTCGCATTAGACCCTTTAGCTGACTATGTGAGTGCTCATGTCTTGATAATTTACTTTTTTATTTTTATTTTTATTTTTTTTTTTTTTGTTGTGCAGTCTTTCGCAGATGTGCATGTTGATCATAATGCCTTCTCACTGTGAATAGCTCGCGACACTGAGAAGGGGGTCCGCAGAATAATACCCTCTGTTATGAACTATTATGGCAGGGCTGCATGTCGGAGCAATCACAGTAACCAGATGGGTAGCTAGAACGGAGCGGCCCAGGTGTCAGGCTACCACATGCAGCTTCAAAGCAGTTGCATGGTCTGTCCAAACAGGAGTAGCACCACATTTCACATGGCCACATGGCACGGCTGTACTTTGCCCGAAGCTATCCCCCATTATTGCAATCGGTGTCAGACCTGTCATGTGAAGATGTGAGCCATAGAATGATTCCCTGGAAATGGCACCACTCCAGAGGCAAATCAAGTGAACAAGAAGTTCGCAAGAGGCAAATAAACAAAACCCTTGGCGCAAAGGAGGACCTGGCTACGAACCACGGATGGCTTGTGGCTTATACGAGCCGGCGATATCCGACCTTGCCACTAAGTAGATAGACTAGAAACCTGATTGAAGGACTCCGCAGAGAACAGACTAAGCAGCAACTCGGGCATCCTGGTTCATCCAACATTCCTCGAGGCGTGGGCTTAGCCTTGCAGGCTTGGTCGGGCTATCGCGCCGAAAGAAACACCAACTGGCTTCTATCTGTCTTCCATGGGTTCCCCCTAGCAGGGACGGACGGGGCGAACGAGTGGGTGTGTAGTGCAAAAGCTTAGAGGCCAGATCGATCAGGAGAACCGAAGTCAAATGACAGACGACGTTCCAGAATCCAGCCAGGATGGGAATACGCAAGGGGTGGTAGCCACTAAGATTTTCAAACCCAACGTTCCTTCAGGATCCTTGAGGAACAGGAATACAAAGGTATCATGATGTAGAAAACGAAAAGAGAAGGGAAGGGTGGCAAGAGGCGTAACACAAGTATTACCTTTGCCTCGTTCAGGTGTGCGAGATGAAAGCTCCTGAGTACTGTCTGTGATTTGAATGCTGTACATTCGTTACCCTGCTCTTAATTCGCGCCATCATGACACAGACATTAGTAGCAGTGATGGTGTACCTGAGCGCCGTATAGCATAGTGGCTCTAAATGGATACTGTTCGGATGATCATGTACTATTAGGTAGGAGTAGCGACGGACAACGACGGAGCATAGAAGGAAGTACTGTGTCGTAGGGGGAGTGGATAATGTCTTGATAGGCAGAAAAATGAACTCATCGAACCGACCGCAATGAGGGCTTATCAACATCCCTGCATCTGCAGCCTGATTGGCCCCAGCCCCGGCCGCGTAAATTCGGTGGGTGCGGAGATGATTTTAGTTTTGGCGCCTGCCAGCCCGTGGTTATGGATGCTTCCCTTCTAGTATTAGTTAGTAGTACTTCCGAAAGTTCCCCAATTCTCGCAGGGACCGTTCGGTTAATCAGGAAGAGGGGGTGGGAGTAATTCACTATGAGGTTTAATTCACCTTAGTAGAAGCATATACTGCAGGAGAGCTCTTCGTTGTAGTGTCGATTATTTCCCCTGTAGGTTACACCTTAGCCTAAAGTTAGTAGCAAAATACTAACTTGTCATGATTCGGGCAGAGGCGGGACACGTGGATTATGATAGGCGGCAGCGGACGGATTCCTACTGTGGGATTATACGAGATGCTAAGAGGATAGACTACTACCTTCCATGCAGTGTACATGGATGCCAAGCATGATTCTGATACTCAGGAAATGAGTAGCACAATCAGGATAACATAAAAAGTAAAAAGAAGCAAAAGATTGACTACGAGTTATTAGGTACGTGGGTTTGCCCCCCTACGAGACACTGCCAAGGGAGGGTGTCATGATAGTAGATAAGTACTAGG